GCCACCGGTAACCTCACTCATGCGGTTAAATGCGGTTCTGCTATGCTGTTTTGTTTCACGCCGGTTTTCTCGGAGGCCGTGTTATCACTAAGGTCGACCCGTCGATAAGTGTGGGAGAGCCATGCTTCGGCACGAATGGGTCGGCTCGACCGGAGTGATACCACGGCCTCACATAAAACCGGCGTGAAACAACCACAGTGTTGTGTTTCGCCGTGTGAGTGAGGTTACCGGAGGCCCAATCCTTCCCCTTCCCAATCCCTCCCCAGTTCCTAAATCTCAAAATCCCCAATCCCTTAAAGGTCGGAAACGCACTTCCCTTCGTTGCGGGTGTCCATGGGCGGCGCTGATTGCTTACCATCAGGTAATCCGTCTGCCCGTATGCCGACCTATTACATAAAATAAAAAATAAAAAACCCGGCCCATGCATGCCGAAGTACGGTTTTTCTACATTAAATATTAAACAATTAATCTTCATGTAAACCAAAAACAATTGTTTTCTATATGTATTTTTATTTGAATGCACAGTTGGTTCAGTGGCTGGGCAAAGGGCTGCTGTGCACTGTGTCGTCTTAAAAGTTTTTATTACATTATGTATTAGTGTAGCCTATTTATATAACTTATTGTATCTTTCCGTGTTAAGTATATGTTCTTATTGTATTTAAAGTCTTGTATTTGTAAATTTTCTTGATAAATATCCATCAATATCGTTTTTGGATCAATTAATAAAGTAGGTACGTATAGACAACAATGGGTTCTTAATGGGGCTGATGTTACTACATCGAAGTTCACAACGAACATATCTAGTTTCGTAGCGTGGTTCTATTCTGAAACTATTTTTTTTAGGTATAAGAATATTTTTTAGCAATTATAGGCTGTGAAACAATGCTTATTTTAAAACTCTACTAAATCTCAGAACAGGGGTTTTCGGCGGCGATAATATACTTCGATTTAGCTGGGATCCAATTTCAGAGAATCACAAACAAAGAATACCGATCTAAGCTTGATCGTGTACTGTTATTCTAAAAGCCATTTTAACTATCACCACTTAATAGAAAACTATAAATAAAAATCTAAATACTTTCCCATCCTATAAAATCTCGTCGCGTTTCAATTCAATAGCTAACAACTTTAATAAATACAAACATTACGTCGTCAGTTTAATAAACTGGTCGAGTTAAAAGTTTTAGTTAAACTTTAACCCGCTGGTGCGCTGGGATCTGTTAGTTTCATCACCGTGGTATTAGGTTGCATCTCACGACGCCGAAGGGGTTATATAGGACGCGGTGTAAGATAGAAGCGGGAAGCGATTTTAATAGAACTCTGTCAGATCGCCCGATTACTATAGTGAATTATATCCGTAACTTTGCTATTATTTTCCGCGTTATTCATAATTAAACATACTATTTGGGGATGCATTATGTGCCGAATGTACCTGTATAATGATAGTCGGATTTGCGCAAAGTTCAAAGATTTGCCTTACAAGTACTTACAACGTTTAATGATAATTAATCATGAGCGGTTTTGGGTGTGTTGTCATTATAAACTACAGTTAAGGACTACAAGCTTACTTAGATAGGCTTGACGACATACTTTACTTAATTATTGATTGCCTGTCATTGAAAAACGTAAAAAAGTGTGTGTGTGTGTGTTTGTGTGTGTGTGTGTGTGTGTGTGTGTGTGTAGTTCACCGTCCTAATATGATGAGCTTTTAATATACAAAATATTCTTGTCATAATATTATAGCAATTATTTCTACAAAAAAATAACTATATTATCTTCAAGTGTCTTCGTTAAATTAAGAAAAAACGTTCCTCCTCTACCTTGTACCACGCCCTAAGTTTACACTGATTACTTGTACAGATTTCAATCAAAGCCCGAACAATGTTGATTGTGTGTCGCTAGGAATGAGGGCGCTCGATTGAGCTACTTCTTTATTTTACAACCGTTTAGAGTTACCATAGTAACCCTTTTATTATAATCTATTCTTATGAGACGTTTTTTTTTTATAAAGGTTCATGTATAACATGTGTGGTATTGGCCACTTTGATCATTTTGATATTACAGTGGTTTGGTGGTTTTCTTTTTATATGTTTTAATTTAAAGGAATTTTAAGGCATAGCGCAGGTCAGTGGCATCTCAAATATGTGTTTATGTGAAAACAGTATTTACAATAATAGACAAAAGAAAGACGCAAAACTTTATAATAATAACAACATGTCATTATTTAATAAATAGACTGAACTGAAGGGTTTTATAACTTGACTGAATTTAAATCATACTAGGAAGCACCTACATGCATTTTTAATAACTTCTTAGTTAGATTTCTCCGTCTAACTTTAGTTTTCAGCAATAGTCAGTTTAATAATTCTAGTTCTTCTAAGATATTAGAAATAAAAGCGTTAATAATATTATAAAAAAAGCATCTTACAATTATTGCACAAAGGTCTGTTTTCATTTGGGCTTTAAAACAGCATTTGAAAGTTTTTATACAAAAGTCGTTTATTTTAATGTTATACAGTAAATGAATCGCATCATCATCTTCTATTAATTTATCTTTGAATTGTTTGTACAATATTTCGTTTAAATACTTACCTTTTATTCTTTGAAAAACCTGAAAGACTGGTTCTAAAGAAACCGTTGAAATGATTTATGAAGTGTCAAAGTTTAAAAAGGGGTGAAATATAATCTTCAATTTATTTCGTTTTACATTATAAATACGGGGATTAAAAAGAAATATACCTTTTTTGTATGATTTTATTTGTGATAAAGATAAAGAGAAGTTATGTGCGAGTCACAATCTCCCATAGAGTTTTTGTAAAAGTAAAATAGTTTCTGGATTTATGACGTACTAGTAAATATAGTAGAAGTAGAATTCATTCAACAAGAAATAAAAAATCAGAAAGCATTTATATTTCAATGGTAATGTATCTGCATTAAATTTTTACAGGAAATACACACACACACTCAGACGCACACACACACACACACACACACACACACACACACATACACACACAAACACACACACACACACACACATACACCCACAAACCGCTAGTCTTAAACGAGAAAAAAAACCGGTAGTCTTGAATAAATTTACCTTGTCTCACGATAGTTACTATTCAAAAATAAGATATTGGAAAAATGCTTATGCGTTGTTTTTTTTTTCGTAAATAAAATGTGTAGCATAATGTGAAATTTTACTGTTGGCCTTATCCAAAGTATGACTGATTTCCTTGTTTTTTTTTTACTAGCTCATAAGTGAATAAATAGTACTTGAACATTTTATCGTATTGGAAAATGTTCTCTAAATTATTTCAGCAATATTTAACTCACCAACATCAACAAACTACTGTTAAGTACTCAATAAAAATTCAATATATTTACTTGAAAGTTTTTAAAGCAAAACGACGAAAGTAGACCTTCAAGCCATTCATTCAGCAGGGAAACTTACTAAGTATTGTGCATATTTAAAACTTTAAGAGAAACCTGCTAAATTTACTTTTCAAGAAGTTTAAAATAAAGTCTTTTAAGTATTTTTCCATTTTTCGTACCTACGCTGAATGTTCGACGTAAAATTTCATGAATTACGAAGAGAGAAGAGCTCTAAGTAAAAAGAAATCTTTGTTATATCATAGGAGCAGACTGATTACCAGATGGTAAGCAGTCGATGCCGTGGTGGACAGCTTGCAACAATAGAAGAGTTACGATCGCGTTTTGGGGATAAGGGTTTTGGAAATTTAGGGATTGTGGAGAGGAAGGGAATGGAAGGAAGTCACGCCACGCAAGTGGTTATTTCACGCCGGTTTTCTGTGAGGCCATAGTATCACAACGTTCAAGCCGACCCTTCCATGGTGATGCTTGGGTCTCAAGCACTAAGGACATTGACCTTTTGCACGGCAAAATTATATTTTAATTCAAATGATGAACTGAATTTGTTTTAGTTAGTCCATTGAAAGTGAAACATAGTCATTATTTTAACTTTTGCTGAGTCTTAAACACATATGTACATAGCAGTCCATTCATATACACCGCTGATCAGACAGTTTATTAGGACTTGCACCCCTTAAATTTAATGTCGGCAGAAAAAGCCTCTTTGGTCCATTTATTGATTGGTTTTAGTTAGACGTTATTTTATCACAAGCTTCTTTATAAGTTTTTATTCCTCTTTTTTCTTTTTCCTTCATATTTTTTAATCTTTACGTTCCACGATTAATATTAAATAATAACGTCTTCATCACCGACATCTTCATAATCAAGATCATCACCGGTTTCATATCTATGAACCTTTTCACATTCATATTCACACGCACACGTTAGTACATTGCGAACATAATATTATAATACTCGCATGGTGACGTTGCAAATTGGATGCGATGTTCCACAAAGGACAGGATTGTGTGATCTTGACTAGCCAATTGATAGTATGGCAAGGCTTGTGAGTTTATAAATATATACAAATGAAATTGGAAGTTTTGTTTGATTAGTCAGTCAGTATTATTGCCTATTTGCAACGATTTTCTAATAATAGTAAATACTAGCATTTTATGGAGTAACTTTTAGATTAGCTCCTAGCTAGTTGTTTTGCCTGGTCCAATAATAGTATGCTAAAATCAACTTCTGGAAAAAATATGTTATTTATGTTCCTCCCTAATAGTCTACGCAGATAGGCCCCAGCAAATAACTAGACCTCGTAACAAGCGGTTTAGTTTTCAAACAAACAAACCGACATTTTGATGAGTTTGTTTTCGACGAGATTGCTCTCAGCCATGCTCTCCGCAAACATTCGGAGTTGCGTGCGCTTCACCCGTATATGTGAACATTCCAATTAGTTCGTGTATCGAACTTTTTGTTTCAAATACTGTTTGTTTTTCATCTTTCGGTATCCATGTCTAAACTTTAACAAGCGTTAAACAAACTTTGTTAAATGTTTTCGTTAATAATTTGCTTTGAACTTTGTTTAAGATTTTCACGTATTAATGAAGTGTTATTTGTTACAGGTCGAGTAAACGGTGACGTAATGACCCAAGCCCACGAGCCTCTTAACATAATGGACGGCACACAAGCTGACTACTCCACAAAGACCAAGAGAGGCATCTATCTCTCCAAATGCCTCGCCTTTATTATCCTAGTGATCTTCGCTCTAGCTCTGGTCACTGCCTCACTATTAGTTTACAACTACGCCGCATGTCCAAAAATTGACCAACTAGCAAACGTCACAAAATACGAACTATGTCATTGTGATCAATCAAAACTGTTAGTGCTACCTCTAACGACAGAAAGTAGTAGATCTGTCATTCCTCTAGAAAGTTCGACTCACTCCTCAGTGCCAAATATAACAAACTTATGGCTGCCTAAACAAGTGAAGCCAGAGAAATATTTTCTTAACATAACTCCGTACATTTATGAGGGCAATTTTACATTTGATGGAGAAGTTACAATACATCTAGCAGTGGTTGAAGAAACTAAAGAAATAACCTTCCATGGTGTTGAACTGACGATACATGATATAAAAATACACGAGAAGGATGATGACCATTTGATATACATAGTAAGACAACTTGAGGATGTTCCGAGAAATTTCCACATTTTGACCCTAGGGTCTTCGCTAGAAGTTGGAAAGCAATACATTCTATCTATCAAGTACACTGGTATCCTGAACGACAATCTACATGGATTCTATCGGAGCTCTTACGAAGAGAAAGGCGCTAAAAAGTAAGTTAAATATTGTAACTTGACAATGATAAATTGGTTGATTATTATAAACTGCTTCTTAGGTCAAATGGCCGTAAGAGAAAGATGCCGCGAAAAAGGCACAGGGTAGATCTCGCTGGTAAGACAATGAGTTTTAAATAGTTTTTCAAAAATGTCTCAGTGACCATAATAGTTAATTTATTTATATAGGGTAGGGAATTGTGCTTCTTACCTTTAAGTTCAAACCGTATCATTAAGTAAAACTACATAAGGTTCAAAAGTATTATTCAATTCGTTGAACCACATAAAAATGACGAGCAGTAAAATTACAATCATATATATTGAAGTACCTACAAGGGTAAGGTATTTATTGGATTTGGCGAAGTGCCAGGTAATAGTGACGAAAGCATTTTTATGGTTGTACGCAACATACCGACTAAGTTAAATAAATATATTGAATATTGAGTATTAAGTTCTTCGGATTAAAATATTGAACCTATGAATATATCAAAATGAATACCACTTTAACTTTTCAAAAATTCAAACATATCTCTAGGTTAATTGTATCTGGTTAGGTCCGATTTTTTTCAGATTATATTTTAATTATGAACTTTGTTATACACACGTTTCTCAATAAAGAAAAAAGACTATAGAACTAAATCAATTGTTAAGAAATTTTGTGAAAATAGTAGAAAAGATTTAAAAAAATCAAATAGGTAATCTACGAGTACATTCGGCCTGAAGTCATTTTCTTCTTTATCGTGCATGATTGCATTATAAATACAAAATGTCAATATACATTTCTTTTCATATGGATACCCGTGACTATAATTATGTAGGGAAATAAAACACTAAATGCACTGATTAAAGTTAATCTTCACTCAGTTTGCCACTATCATTTGCAGCGGAAGCATTGCAAACGTACAAAATTATTTATCGTTACAAATCATGAGACCACTCACTCGTGTTCGAAAATACCCGAAAACTACACTAAACGCCTTTAAAGGTACAGAAAAAAGACAATTCTGTGCTAAAACTATAAAGGAGAGGTTTGAATGGGCTGTTAAACACCAAAACATCGATAAATATGTATTAAATAATGTTGTGTGGTCAGGAATATCAAGATTTCAGGTAAGTACTAATTTTGATAATATTTTATCAGTGACTAGTGTGTCACCTGCATAATCGTTTTTACACGTTAAGACTGCTTTTACGTTCAATACTTTTGCTGTTAAAGTAATATTTTAATGCTCGTTATTATTGTTTAGATTACCAAAACACCTGATACTCCAGGGCGGCGAACAGCAGGAAAATGTGGAAGCAGCGTTTTTGCTTGGGGTTGCATGACTGACACTGGAGTTGGCGAATTAGTCATTATTGACGGCAAAATGAATTCTCCAAAGTATATAAGCGTTCTTGAAACTGCACTACTACCATCATTTTCTACCTTTTTTGGTGATACAAATATGGATGATGTGAAGTTTCAACATGATAATACAGCTTATCACAAATCTCTTAAGACTAAGGCGTGGTTGGAGGATAATGGCATCGAGATATTTGATTGGCCCGTCCAGTCCAAGGATTTGAAACCAATGGAACAACTATGGAACTTATTAAAGCAGAGAATTCAAAAGCACGCAGTTACAACCAAGAATGAGCTAGAAGAATGTCTGAGGCTCGAATGGAATGCGATTGGCCCCAACGACTGTGAGGATATTGTAAAATCTTTGCCGAGTAAAATTCATGCCGTTATTAAGGCGAAAGGTGGTCTTGTAAAATATTGAGTTTTACATTATACATATATAATACCAATAAAATTTTATATCAACCTCTAAAGCTGCAATTTCCTTTTTTTCGTAAATGTGTGTGTCCTGCGTGTATCCAATTAATTATTAATTATTTTTGGTTCGTGCAACACATGTTTTGGTCCCATTCATTCGTTCCACGCTGCGTCTCTATAGTCACCCCTCATTGTATTCAATCATGTCGATTTCTTGTATTATTTTTGCCAGAGCTTTCGGTATCCTAAACAGTAAATTAAATTAAATATATATTTGAAACACTTCTTTAAAATTTTCTGTGTACTTTTTTATTTTTCGAGGGGCTCCTTTTTGGGAGCCCTTAGAGGAACAAAACAGAAGTGCTTCAAAACAGGAGCGCAATGTGGAATACCTCATAAAATAGTCAAAAATCAACCCATCCCTACGTCAAAGTAAGATAAATATTCACGTTTTCACATTCATAATATCAGAAAAATGATAATAAAGCTGTCTTTCATTTGACATTTCTTTTACGCAGTTTATTTTACCTAGAAATATCTTAAGATAAGCGTACCTGGATAAAAGTGCATCGGCATAAATACCTAAATCGATAACTATATATTTTTAATCTGAAATTATACTTCGATAAATATTCTAATTAGGCAGGTATGCAATAATCGAAAAGATAATCAAAAAACGTAAACTAGTGCAAAAATAGTTTGCAATAAATCTCCCTCATCTTCCTTTTTCTTCTTGTCTTCTTATTGTACTTCCTTTTTCATCTTATTGAACTTTCCCCGCAATCCTGGCTGAACATCAGCTCCGTTAGGCGCCACCTGTCTATTGGTTCTTAAGAAAAGCCCAAAAGTTGACGTCATTTATTGTTCTCTACTCGAGGCGGGGCGATGTGAAGAATTGCCTTCCCGACCTAAGTGTGATTCATATAAAGGCCTTATTATCTGCTTGATGTTTAAAGCGAGTAGGTTACAGTTGTCACCCTAGTGGTTCGAAGTGTTGTGAAAGTTGGAACTTGCTTTTTATGATAATCAAGTGCATACGCTAATGCGCCCGATGATTATGACGTCATCAGTTAATGTTTTGTAGATCTTCTATGTTTAAGTTATAAGTTACTATTGATAATAAGGAAAGTGTGTTTATTTATTTATTTAGCAAAAGTACAATTGTAGTAATAACATTTTGTTCTTATAATTAAAGATCCTCGCCAAACATAAGGTTTAACGGCGAGAAGCGATCATTTCTTTTACTTACTAGCTAATTAAGTACTTTATATAACATTAAAAAACTAAACTAAAATCAAAACAAAAATAAAAAATACACATTATAAAGGATAATCATTAAAGAATGCATTGCCTATACTCTCTTGAGCAATTCTCCCCTTAGCTTCTTCTTCAACATAAACAAACTCACTTTATTTTCCTCTCCCAATATATCTATTTTATTGAATATTTTTGGCACTATATATTTATTAGTTCTCTTACCATAGTACTTAATTATTCTAGGTTCTGGTGTTATATTTATTCTCTACTATACATTTATATTCATTGCTATAATAATACTCTAATCCTATTAAATACTCATCTTTCCTATCTATGGGCAGTATTTTACACAGTGGAAATAGTTCATCATAAACCTTATTGCAGGTGTTTTTCTCTTTCTTACTCACTAAGTATTTTATCAGTCTTAATTGTAAATTTTTTATATCCTTTAAGTAAGTTTGGAAAGTACGCCCGTATACTAATAGACCGTAGCTGATAAGAGAGTCGGCAAGCGCGTGGTAAACCATCCTCATTGTGTCTGAGTTGACTATTCTGTGTATTTGGAAGAACTTGCCTAGCACTGAACGTAACCTATTACAAACATCATTTACATGACTCTCTTTCATGATCTTTGTGATCTTTACACGATTCTCTATTTAATTATCCATCTAAACTCACCAAAATTGAACTGAGGATGTGTGTCTGCCATAAATGCAAGGTTAATATCACATAACAAACGCCATGAAATATCTAATGTATCATAAACAATACATCGTCGTTCTTAAGGTCAATGTTACAAACAAGAGTATGGCCCTGATCTAAAATAAAATGGTTTTATGATAACAATAGATTACTGCTTTCTTTGTAAAGGAGGGGTAGATGGGTTTGGCAGAATCTCCACTCAGGATAGGCTGGTTTTAGATACCAGTTGAAAGTGTGAGATTTATGAGAGAATGCTGCTACTCGTTCTCTATCAAAATATAACTGCACGGTTGGCGTACTGGCTGATGTGCAACGTATCGCGCACGGAACACCACTTTGTGTGAACCAAAACTTGTTGTCCCGGGTCTGGTTGTGTTGTGCATGTGATTTTCTATGGTTATAAACATTTTATTTAAATGTGGTCCCTCAGTTGAAGTTGCGTTTAAAAGTGGGGTATTTGTTAAGTAACCATTCATTGTATCTAATAATAATGTACCAACTGACTGGACTACTACTACTAATATAGTATATAAGATTATTATGTACTAAATCGGGACGCCATACGAAAATTCAAATCGATATATCGTCGTTTGTATTCGATTCTATGTGAAAAAAAAGAAATAAACATGATACATAATATTTAAAGATTAATTTTAATTAAGATTAAAAATTCTACTAATATTAAAAGAAAATGTCATCCAATCGATGGACGGTAATGTAATCAACTTTTTTTTTTAAATAAGACACAAATATTCCCAGAAACTTAAAACACTACGTCACAAAAATATAGCTACAAAATTGTTATACGTTATTTTAATATTATAAATCCTACATGCATGTACAAAGTACACGGTTTGAGTCACGTAGAGACATCTCAGATCGTTCTATGAATACAAGAACGCGGCATAGAATACAAACTGTAGATTAACAGTCATAAAATAAACTTAAGTATGTCACTACGTACAAAAGTGTCTTAATTGCTTTCCTTACTCATTGTTAGCGAAATCCAAGTGCCACGGTCGCTGTGATACTGCGGAATTGATTTGATTTTGGTGGTTACATTCTATATGTTGTACAGCACTTATTGACATAATATAATTAAGCTGGTATTAACGCAAAAAATAATTGTTTAAATACCATGGAAGGCTTGACGTTTCGACCGGTTGGTTGGTTGGTTGCACAGGTCGTGGGCGCAAACAGACTCTCTTTTCGCGTTAACACCCGTGTAATTATATAATGTTATAAATGAAACGAGAGAGTTTAAAAGTTTGGGCTTACTGAAGCTGTATTTTTTCACGAAGATTCGATTTTTTGTCGAAGGATTAAAATTAGTTGATGGATATAGCTTGTCATGTGGTGAAAATTCTCAAATTCTAAATATAAGTATGAAATTGCCTTAAGGAAGCGTGGTGATTAATGCTCAAACCTTTTCCGTGTGAGAAGATGCCTTTGCTCAGCAGTGGGCTCTTATAGGGTGATGTTGATGGGTGATAAAAATGAAAATATAATAAATTTATTTAGGGCCAGTAGGCTATTTATTGCATTCGATAGGTTCCTGACAAAATCTTTTATTCGATATTAGGGAAAGGTATAATTACCCTTAGTATGTTCTACACCGTTATCTGAAGGCATACCCTTTGGTATGACTTTCAACCTTCATTATAAGTTTATTAAGTTAAAAATACATTGGACTATTTCTTACAGATGGATAGCAGTCACCCAGTTCCAGGCGATGGACGCCCGCCGCGCGTTCCCATGTTGGGACGAGCCAGCTCTGAAAGCAAGGTTCACCATCAGCATCGCAAGACCGAACAACATGACATCTCTTTCTAACATGAACATCGTTAGACAGAGTCCGCAGTAAGTTTATGATTACGTTTTATGTTGTTATCTATGCCTTGTTAGGGCAATTTTGAGAAGAAAATGAAAAGAAAGGAATACTTTGACTAGTGCTAGATTTATTAATCAGACTTTTTTTATACATTTATTTTTCTGTAAAATTAGTATCTACTAAAATAGGGATATAGGTGCGTATATTTATACGTAAAGGTCGACAAAAGAGCTGAGGTAATTATCTGGTGGTAAGCAATTGACGCCGCCCATAGACTTGGACATCCACAACTCCTAAGAAGTTACAAGAGCGTTACCAAACTTTTGTGTGTTAGAGTTTGCAGACTGATTACCTGATGGCAAGCAAGCAGCGCCGCCCATAGACACCCATTTGCCGACCTTTTGGGGATGAGGGATTTGAGATTTTGGCATAGAGGGAGGAGTGGGGTGTATTGGGTCTCTTGTAACCTTAGACGGCGTAACATACCGCTGTGGTTGTTTGAAGCCAATTTCGACTCCAATCGAGGCAACCCATTCGTGCCGAAGCATATCATAGGCATAGTATAGAAGATTAGTCCTAAAATCGAAGCGTGGGAGAGCCACAACCTATCCTCATCCTAAGAATTGAGGGATTGAGGATAGGTTGGTGGTGTTCTGTAAGGCCATGGTATAACTAGGGTCGAAATAGCTTACTCGGGCGGAAGCGTATTCTCACACTTAAATTATTATATTTTAAAATAAAATTTAAAACAAACAATTTTATTCCAATTTCGGTAGCTTGTTATTTCATAAAAATACATACGAAATCTAAAATGCAAATGAACAACACAAGGGAATTAAGCAAAGTCGATTGTTTGTGCATGAATTTTTGATTGCGTAATTGTGAAATATTGACGTCACCAAAATTTTATATTTAAAAAGCGAAGCTTTCGATTTTCTTAATATTATACATTGAATCAGATAAACTGGAGAGAGCAGAATTAAATTTTGGGATATAAGCAACCTTTATAAAAATGGTTGAAACTGTTCTGAATTTTCTGGAACTTGCTAACGTCCTTGAACTGTTTGCTTAATAGAAACTTTTAAAGAACAATTTGTACTTTATCGATTTGAGTCTCAAGATTTTCTTATAGGTATCGTTGCAAAAAGCTAGCCATCAATAACATCTCAACTCTTTGGTTTAACTCATCAAACTACCATGTAGGTTCTAATAAGTCTTCAATTATTTTTCCAGCGAAAGTCTACCAGATTACACATGGGATCACTATGCGGAATCTCTACCGATGTCGACGTACCTGGTCGCGTTCACCGTCACCGACTTCAAGAATATGACCAACAATAAATTCTCCGTTTGGGCCAGAAGTGAAGCGGTACAATCAGCAGCGTTCGCTCTAGAAATAGGCCCAAAGATACTCAAGTATTTAGAAGAATATTATAAAATAAAGTTTCCTTTGCCAAAAATCGACATGATCGCGTTGCCGGACTTCAAGAATGGTGCCATGGAGAACTGGGGGCTACTTACATTTAGGTAAGTTTAAAAACCGATGATAACCTTTTTATTGTGGGGGAATCAAATTAAGGATTTCTCTCGAGTGAGGCGCGAATTTCTTTTTTTTTATTTTAAGCATTGTCGCATACTAGGTTTTTCTCACGTGTCGTGGGTGCATTTACAATCATACTAATAGACATACACAAGCCACTGAGACCCGAAACAACAATTTGTGGTTCTTACTTGTTGTTTCGTGCCGGAATCGAAGTCTGCCCAGTCAACTCAGTGTCCATATCGGACTTTTAACAACTAAAAACCTCTCCGTTCTTTCTCCTGCTCCAGGACGAGGCCATGGTACCACCTTATTGCGCTTTCCCTTCAACTATGGGTGAAAATCGGCCCTATGGGTCCTCATCCTGGCCTACTGGCTTTTTTGTAACCACGGCTAAACATCGGCCCTAAAGGTCCCTAGCCATACCGGTCTAATGGCCTTTTTAAAAAAACTTTACTAGAAACTTAAGTTTATGATCTTCCCTAAACAAAATAGCTTATTTTTGCAACAGCAATGTCTCATAGAGGGATAACGAAATCGATTAATTCGGAATGTCCCTAAAGTTATGAAACTTTACCCGTACCGGTAAATAACATGAGCTCCGTTAAATCAGTCGCAGGGGTGAGTCTTTTGATGGATGAATGAATCGTAACACTTCATTATCGGTTTGGGACCACCATCTATCAACCCTATTTTGTGGGGTGCGGGATCTGAGACCATTGTGTAGGGTCCCGAGATTTCAGCATAAAGTATCTGTTTCGTTTTAAATGGATGAATGAATTCATTTGTTTTGTGGTAACAAATTATATTATTAGTCGTTGTATTGTTTTGTTTTGTGTATTGTAACGTAATTTTGTTTTTTAATTTAAATAAGTTATCTGTTTACGTAAATCTCAGATTAAAAAGTAAAAAAATACAGTAGGTTAACTTTTAATGAATTAGAACTTTTATTTAATTCGTTAAGGTTGTTTCAATTTCTTATAGACCGCCTAAATAGAATCTGACTTATACTTATGACCTATACACTTATGTATATTTGTATGTTAATACAGGGTATCACCTATCTACGTACCAAATTTCAACCAAATTAGTCCAGTCGTTTTTGCGTGTAAGATTAACAAACATATGTACATCCATACATTCTTACAAATATTAGTAGGATTAACTACAATCTTTTGATTACAAATAATAGTCAGTTAAAGCATCTACTTAAATAGTAAACAATTTTTTTATATCCTATGACATCGGTATACGTGCAGGTGGATTACCTGATGGTAAGCATTCAGCGCCACCCATGGACACTCGTAGTATCAAAGGAGTTACAAATGTGTCGCCAGCCTCTTGTGGACTATTACGGCTTTATGAATAGGGGATTTGAGGATTGAGAATGGGGTAGGAGGAGGAATAGGGCCTCCGGTAACCTGACTCACACAGTGAAACACAATGTTAGTGTTGCTTTACAATATGATTGCACGGTTGGTGCGGTGGCTGGTGACAACTCTTTGTGTGATCCACAAATTGTTGTTTCGGGTATGGGTGTCATGTGTATGTGAAATTGTATGTTTGTAACCGCACCCACGACACAGGAGAAAATCCTAATGCGGGGCAACGTTTTTTTAAAAAAAAAAACAAAACAAAAAAACAATAATGTAAATTTTTCAGGGAAATATCGATGTTATACGAAGAAGGTGTCTCAGCGAGTACTGATAGAGTACACGTAGCTACTGTGGTGGCTCATGAGATTGCTCACCAGTGGTTCGGCAACCTTGTCACACCAACCTGGTGGCGCGACCTGTGGCTTAACGAGGGCTTTGCTACATACGTCGAGTACGTTGCTGTTAATGCTGTGAGTGATATATTTTATGATATCTTTTTTATAATGTACTAATGAAGAATTCTCTTTGTATTCTTCTTCCTTTATGATTCCAATGAACTCAAAAACTATCTTAATATATATCTCTATAACTATCATAATAGGATTATGAATGAACTTAGTTTTTTTTAAACTAGTAGTAGTTTTTTAGTTTTTTTTAGTTTTTTAACTAGTAGTTACCTATAGTATACCTATAGTAGCATCGTTTCCTTATTAAGATATCAGCTTTAGGCACTTAAATCGATCTTATTAAAATTCTGTATATTGTCGTTCATATTACAATTAGTTCTATGTTAAATGATAAGGTTAGAGGAGATTAAAACAATGGCGAACACTAGAAAAAAGTTTTATGCGACCAAAATGTTTTGTACCTATCGAATGTTTCTTAAGTATTGTTTACTGCGCGAAAAATTATCGGTCGCGTTCAAAATTAAAACTAAAGCGCATCTGAGTAATAAAGAAGTATTTTTTTTTGACATTGATCAAATTGAAAGATTTACGACGAGTGTCTGTAAATAAAATATGCTATCCGAAAACCGCTAGCCATATATAACTATATTTTTTAGATAATTAATTATTTGTCTACATATTTACCCTGAAAGTGGAGCGAGGTGCCTCAGTAATTTGCAGATTCCAATGTACTGCAAAAAAACATTATGATGTTGAAAACATAAAATACCTAACCATGATTTATATAATGTCAATAAAAAATCATATTTATTTATTTAAGCTTTTTCTCTTTTTATTGTAGGTAGAGAAATCATGGAATATAACAGAGCTCTGTGTCCTCGACATAGTCCACAACGTATTCCAGCTGGATGCTCTCAACTCCTCGCACCAACTTTCAGTTGAAGTCAGCGCTTCCGAGGAAGCTGATGCTATCTTTGACAAGATTTCGTATGGAAAAGGTACATTTTAAGGGTTTTTGTGAAAAACGTAAAATAGATTGCTCGACATTGATGTCTGATTGTTACTTATATAATTTTATTTTTACCCATCATACATTATGTTTCTGTGAAAAACTAATTGTCACAAATCAGGCCTGAATCCAGGGCAAACACTTAATAGTTTTTCTACCAGAAAAATGAATTTAGCAATTTAGCCTTAAACCGATGTCGTATTCTAATTAGGTACCTAATGATTAAGTTATTTTTTTTTCTTTTGTAATTAGCCGGCAAACGAGTATACGGATTACCTGATGGTAGGCAATCAGCGCCGCCCATGGACATCCAATACACCAAAGAAGTTACGAGTGCATTGCTGGACTTTTCAGTATTTCTGTTACAAATTTACAACATAATAATTTTATAAAAAAAAGTTGAATTGTATCTTGTAATGTCGTTTCAAAAATCAATATTTCTCAAACCATTTACTTTTTTTTCCATTCAGGATCAGCACTACTTCGAATGTTGAACCACGTTTTAAAAAGCGATGTCTTCAACGCTGGAGTAACAAATTACCTCAACTCCAAAATGTATGGGAACGCCGAACAAAGGGACCTTTGGAGTGCTCTAACAAGCGCAGCGAGAAAAACTGGGGACTTCGATGCAGATGTCGCTGTGGTCATGGACTCCTGGACCCTGCAAACTGGTTTTCCAGTCCTCACAGTAACAAGAAACTATGAGAACGGAAGCCTGTTTTTCAAACAGGTTAGTTACAATTCCATATTAGAGAGTCAATTGTTGTGTAGGCAAGAAATTGATAAAGGAAAGCTGTAAATAGCACTAATATTAAAATATTGTAATATTATATCAAAGTCCAGTGCTTAAAAATAATAAAAAAAACACAACCAATCAGATTAAGGCTGTAAACGCCATCTTTTGCTAAAAAGGGAAAACTTAAACTTAGTTGACAACAATTATCACTAGATGTCGCTAGTATGCACAATAAAACTAATATTCTAGCGATCATAATATCGAGGCGCGTGGCTTTAATAAAACATTTATATTGTCCTCGTGCCCTATAAGATAATTACCTAGTTTATATCAGTATTCATAAACGGATTTTTATCGAGATAGTGCTTAATACTGATATTTTGTTGACAAATTAATGTTATCAGATTAGAGAAACCGTCTTTTAGTAGATTTTATCATTATCAAATAAATAGATTTGATTTATTAATTTGTATATTGGCACATTATATTAGTAGGTAATAATATATATAGTAGATTAGTGGAATGCAATACCTACCCTTATAAAATTCTAATCATAATTGTCGCGTGACTTTTGAAAATCACGTGTCTTAGCCGTTTTACATAACATAAATTTCCGATTAATAAGGCTTAATCTTCGAAGCGGTAAGCAGAAGTGTGCACGTAATTAATTTAGGGATGAGCCTATTATCATGTCTTGTAAAAGGGTATAATTTCAGGCTCTTTAATTTTAGCAGAAAATCCCAATATTTTGTAAGACCTAAAGACAAAGTAAATTTAACAGCATTTAAATTGTTAACCTACCTAGGTAAACGGTGAAGAAATGGAGTAGAATACTTCACTTAGTATATTTTACCGACGGATTATCTGATGGTAAGCAATCGGTGCTGCCCATGGAATGTCGCTACCCCAGAGGAGTTACGACTGTGTTGTCGCCCTTTTGGGAATTGGTATTTCGGAGATTTGGGGATTTGGGAAGAATAAGGGAAGGGGGAGGAATAAGGGAAATGGGTAGGAATAAGGGCAAGGGGAGGAATAAGGGAAGGGGGAGGATGGGCCTCACTCCCACTTGGAAATAAAACGCTGTGGTGAATCACGCCGTTATTTTTTTTTGAGTTGTTAAATACGCTGCCCAAATACCTATTAGACGAAATCGACGATAGGTGTCTTTCGTAGGAGGATAATAAGAATAAATATGTAATAACCTACTTTCGTACTTGGAAATTACGTTTGATACCCATCTTTTAAAGTACAGTAGTAATAAGATTAGGTACAATTTGTTAATATTCTTCAAAATCCTGTTGTCAGAATCCTGTTGTCTACGTACCTAAATGATTTGACATGTATTTTACTGTAAGTATACGCTATGTTTTAAATTAATTATGGTATGTTTTAAAATTATGTCTTACGTTTTAAATAAACGTTGAACTTATCGTAAAAAACGCACTCACTACGCAGGAAAAAATCCTAGTGTGGGGACAAGGTTTTTCTCCTTCGTGGATGCGTTTTCCAACATACACATGACACCCAGACCCAGAACAACAATTTTTGGATCACACAAAGAGTAGTTCCGTTCGGGAATCGCACCCGCAACACTTTGAGTCCAGCCACGGTGCCAAACTTGCATTGATTTATTCTAAACAGATCTTGTGCAATTACCAATATACGTAGGTACTTGCCTCTGTGATGTCATTATGTGTATATTTAAAAAGGTGATATTTTTTCAAAACTATTAAAAATATCCATTCCAACGAAACTTTTAAGTGCGGGAAAGCCATGCTTCGGCACGAATGGGTCGGCTCGACCGGCGTGATACCACGGCCTCACAGAAAACCGACGTGAAATAACCACTGCGTCGTGTTTCGCCGTGTGAGTGAGGTTACCGGAGGCCCAATCCTTCCCCTTCCCCAATACCTCCTCAATCCCCAAAAGGTCGGCAACGCACTCGTAACTCCTCCGTTGCGAGTGTCCATGGGCGGCGCTGATTGCTTACCATCAGGTTATCCGTCTGCTCGTTTGCCGACCTATTACATAAAAAAAACTATCTTGTCCTGGTGAAGAACACATATTTTATTTGTTTACTAATATAATAATATACATAGCTACGTTTGTCTAAAAACTGCACCAACTTACCAGTACGAACAAATTTTTAAGACCTTGAAAAGTCTAGAAATATGAATTATCATGGCTGCTATCAAATAATTATGGCTAGACGCGATTCCAACCATGATTAGTCAATTTGTGCAGACGTCACTACAATGATAGCTATTAAATATTTTAGGTGTAGGAATACAGAATAATAATAATAATTTCATATTGAATAATGTGATGCAATTTCCAAGTTATATTAGAGCATAATTATGCTAAGATGTTCTTCAACGTAAAATAGAGTGAAAGGTTGAAAAGTGCCAAAATTTTATACGCAGCTCCATATGGGATACTGTCAGATGGCGTAAGATCGCTGTTCATTTTAATAATAGTTTCAAAACAAGTTAACGAACCTTTAGAATTATTCAATAAATGAGACTAATGCAAAATCCAAATAATAATACGTCTAAGGAAATGGCGAATTAAATCAATATAAACAGAATCACACTTATAACCAACGTGTTTCTATTTGCAGGAACGTTTCGTTTTAATTAATGACACGTTTGAAACTCAAAAATCTCCTATATGGTGGATCCCAGTTTCTTACGCCACAGCTTCGGACAAAGATTTTGAGACCACACAACCGAAACTATGGCTGAAAGGGGAGAAGTCTTTAACAGTCAACAATATTACAATGAGACCCGAAGACTGGTTTATAGCTAATGTGCAGCAAACTGGTGTGTATTCAACTAAATATATTATGCAGGAAATGTTAATTTGTTGAAGGATTTTTATAAATACAAAGATTTTTTTATCACTAGATCCAAACTAATATTATAAATGTGAAAGTAACTCTGTCTGTCTGTCTTTTCTTCACGCCTACTGTGTACTCGAAAAAGGACATAGGACAGTTTTTAAACCAAGAATATGCAGGAAGTCCACTATTCTAAAAGCTAGTTATACTTATAATATATAATATTACTGTCTATAGTAATTAAAACTATAAATCTAAAGATTTTTTTATTAGTGAACGCGCTTGCATTTAATCAAGCGCGTTCATTGTAATTTCTAAAACATTTTTTGTCTTAGAGTTCATTTATCAAGTAAAGCTATAAAATTTCACGATAGAAACAGTAAGAGTCGATCATCAAGGGGTACTGCATTGAAATAAAAATTCCGAAATGTAGAACAAACTAAAATCACTTTGCTCAATTTTATTAGAGGCCAATTATGTACTTGATCGGCAGACGTGATAAAGACTAATGTTAATTTTACAACTTTAACATCAGATTATATACTTATTATTATATTATAAGCTATACCTAAAATTCCCAATTTACGTACTACGCATAGTATTAATTATGATTTTAATCACAATTTAAAAAAAAAACCACTTTAAACAAGATAGATCCGCATTTCAAAATCTGTTCACGTTTTTAAAATATGATACTTATCTACCGCAGTATAATTTGCATTTTTCACTGTGATAATTATCTTTTTATCCAAGATACTATGAACTTAATCGAATGTTTATGCTTTTTTTTTTGTGAGGGGAAAATCATCGAATGACTTCTCCTGCCCAGGGTCGGGCGGGAGGGAGTGCCAGACTCTGACCCCTGTTCCTTCTCCTGCTCTGGGCCGAGGTCGCGTTGCCTCATTGAGCTTACCCCGCAACAACGGCTGTTATGCTGCTATCTAAATTTTGTTTTTCGAATTTTTGCTACCATTGTTGTTAGACAACCCTATTGCAATTATATTGGTGAATTGAGGTTCTATACAAATAAACATATATATACATACTTAGCCTTATATATATAGCGTACTATGAGGATTGGAAGCACACAAGAAAAATATCTACTATGTACTAACATCTTCAATTTGCCATCAAATGACAACAAATGTCAGACAGTAATCCTTAATTTATTTTCAGGTTTCTACCGTGTAAACTATGATTTACAAAACTGGAAGCTTTTAATCAAGATCCTTAAGGATCCAGCTAGATTCCAAGAGATCCACATTATCAACAGAGCTCAGTTGGTGGACGATGCCATGAATTTGGCACTAACAGGTCGGCTGGACTATAGAACTGCATTGGATGTTACCAGCTACCTCGCTCATGAGAGAAGCTATGTGCCTTGGAAGGCTGGACTCTCAGCACTGGGTTATATAGACACAATGCTGTCAAAAGGAGCTCATTATTTGGAGTATGGGGTGAGTACTAAAATAAATAGGTACGCGCAATTTTTTTTATATTAGTGTTTTATTTTATACTAGCCTCCACCTAGGCATGGTATATTGATGAAAAACAAGGCTATATTATAATCCAGGGTATCACCTATATACCTACCAAATATTAACTAAATCGATTCAGCCGTTCTTGCGTAAAAGAGAAGATAATAAACATACATCTATACCTTCTCACAAACTTTCACACCTTTTGTATTTAGTAGGATTAAGTCATGTGAGACGTCACTTAGTAATTAAATTGGCCAGAAAGTAGTCGAGATAAGTATGTATATACCAAACTGTTACGCGAGTTAACCACGCAACACTTATCTTTCCATAGTAGCAGCAAAAAGTTGATTGTTGTTAAAAAAGAGATGGCGTTAGTAGTGCCAATTTCAATAAAATTTGAAAATAAATCAAGTGGATTATCGATAGATGGCGTTACCGATAATAAGTGAGTGTATTTAACGGTCAATAAATAAAGTTATTTGTAAATTTTATGCAAAATACTTTGTATATATGTTACATAACTCAGTAAAAATGTCTGTTAGTGTATGGTTAATTTTGTTCTCAGTTCAGAAATAATGAGCTTTCAAGACAAGGAAAAATCTTTAAGCACCATAAGTAGAAATCTGAAGCCTAACTTTTTATATATTTTACAATGTTTTATTTCTTAGTCTTACTATTTTTTTGATGAAACGAAATATATATTTCCAATTTCAAAACCTCTAGTATCCAATCGTCAAATCCTTAACAGCACCCAAAAGGCCGAAACCATACTTTGAACCCTTCTAATGTTGGGATGACCCTCGGCAGTGCTGTTAGCTTACCATCGGGAGACCAGATTATTATTATTACATAAAAAAACTGGGAGTTTGTTATACATAAACTAGTTCAGAGAATTAGAATTGCAAATCTCACTGCACTAAAAACTTATCTACAGACGTCATAGATATATAAAGTATTTGATATGACTCCGTAAATTAGTTTAAGATTGGGCTACGAAAACTGGACGATACGGCATGTACTCAATAAAGATTATTGTAATGAATAATTTAAGATTAGGAATATCGATTAAGATAACGATAAAAAAATAGACTAACATTAATTAAAGATATCGAAAGATACGTAAAGTTGTAAGTCGATATGCTTCTTACCTACTTGTTGATGATAAGTATTATACCTACATCGAATGTCGAAAACAAAATTAAATGCTTGCCCAATCTGTTTAACTGACCAACTGTCCGTTCATTTAGTTTAGGCCTATTTCTTATGAAGTAGGCCAGCAAACGAACTGGCGGATTAACTGATGATTTTTAATCGGCGTCATCTTGAGTTATGCATCATCATCCACTTGGAGAACGGGTCAACTCAAACGGAGTCAAATACCGAAATTGCCTGAAAAAACTGAAGTCAGACTGAAATGGGACATCAGCCGGCGATTATCCCTTTATACACTATGAAAGTGCACCGGTTGATGTAGGACTATTATGCAATAGGGTAAAAAATTGTTTGGCAACGGGTGTGGGTGACTATAGATTGGTAGATATGATAACTCTGGAAATACTATGGCCCCTGCCCCTGACCAATATTGATACATACGGATAAACAGGCAGGGGGTGACTGGCAAACTCAATTAATTGGCCCGCCTGTAGCCACACGGAGGCAACATACGTTGATCTGCTTGGGGATGGAGCTCGGAGCACGGTTATCAGAGCAATCCCGGAAGAATATCAAGACCCTTACCCGAGATACATACTTCCCCCGAGTCTCCTTCAACTTGCAAATCTCCACCCAAGCCAGCCAATTAAGGCAAGAATTGGATGATGATTGATCTAGAAGGGCTTGTTCTTCATGAGCGTTCACTCCAAGTAGTCAGCAGGCCGGAGATAAGAAACAAGACACCTCCCGGGAGTCAGGCCCATGGGGTCGCCACTGTCCAACAGCTCGCCACAAGCTGCCTTGCAGAATTACTTTCATTATTATTATCAGCCATTGTCACTGCAGGGCAAAGGTCTACCCATCTCCCACTCCTCTTTGCGGCCAATCCTTGTCAAGTTCGTCTCACCATCTCCTTTGAGCCTATTGCATTCATTTATAAATAAAATTATCAGTGCTGAGAAACCGGTATTGACAACGATCAAAATATGACCTTTAAGTTTCATTTGAAACCTTTATGACTAATCTTTAAGTTCCGTTTAAGACAATAAGTTCTTCAAAACTTTGATACTTATCTAAATGTTTGCGATAAATTAATACGAATTAATTCACATTTTATCCGGCTATCATGAGTCATGTTTATGTACTACAGAGTCATCCCGACATAACAAAAACTCATCACAACACATCATCAGCTTATAAGTCATCATCAGCCTATTGTTAAGCATACATAAATAGAAAGAAAGAAGGAAAGAAGAAAGAAAAAATATTTATTTCCACCGTAAAAAAATTACAAACAAGAAAATTAGGTACAACTTATATGGAAAGTATGCGCGGCGCAAAAAAGCCAAGTGCTCAGCTAAAATGCCGTGACCCGAGAGCAATAACTCACTACAATAATAATATTAGATATATAATATGAAAATACATTTGTTATACAAAATAAATTTTACAGTAATAGTATATTAAAAAAAAAAAACAATAAATCACCACACTTGCTCAACGCTGATTAGCAATTTCAAACTTTTATTTAGAAAATGTTAAGTCCAAATTTCCTCAAGACATTTTCGTTCCCCGTTTGTCAATGGTGTCTAAAATAAACTTAGATATAACTCTTAAATCGTGAGTTTGGTACTTGCCAGGTTTCGACCCGAACTCTCATGCTTGAGAAGCTGGCGTCTTAAACCACTTAAGAGGATATTTTCGTCTCTTAGTTACACATATCTTTAGAAACTAAGATAGTCTAGCATGGAAGTGCAATGCTTCGGTACGAATGTGCCGGTTTCACTTGCAATACCACAGACTAACAGAAAATCGACGGAAAATAACGCTTAGTGTTATAACGTATAAGTGTATTTACTGGAAGCCCAATCAGATTCCCTCTCCTTCCCATGTCAAATCCCAAATGCTTTAAATCTTAGCAACCCTTAAAACGCACTCATAACTCATTAGTTGACCTGTGCCATAAAAACGACTATACAAGTTATACTTAACTAGGAAAACTTATTATGATGGTTCTTTACTGGTTTTCGACCCTTGTAGTTGATTACAGGTCAACGCGACTAATTTCAATACTGTTAAACATCCTTAAATGCTCATTATCGGCTCATGTCGTAATTGCTAAGCAGTTCACATTTTTTTATAATAATAATAATTAGTAAGAAAGTGCGTGCCTATCTGTTGCTACTTTAGACCTTATCTACATATAGTTTAGAATGAGATTGATTAAAGCCTTTGTAACCATTTCATGACCGGCTTAGTGTGACGAAGATAATGAATTTTGGCATATCTAAATATTATGGACTTTAATTAATTGGAATTGCCAATCCTTAGGTATTCTTGTGAGAAGAGGCTTTTGCTCAACAGATGGAAAGTTAAAGGCTACTGTAAAAATATAAACATAATTTTGTTATATATCTCTTTCTCAAATTCAAAAATTCGTAAAATTTCAATCAGAACATCATAATCAAACAACCAAAGAGAGTCCGGTGGTGGTTCTTTTAAAGAATTTTATCGATTGACATGTGGGATAGAGACCCAACTTCAAATTGAATGGAGGATGCGGCTACCAAATCTCTGTAAAATATTAAGTCAGTTCTTTGTCCTGTTATTACATAGGAAACAAAAATGCAAAGAATAATTGTTCCATACCTACTATATTTTTATGATTTATAAATACAGGATATTGCCGACCGGATCACAAATAATCTGGGATAAAAATTAGGGTTAGGCAAATAAATATTTGCTCTAAAAAGTCTAGGAAAACAATAAAGATATCGATTATTCAGTAATTTATGTATTAATAATAATTGTAATAACCTATTTTGTTTATTATTATTTTTTAATCGTTATCGATTTTTTATAATTATTTATAACGATGCATTTAGAAAATAACAACGTTTATCGGTTGATAAGTAATAAATTATGCGTCTTAACGGAAATAAGTTTATTGCTCAGGATTGATGAACTTAAGTACATATTATAGTCATACATCATTGTAATTAAGTATCAGGTAGGTTTACGTAAGGTATACACACTTAATTATAAACGAAAAGCAGTACACAATTTTTATTAGATTTAAGTTGTCTCAGCCGGGGTTGCGGGGTAAGCGCAATGAGGCACCGCGACCTCGGCCCAGAGCGGGAGAAGGAACAGGGGGTTTTTAGTCAGTAAGAGTCTAACACTCCCTCCCGCTCGGCCCTGGGCGGGAGAAGTCATTTGATGATTTTCCCAACACAAATAAAAGAGTCTGACACTTCGTTAAATTGAAGTCATTTGATGGTATGGTATTCCCCGCAAAAAAGTAAAGTCCTGCTCCAATAAGTATTAAATGTCTCATATAGCAAAAGCAAAAACACAATTAATTCTATAAAATGACCAAAAGATGGCGTTAGTTGTATCGAAAACGTATCAAGTGTGAATATTTTTCAGTACATTAATGTAGTCCTGATAAATTATTATCAATGTACGCACGTAATCTCATAATCCGATTGTAATCATATCAAAGTACGTAGGTACTTGTTTTAGTTGAGTCAGGACGATATTCAAAGGTTATATTTTCCTAGGTATTGAACAATTTTCCTAAGCGTTTTTCCTATTATTTATAGAGAATTATAGAAACACATTCGCTTTACTCTCAGAGGTGATATAGCAGCAGAACACTATTTTAAAACTTTAGACACATAATAAACACCATGACTGGATCTAAGTGTCTAATAAGGTTTCCATCGCGGTTCCAGAAGCTACCAGAAGCCTATACAACACCTATTCGATAATCCCCAAAAAGACAGCAACGTTCTTGTGCATGCTCTGATGTTGCCAGTATTCATTGAAGGAGGCCGATTGCTTACCTTCAGACTACCTTGTAAACCTTTAAAAAAGAACAAAACAAATTCTATTCTTACAGCATTATGTCCTTCGACTTTTAAACGATGCTGTGAAGGAAGTTGGCTGGGAGGTGTCTCCGAATGAGAGCGTTATCACCTCGCAATACCGAGTGGACCTTCTAGCTTCAGCCTGTCACTTCGAACACCCTGATTGCCTGGAAAATGCTGTTAGGATGTACACCAACTGGATGCTTGCTCCAAACCCTGATTCGAATAACGAGTAAGTAGACCTACTTTTCTTTTGTTCTTTCTTTCTAGAATTATTATGAAATTTAAGTAAAAAAACATTTTTAAAATGTGCTTTTTCAGGTGGGTTGTCAAGTCCTTATTCTAAAAACCTAGAAACATTTTTAGGTGTTTAAAATAAATATAACTAAGCATTTATGGTTAAGCGATCCCATCAACAGAGGTTATGAGACGACAAACCTTTTTATCGAAGTTCAATAATTGTGAGCCATTATTTGGCGCTACTGGGCTGGTTCGACAGCGCGCTGGCTGGCTGGAAGAACATTAGCATTGTGATTTGCCATCCCATAATAAAGTTGGACCATAGTCCAATAGCGGACTGTAACCAACTCCAGGCGATGCATTTAATGTATTTAAAATAACAAGATTTTTTTTTATATTCCAGGATTCATGTTGATCTGCGAGGGATAGTCTACTGCGTTGGAGTACGAGCTGGTGGCGTGAGGGAATGGACTTTTGCATGGGACAGGTTCAAGGTGGCAACCGCGCCGTCAGAGCGACACCGGTTATTGTCTGTGCTGGGTTGTACAAGGTCTCCTTCATTGCTTCATAGGTGAGTTCTATGGACTTCTAATAAGACTTATTATAAGTTGCTGGCTTAATGAATTGGTATAGGTCCAGGGTTGCGGAGCAGGAGATGGAATGGGGGGTTCTTAGTCCGTAACCACCTTGAGCGTGAGCGGACTTATTATTTCGGATTTTACCATTTCCAAAAAAAAAAATGTGGTGCAATAAAATGTTAATTTTATAGGAACATTATATTAAAAGGTTTCCGGATATCACTGTGTAATATCACAGTGGTTTATATTCTCACAATGTGTCACTAAGGCACTAAGGAATCCTTGGAACCGCTGGTTGAATGGCCAAAATACTTTCACTCATAGATAGCTACAATGTTCCTGAGTGCTATAGGCTATAAAATATCATGCTACGATGAAATGAAAACGCGTGAGAGTAGCTAGTTTTTTTAGAATTTTTAACTGTTTTTGTTGTCATAACATAATTATATTATTTTTACAGGTATTTGGAAATGTCATTGCGCAACGACAGCGGTATTAGGAAGCAGGATATCGTCCGTGTTTTCTCAGCGGTTGCTGGTACGGGTATTGGACAGCCAATAGCTTTCAACTACATCAGAGCCAACTGGCAACGACTTCGATCATTGTAAGTTATGCTTTTTAATTTATATAAACTTTTTGATGTTCCGAGCAGACGGATTAGCTGAAGGTAAACAATGGGTGACAACCATAGTACCAAATGAGTTACTACAAGTGCGTTGCCCGTGCCGGCCTCTTGTGAGTTATTAGAGATTGAACGATAGGAGAATTGAGGATTGAGGATAGGGGAAGAGGGGATGAATTAGACCTTTACAGACACTTTCGAACGTTAAAAAAAGCTTACCCACAGATAAAAATGGTCAGTCTGTCGGTCAATCATCCTGGCGAAACTATTAAAATTTGCTCGTTCCAAAGTGCTACACTTTGGAACGAGCAAACTAGAAACTTTATGGTTACTTTTTTTCAATAAAGCCAAAATCAAAATCATGTATTTTTATTAGACTACATTACTTAGGTACTTTTGAACGTCAAGCAAAAAACGGAAAAAAAGTATTGCAAGAGCTTGAACATTAAGCGTGTCAGTCTGCCCGTCTGTCCTCTAGTGAAGCTATTTGCTGGACAAAGAGTAACGGAAAATATAATTGAAGAACATTACTTTGTCCGTAGAAGTTATTCCAAATTTTAATACGATTGTTTTTTATTTTCAGCGTCGGATCCCTGTCTACAATCAATTTGATCGTAAAACTTGTCACCCGAAGGCTAAATCAGGCGCACGAATATGAAGAGGTATTATTTTCTTTTTTAGTTAATATTTGAATCATTTCTTTATTTTGAACTACCAGTACTTTTTAAATTTATACTCATATCCAAAAGCTTAAGTGAAAATTATAAAATAATACGCAAACACATTTGTATTTAAAAATAAATATTTTTTATCGAATTTCTTTGTCAAAAAATGCATCTTGATAATCAAATGGTAAGATCAATATCTACAAATAACTAAGTGGTTCTTACAAATCAATAAAGGATGTAAATATAGGTACTAAATTGATCTGAATGACTAATAAAGGAAAACGGTGCTGTAAAACTTTTTCATATTTATCTACGGATGTGTTATGCTAATCTTGTTTTAGTGGTAGATGAATGCGTTATCACGATGATTAGTTACAAATTATAATTGAATGCCTAAAATTCCATTTTGATTATGGAATGGTCATTGAATTTTTTTTTTACTTTTTTTGACATAACTCTGTAATTGTATGGTTAGTTGCACTGTTTAGTTATACCAAGAACTTTAGTTTTGTCTAGTTGAATTCAATAATTAGTGCATCTACCTTGAACCTCGAAATGCACGGAACCATACGATCACTGTATCGCAGTCTTGCGGACGTTGAGTAAGGGTAGCTCGCCGCCCGACCAGAACCAGACCCTGAGCGTACGTTCCGCGCGCCTCAAAGAGCCAATATACCACTACAGACGGGGTCCTATAGGGCCGATGTTTAGTCGGGGTTGTAAAGTAAGCGCAATGAGGCACCGCGCACCTGGAGCAGAAGATGGAACGGGGGGGTTTTTAGTCAGTAAGAGTCTGACACTCACGCCTTCCCAACCCTAGGCGGGAGAAGTCATTTGAGGATTTTACTCTCACAGTAAAAACACTACGTTAAGGCCCTGTCCGATGGCAATTGTAACATAAACTAATACAATATTTAAATTTTTTGCAGTTAAAAAGATTCGTGATGGAGTCCTGCAGTGACTTGGGACGTCCAGTCCAGCAAGTGTTGGAGACCATCTCATCTAATGTGCAATGGAGGGATAGGAACTATCATACTATCGTCGACTGGCTTCGAGCAGCGGATCAAGCAGCGAAACTAAACTAAGAATATTCTAGAATAAATTGTCATTACCATGACCCCAAATGTACAGAATATTCATTCTTCATGATCTGATTAGGTAGTATAGAGGTTTTATACTTTCAAACTTTATGAAATAAATAAATTAATCTTCATTATTATTTATTAGGGTCAAATTTGCACGAACATTTCAACTTGGTATTTTTGTAGTAATAAGTCATAGTCAAAATATTTTTAATCCAACTTAACCATATATAGGTACTTTTGAGACGTCAGAATACAAAATATTCTGTCAGTCAGTTTGTCAGTGAAGATATATGGGAACATATTATGTTACTGTAAAGCTCGAACTGCGGTAAATCTTAAGATTATCCAGTCAAACCTTAGTTTTACTTTATTAGATGACTATAAATTTTATTAGTGTCCGATCGTTAAATTTAAACACGTGATGTCACACATGATGATGACAAACATTTTTCCATACAAAACTTTTTTTCTTTATTAATTAGTTTTATTTTATTTCTACTTATGTATCACAAACTTTGCGAGACCGCTGTTAGCGGCGCGGCACCGCGTGACCGCGTCTGAGCTTTACACACAATTTTTTTTGAAAGTAATAACGATAAAACTAATGAATACTTATAGAAAAAAATTTCTTCGGAAAAGTTATTTTTCATCATGTGTTTTTATATCAGTTACTTATTACCAGTCACCCTAATTATAATATAATAGTACTGCAAGATGTACGTAGATACATACTTACCTATAGTCTTTTTGATGACATATTAATAGGGATGACGACTAAAAAACAATAATTAGTCCATCTTTTAGAACAGAAAATAGTAGATACGTATTTTTTCTTTTGCTTCTAAAACTTAAAATAACAATGTTACAGAGCGGCGAAAGTTCGCGCTACGTCATTATTTCGTAAATTTTTACGAAAGAGTGCCGTCACGAGCCCCATACTCCTTAATTTGAATGTGCTGTATCTTTGTCAATATTATTGGAATGGACAACTAAAAAAATACGTATCGAGTATTTTTCTATAATCTAACTGACGGGCTAATTAGAATCTTGTTGTTTTAACCCATGAGACATCCCTATTATGATACATTATTTGGTTTACTCACTCCTAGTTGGCATTGTGTGCGACATCATCAGCTATTGCCGCTCAAGCTGCTTATATGGTTATTAACCGGGTCAGCTATAAACTAGTCTACCTTCGATGTATAGGTACCTTCAAAATACTAATAGAAAATCAAATATTATTCAAGTTTTCATATTAAAACTTTATTTTTGTCGTACTGAAATTGTACACGAGGATGACAATCTTCAGACTATACTACAGTTTTCCCGTTTTATTTAACTTATACGACGTAATTTTTTTTTATCGGATACTTCGCAATTGACGCAAGTAAGCTAGTTGTTTTCTTGAAGTGAATAGCGACTAGGTATGTTGATTAACAAAATAAAATATTCTACGAACGAAATTTTTTTATTTGAAATTCGCAAACTCTGCAAAGGTAGATACTGACGAGCATTTCTGAAAACATTTTAGCGAGTTTTTCAAATAGTTTCAATGTATTTGGCCATTTTTTGTAATCTCCACACTCCTGTTCTTAAAAATTAAAATAATTATTTATATAAAATATTGTATTAACTTATCTTAGATAGATAATTGTCTGTAAATACAAACTGAACTTTGTACTAATTAGATCTAATTCTAATATAATAACTTTCATAAATTAAAGTTTATAAAATTTGTGGTTTATAATTATTGTGTTTTATTTTTTTACTAGCGTTTGTGCCCGCGACTTCGTTCTCGTGGAATAGTGATTTCCTGCTGATTTTTGGTATAAAAACTATCCTATGTCCTTTCTCGAGTTACAAACTATGTCTGTACAAAATTGCACAGAAATCGGTTCAGTTGTTTATGCGTGAAGAAAAGAAAGACAGACAGACAGAGTTACTTTCGATTTTAAAATATTAGTTTGGATTTGTATTGGGATAACGAGCTGGCTGATTCATCTGATTGTCAGCAATATGGTAGTTGCCAACTAGTAAAATTCAATACTTTTATCCAAATGTCAAAAACGATACTTTTCTATGAAATTTGTATGAAAAACTGAGTTATTGACGTCATAGTATTTTTGCGTCAAATAGCTTACTTTTTTATGATGGTAAGTAATCAGCGCCGCCCATGGACACCCGCAACGGAGGAGTAAGGAGTGCGTTGCCGACCTTTTAGGGATTAGGGTTTTGGAGATTTAGGGATTGAGAGGGATCGGGGGAGGGGAAGGATTGGGCCTCCGGAAACCTCACTCACACGGCAAAACACAACGCTGTGGTTGTTTCACGACGGTATTCTGTGAGGCCGTGGTAACACTCCGGTCGAGCCGACCCATTCGTGCCGAAGCTTGGCTCTCCCACACTTAAATTTCTTAATTATTACCTAAAAAATATCCAAAACTTAGTGTATCGATCGATCGATGAATAAAAGTATAGTTATTTTTTAACGTCGAATTAATTTATTTTTGACCTAGGAAACTACCCAATTGGCACTGCCCATTGACACTCGCTTCACCAAAGGAGTTACGAGTGCGCTGTTGGCCTTTTGTTAGATAGTGAAGGAAATTTTGACTGCACGGTTGACGTGGTAGCTGTGCAACCGGCTGCAGCGCATTTCGCATGTTTTATTCCCGTAAGGCTTGTGCCTTACCAGAATCAAACACGCGACTCTTCTTTGTGTAATCCAGATATTGTTTAACACATATTTATAGACACTAACATAAAAACACCGCAAAATAGCAGGCAAAACACAAGGTTCTTCATGACAGATATGACTAAGCTACAAGAGTAACGTTTTTTTGTTTGCAATTTGGCGATGCAGCCCTTACCTCTCCAATGTAGCCGGCCAGCTACTTGTAAAGTATTTTGGTGAATATCATGAAATGTTTCAACAACATGACATCTCTGTGCAATACAGCCATTATTTCATTCAGCTGGGGTTGCGAGTGCAAGATATTTTAATTTAAATGGTATACGGTCGGCAAACGAGCAGACGGATTACCTGACCACCGCCCATGGACACCAGAAACGTTGCTGGCATTTTAGGGATAAGGGTCTTGGATATTTATGGATTGGGAAGGCATGGATTGCGTCACCGGTAACCAACTCTTTCGGCGAATCGCAACGCTGTGCCGGTTTTCTGTGGTGTCACTCCAGTTGTGCCGACCCATTCGTACCGAAGCTTGGCTCTCTTATACTAAAACGATTTTCCCTCATAAGAAAGGGATTTATTGCACTGTGTTACTACGTTAGGAAACCATAGGCTTTGCATTGCATTTCCATCGCAGAAGGTAATCCTCGAAAGAAGATGCCTCTAAACTTAACATGTAACGTTGAAAGCTGTTAAAATATTTTTGCTATTTCGCAATTCGATTTTCATCTTAACAATCGTTAAAAACATATAGATATTATTAAGATGATACTTAAGAACACAACATTGTTTACCGTATTACATGTGAAATCTTTTTATTTAACAAAAATTGTTGTGGTGGAAAAGCTATAAAAGAAATCCCTGACTGGTGGAATTATGATGTGTATAGTACTGATAATTTATCATAACTTTATTATTACTTTTTACTTAGTTAACTTTCATTCACCTTTGGAGCCGAAGCCAATTCGCCGAGACCCTTTGAACAACTTTTATATTTGTGAAATGGGACTGCAGCCGACATTTATCAATGTATGATGCTCAATGATAGTGCACCAAAGAACAGTCCCTGGTTGATTTAGTAACTTTATATTTGTTTATAGTTGTGAAAACGTTCTGAGGATACCTAGATTGGGCCCGCACGATCTCCCACTTTAGTAGGTTAGGTTAGTAACAAAAATATTAATATAACACATGTACAGTAAGTACATATAATTGTGTTATTGTTATTGTTTTGATGTTGACTGAATTATTGAAAAATTTATAATCTTGATTAATGAAATTTAGAGCTGACGTTTTATTTTGTTTACTTTTCTTTTATTTGATTTTGTTATTTTAGTGTGATTCTATTTTAATTTGATTCTGATTATTTTGATTCGATTGTATTTATTTTGATTGTAATAATTAAATTTTGACTTTTATATGTTTAATTTAAATTCGATTATATGTTACATTTTAATTGTTAGAAATTTTATGATAAAATGTCAACTTTATTGAAAAAATATTAACTTCATTTTATTAAATGTTGCTGTGCCATACTACATTACGGGGTCCATAAATGTACCTACTTAGCTTAAAGCGTATTGTAACACCCTATTTACTTTATGGAATGCAAATAAAAAAATAAAAAAACAAAAATAAAACAAAAACAGTACACCTCCGACCGAATTTTGCAAAATACAACCGTGTTTGAACTTTTAAACAAATATGATTGTTAAGAATTATGCTGCCGAAAATTGATAGTATCTAATATTATTTTATCCGCTCGTATTTACGAAATCGATTTTTACTGTAATCAGTGATAGACGGAATAAAAGTTAATCCACCTACTGAAATGATAAAAATATAGATAATATCACAAATATTTTGATGGGTGCTCTCAAGTACGACTGCTAGCTTTATCCTTTATCCTGAATCCTATCACGATACCATCTGGCTTTTGTTGCAAGCACAGTGTGCCGGGGCCTGGCTCAAAGTAGGAGTAAGAAGGTTTGAAGTAGGGAGTAGTGTTTTTCGTCAGTAACACTCTCTCTCAGGGCGGATAAGAGGACTTTACATATACTCATACCTGCACTCAGTGGCTTAATGCGACTTTTATCATGAGGTAAAGGAATACAAAAAAAATACGAACTAGGCCCCTAAAATTAGGGGCTAAGTTTCAACAAGAATAAAGTACCACGCTAGACTTAAGACGATAGGTCAGTCTCTATAGCAAAATGTATACGTTCCATACTATAGTTCCACCATCCATCATAAATTATAAAGAATTCAAAACGTATGATCACAGTTCACACATTTTAAGCGATTAGTTCAGTATTGAAAAAAAGAGATGGCGTTAGTTGTAACTAATGTGACTATAAATTACAAGAAACATTTTAGCACGACTTGACATATTTAAATGATAATAAATATTATCTTTCAAAACTGTTGAGTCATATTCCAATAAATATAAAATTTTCTGTTAACGACTTATTTGTAAGGAAAAAAAATAAAAAAAATATTTAAAAAAAAATATTTTTTCTATTGCAAATAACATTTATTACTTTTACAGTATGTAAGTTTAATACATAAATATAAAACAATTTAAAACAAAAAAAGCTTACTCGAAGTGGTCTCCATAAACGTTGAGGCCAGTTATCAATAGATGCACGCACTCTTTCCATGGGAAAATTCTTCACCGCCAATCGTATGGATTGTTTTAGGGAGTCCAAATTATCATGACGTTTAGAGCAAGTCCTACTCTCTAAAACTGACCAGAAATCATAATCCAGTGGATTAAGATCGGGACTAGACGACGGCCAGTCTTCAGCTCTGATGAAGTCGGAAACGTTCGTTTCCAACCAAGACTGCATGGACCGAGCTTTATGACCCGGCGCCGAGTCTTGCTGGAAGGACCATTGTTGTCTATTGAACATGGTGTTGTTAAGGGGCTTAACTACCTTCTCAAGAATGGTATTTTGATACACTTTTTCGCAAAAGTATGGCTCAGTCACTCCTTCATAGCTAACACCCCACCAAACCATCACTGAAGTCGGATAATGCCCACGTTGCACTCTGTCGACTAATTGAGAAGCTTCCTTAGAGCTTTGAGCATAAATACGGTCATTTTGTTTGTTAAAATGTTGCTCAATTGTAAAAAAATTTTCATCCGTAAACAAAATTTTTCTGTGACCTCCCTTTGCGTACCGTTTCAGTAGTTGTTTAGATGTTACCACCCTATTCTTTTTTAAATTATCTGTTAAAAAATGTCAAGTGCGTCTCTTATAGGCTGCAAGTCCTAAGTCGTCTTTTAAAATACGCGACATGGTTCTAGGTGCTATCTATCCAAACGTGTGGAGAGTTTTAAAAATTGAATTTGGCTCCATACCCACTTTGTGTAATGCAATCACAGCGATTCGGTTCTCTTTATCACCCCACTCCATTTTAATATCGCAAAATATTGAACAATTTGTTGGCGCCAAAATAAGAAAACACAATGAAAAATTATAATAAAAATGACAGATTCCGAATTCAAATGTAACATTTTGTTTATTTTTCATTGTAACAGTATTTATGGCCAGACTATGTATATTACAATTATACTGTAAAAATTGTCCTTCGTGGGAGGAGAATGAATCTTTATTTTGTGTCTTCGTTTCATTTTATGGGATCACAGCATTCCAGACCTTTAGAAGGCGTACGAGAAGCCGCAGCTTACTCGCAGAGGCTCGTTGAACAGTTTTAATCTAAATGTGATGGGCCATCAGCCGGCAATTATGCTCTATCAAAGTACACTCAAGGACAATACCCGGTTGATGCAGGACTATTGTGCAATGTGGTAGAAAATTATATGGTTATGTGTGTAGGTGGCCAGGGACTGGTAGATGATAACTATGGAAATACTATAGCCCCTGCCCCTGACCAATACTGATACATACGGATAAACAGGTAGGGAGTGACTGGCAAACTCATTGAATGGGCCCCCGGAAACAGCCGCTAGCATGTAGCGACACGGCGGCAACATACTTTGAGCTGCTTGGGAAGAGCGATGCATCCCACGGCTATCAGAGCAATCCCGGAAGTATGGTCAAAACTCCTACCAGCACCTTACTGAGATACATCCTTCCCCCGAGTCTCCTTCAACTCCTACTCTTGCGAATCTCCACTCAAGTCAGCCAATTAAGGTAAGAATGAGGCAGGAGGGCTTGTTCCTCATCAGTGTTCACTCCAGCTAGTCACAAGGACTAATCGGAGATGAAGAACAAGGCACCTCCCGGGAGTCAGGTCCGTGGGGTCGCTAATGCCCAATAGCTCGCCACAAGCTACCTACTTACTTGGTATTTTATTGTAACAATACACACATAACCCTATAAAGGATTTATGTACTTTGCATTCGTATTTAATCTTTGCCTCTAGTATTAAAATTATGTGTCGCTATCGTATTGCTCCGTTTTTCAAGTTTCGTCTAAAGAACGACGTCACATATCCTACGCAACACATGTGAAGTTTGCGCTCGAGAATCTTAACTTACAACAGCAGGGCATTCGCCATGCTGATCAGTTCGCCTGGTCGGTCCTTTTAGTAGGGGAGCCCGGGATGCTAAATTTGTAGTTACTCAAGCGTCGTAGAGAGTCATTGGATTCTGAAGATTTGGTGATAAAAAAAATGACTTAATGACATTTTATTCCTCCAGTGGGGGAAGGAGGGAATGATAGTTTACCAAAATTGTAAGGTGTAACTTTTGTTTTAGTGCACGAGCGTGACAGATATTAATAATGTATATTCTCCATGTATCTCTGACAATGAACATATTTCAATCTGCCGAATTGCATGTTGGGGTTGGCTGACTAAGGGAATAGAAATGGGACCCGTTCAAAACTCTACCACTATTGTAAAACACGACGAAATCCGCAGATTTTTTAAAAGCCCTTTCATTGACATGACGTCTTCCTTTTCGACGACTAAAACGACTGTATTTATTATTTTATGCTGTTGTTCTCCCCCCTCCTCTATTTACATTATGCATATGATGGGTATATTCATCTGTTTACTAAATATTCCCCATATGTTAATCTGACGCGCTCGAGTAACTATCGAAATTCCTTCATGGACTCCGCTACTATTTACTCATCCTAGTGAACTTCACCCTCTGTTCCCTAAACAATAAAACAATACGTATGTTATAATGTAAACGTGTTATTGATATCAATTTTTGCTCCTCTTTGTCCAAGTACTGGCATCGTGTAAAGAAGTCTTTAATGTTGACTAGAAAATCTATTCGAGAAAAAAACATGAGAAATTTAAAAGGGCGATGAAAAAGGAACGTATGCTATTCTATTATATTTGAATCAGCTACTCGGCCATGCGTTACCTTTTAACGCATGTCAATATGAAACAGGACGGAATTAGAATATTTTTGGGCATTCTCAGGTGAAGTACCACTTTTTTTTTGTAAGGGGAAAACCATCAGTTGACTTCTCCCGCCCATGGCTGGGCGGGAGGTAGTGTCAGACTCTTGCTGTCTAAAAACTCCCCTGTTCTTTCTCCTGCTCTGGGCCGAGGCCGCGGTGCCTCCTCATTGCGCTTACCCCGCAACCCCGGCTGACCACTGAGAAGTGGTTAAGTCCAATCAGTAGAAATTTATAAATGGTGATTATCACCAAATTTTCGATGAAAATAATCGAAAAGGCAAAGAGCGCTAAGTTCAAAAATGTCCGTATTGTATTTTGTAGTAGAGCTGTTTGAACTTTTAAATCGATTATCAAGTGTACAAATATTTGAATGATTATTGTAAATATCTTAGAGTTATTTTTATTAAAATATTTGTTTATAATTTTATATTTTATTTACACAATCTTGTGAAGTTAATAATTTTATAGCCACCTGAATTTGTCTGTAACTTTTCTGCAGTGATCTTCAAGGACGAACTGCAGTGAGATTAAGCATTTGTATATAATTTGGACTGCGTGCTGAGCAAGCCTTAATAAATACATTTCTAGCCTAGAAGCAATGATACCGATATATCATTACGCTTACTTTACCAACCTAATCAAAAGACTGATAATGCGATAACTGCCGAAATATGATCGCAGTAATATGTTTTTTTGATAATTTTTGATACTATATCGCAAGTGATTAAGCATTAATGTGTATATTTCAATAAGTTGATTACAATAATCCAGTCGAAAGTACAGTGCCCGCTTTAGTGGTCGCGGGTAGACGAGGTAAGTTTTTGAACAATATCTATATCATACTAACCTTCTAGTGTCAAAATGGACAGACAGAAGCGAAAAATCAATTCAATGCATTTGTTAATTAGTTTCTGTGTCGTAAACAAAATAAATAAGTTTAACGCAACGGCTTACTCATTTTACTGATTGACGAGATAGCCCGACAAGTTTAAAGCCACGCTAAGGACTCTTAGTGAGTGACACACGACGCGGCAAATGTTGCACAGCCAAACAGCTACTTGTAAGAAGTAATTGATCCAATTCATAGTTTTAACGAATAATTAAAGGAAAGGTATTTTTATTATTCACACAAACACATCGAATAAAATAACCACAGTAATTGTGAATTTTCCATTCGCCTTTATGAGGGTCGTTAGTTTTCATGCTGGCATGCAGACCCATCTCAGTGTGATTCTGTAAGACTTCATTCTAAACTTCGAATCTGAATCCGCCGTGAGTAGTAGTACACTAGCGCTACACTTGCGAGTTGAACTAAATTGACAGCATCATTTTGAAAGATAAAGTATGAAATGACGTTAAAAGTGGCATTCTAAAATTTAATTTCACCGTCACTTCGACGCTCACTTCGCACTCGAACACGATTCAAAATCAAACAAATTTTATAGAATCGACGTGCTGTTCGTGTAGTTGAATAATATACATACATAGTTGCACAGACCATTTTTAATTGCTTCATTAAATTTGTACTGACGTATCACTTTGTGATATGAAAACTACCTCTCTCAAATCCCCTAAAAATAATTTAAGTTCAACAACTGATAAAAAACTCCAAATTGCCCACATAAAAAATATGCCGTGGAATTATTACATTTATTAGTATATTATTGTTTTTCTTTTATAAGGTTATTTTTAATAAATTATTCCCATTATATTTGTTCTATATCTTTTTTATGTCATTTTCTTTTTTCTATATTAGTGTTCGGCTCTCGTTGCGTCACGTTGTTTCATATTCTCCCTAAGTGAATAACCTGTAAGCTTTTCTCTGTATTGTTCACGAGTATTTGAGGATGAGAAAGTGTCTTATTATCCCTTTTGAAAATTTCTTTTTTAATAATTGGTAAGCTTCTTTCTTCTTTAACGTTCACGTTTTTGCCACGTTATTACAGTACACTGTTACAATTGCCTACTTTACAAAAAAAAAAAAAAATATTCAGTTTTATCTCTCACTTATTATCAAATTCATACGACTTTTTACCAAATAAAAAATGAAACGTCAAATTTATTTAATTGGTATAGGTAATAGATCAATATGATTCAAGGTATATCGATAAATGTTTTTACATGATAAATGGTGTGTTATCAGTTATTAAAATATGATAGATATGAACAAGATAATCAGCGTTAATTACACAAAGTTTAAGTAAGTATAGGATACTTGTAATCGAACGACCTTCTATTTTGTAAATTGTTTAGTATAGTAATAGAAATATTATAAAAAGAGTATATTTTATTTGGCGTTGTATTATTACATTTACGCTGCTGCTACAGTCGCCGCGTGCGACTGTAGCAGCATGACAGTCGCCGCGTTGCGTGTCCCGGAATGCTGTTCATGAATATGGGCCCCTAGCATGGCTTGAAACTAGTCGAGTATCTCGTCAAACTATTACGTGAGTAAGCCGAAAACATAATAATTAATTTAGAATGTCTCGCGGAAGCTATAATAAAAATACTATAAATGTTAAAATCCTGTTGCAGATGGTAGCGATAAAACTTATAGTTTTATCCTTGGCTTGCCTCAGCGCAGCTGCCGTATCTCCTATTGAACCAAGCAAGAGGAATACGATATTTGCAGATGAACGTTTTGAAGGTGAAGTCTTCGAGAATGTCGATGCTTTCGACAACATTGAACTAACTAATGTCGGTGCTTCACCATATAGACTGCCCACTACCACGGCACCCGTAAAGTATGATTTATCTTGGACGATCTCTTTCACACCTCAAAGGACATATTCTGGTACAGTTACCATAACACTTGAAGCAAAACAACCAAATGTTAACCAGATCGTTATTCACAGTGATCACACTGTCAATAGTAATGTACAACTTAGGTTTGGACAAAATATTATCCCTACGGATGTTTCAATTCAGAAGGAATACCAATTCTTCATAGTAACACTTAGAGACGGAGTTCTAAGTTATAATGAGACTCACCCTATTCAATACACATTATCCATTGATTTTACTGGGACTTTCCGAACAGACATGTATGGTATTTATGAAAGTTGGTTTAGAAATACACCTCAGGAACCTGTCCAGTAAGTCAACTATGTATCTTTATTCGTTTTTAGTTTTTACTTACTACAACCACAATCACTTATTAACATATAATTATTTTTAGGTGGATGGCTACGACCCAGTTCCAAGCTACTGCAGCTCGCTACGCCTTTCCTTGTTACGATGAACCCAGTTTTAAAGCTAAATTCAATGTGAACATTAGGCTGCCACAAAACTATAACAGTTGGTTCTGCACTAAACTTATCAAAAGCGATACTTATAGCACGTAAGTTTAACTACTTACAATACTTAGACAGAGTAAAATGTATAGATGATAAAGTATAACGATATCATGCGTTTTTTATTTTCATTTCTCAGAACTGAAAAGATTGACTACTATGAAGAAACCCCAAAAATGTCAACTTATCTCCTGGCTTTGATTGTCGCTGATTATGGAAAAATCGACAACGGACAAGTGGACAAGTACCACGAAGTCATAGCAAGGCGAGGTGCACTTGCCGATAATCAAGGAGACTATGCTTTGAAGACTGGTGAGGCGCTACTAACTAGGATGAGTACAATCACAGATTACGACTTCTATAGTCAAGATTCAAATCTTAAGATGACCCAAGCCGCTATTCCCGATTTTGGAGCTGGAGCTATGGAGAATTGGGGATTGTTAACTTACAGGTACGCAATCTGTTATAAGATATTATACTCTTATGAGTAAATTTAAAAGAATCGCTTTGCTCACGTCACAAGATTACATTGTTTTTACATTTAAATGACTTGTTAAGTTATAGTCTATAACATAAATGCTCTAAGGAATAAATTGAATATACTCCAAGGAGTTAAAGCCTTATAGGGATTATATGTCTAACTAGCTGACCCGGCGAACCTCGTACTGCCTTAGCGTATCTTTGATGCACTACTTTATTTTGTTTAGCTTTCAGTTTTTCTATGTAAGTCATGAATACCTATTTAGTTTTGAACTGGAATCTAATAATATCCTCCATATAAAGTTGAAGCCTTATTTCCCTAGTCTCGCCATAAATGAGAAGGGCTTTACTAATTTCACAATTTTATTAAATGAATATAAAAAACATATTTTTTCTTAATAGCATTTATTGGCTATTAGATATTACATATTTTTTTCTGTAAGAACCTCCTACAGAGTATGAGAAAACAACAAAACAAAAATCTGCCAAATCAGTTAAGCTGTTTTCATGTTATGGCGTGACAACGGGAAAAGGGTTTCATTTTAATAGAATATATAGATAGATAGATTAGATCAATATTTTTGAAACTACTACAACACTTGGTACACCATAGGTGGCATAAATTTATTGATTGACTGAATATTTTTAGGGAAGCATATCTGTTGTCTGATCCAACGCATACAAGCAGTCACTTCAAGCAGATCATTGCTTATATTCTTTCACACGAAATTGCTCATATGTGGTACGGTAATCTGGTCACAAACGACTGGTGGGATGTCCTGTGGTTGAATGAAGGTTTTGCGAGATACTACCAGTATTTCTTGACATACGAAGTAAGTTTTATATTATTTCCTTTAAAAAATATAAAACACATTATACCGCGTCTTATCCATTTTAGATAACTTCACTCACTCATACGCTGAAACATAGCGTAATAGTTTTTTTGTGAGGTCCGAAGCATGGTTCTCTCACTTGATCCCATAATTATTTTGTTTTTGTAGTTTTTATAAGCTACGCGTTGCTGCCATGTTGGTATATTTGTGAACAATTTTGAATTAAATAATATATGAGTAAGATTGTAAAATTCAATTTTTAAGAAGGGCAGCAATGGAGTTTTTTTTCTTCCTTTACCATTAGAATCTAAGTTTTGAAAACGAGCTATTTATTTTATATCCATGATACATAAATAAATTATTAAATAAAATTTAATAATCATATATGATATAATGTGGTTTTAGGTTGAAGATTTGGGTTTCAATATTCGATTTGTTCCTGAGCAAGTACACACGGCTTTGTTGTCCGATTCTTCCAACAACCCTCATCCTCTGACAAATCCTGGAGTTGGCAGTCCAAGGTCTGTCAGTGCTATGTTTTCGACAATCAGTTACAACAAAGGCGCAGCCATCATCCGAATGACAGAACATCTCCTTGGCAAAAATGTTCATGACATAGGACTCAGAAAATATTTGAAAGATAAGTGAGTACTTACCTATTTTGAGTTTTATTTGCAATTCTTTAATGCAATTTTAATGTTACAAGATATTTAGAATAAGTTTAAAACGATTGAATTATTTACTTAATAATTACTTCCATTTGCAGTGAATTCGGCACAACTACACCTATAGATCTGTTTAATGCTCTGAACGAAGTAGGCGTCGCAAATGGTGCCTTCAACAACTACCCATCATTTGATTTTGTGGCATATTATAAGAGCTGGACTGAACAACCCGGACACCCTATCCTCAATGTGCATATTAATCATACAAGTGGACAAATGACTATTCACCAGGTATACTCAGAACTTATTACTCCCTACATGTCGCGAACTAATTTAGCGAAAAAGTTCTGCTAACCATTTTTAAGTTTTCAGTCACTAAACTGGCTATTATTTTCCAGCGCCGTTTCAATATCAACACTGGGTATTCCCTACAAAACACACTGTATGATATACCCATTACTTTTACTACTGCATATGACGCGAACTTCGTAAACACAAAGCCGACTCACATTATCAAAGAACCTATAACTGTCATTGACCGCGGCTATCATGGGGATCATTGGACCATTTTTAACATTAAACAAACAGGTAATTTAGTTTTTTTTACACATTACTGTAAATTGTATTGTAATTATAATATTTAAAAGTCCTTAATCCGTCTTTTATATGTACAATATTTATATAATAATTATACTATTTATTCGTACCTCTGTTCTTGCCTGGACCCTATAGGTCGTAGTGTGATGTTTTAGTCTGTACCTTGTAATTGTTGAATTCGAGCAAGTTTTTCCGGACATTGGCGCGTTGAAGCAAACAAACTTTTTATAGCTTATAATATAATTTAAGCAACGATTAGTGTCCAGTTTGTGTTACATTATTTTCAATACAGTGTGTTTGTTTTCGTTATTTATCAATCGTTGAAATCTAGTATGTTATAACTATAGTATACTATTCTATACTAATCTAGCATGTAATACAATTATTCTTATTCTTAAAACAGGTTTCTACAGAGTCAACTATGACGACTACTCGTGGAATTTAATCGCACTAGGTTTGAGAGGTCCATCTCGGTTGGTGATAGACGAATTGAACAAAGCGCAGGTAAATATTATCAAGTTGTTTTATTATCTTTTTAGTCTTACGATAATATTTTCAGCCACTGTAAGCCACCAGAAGTAGACCCAATCTTAGGGCGCGTTTAAATAGCCACAGACCAGATGGACCCCACTAATGGGTCCCAGCTAGGAGCAGGGTAGGAAGCTAAAACTGGTTTTTAGTTACGGCTTGATCCTTCCTCCACCTACCCGGAGCGGAAATTATTTGATGATTTTCCTTTCTCTAAAAATGATTTTATTAATTAATTTTGATATAATAATATACTGCAAAATATATAAATATGACAAAAAGTTACCGTTTTTAATTTTCAATATCACGATACTATGTTTTATTAATGTAAATTGTATCGTAAATTTCAAAATTAATTACCCATTTGATAAAATTGCTATTTCTGTTTTATGTTTTTTATTTCAGATTGTAAATGACGTGTTCTCATTTGCTCGTGCCGGTATTATGCGCTATGATCGTGCTTTGCATATTCTATCTTTCTTGGCCGAAGAGGACCAGTACGCACCGTGGGTTGCGGCCGTAACGGGTTTCAATTGGCTTAGAAACCGACTCGTTGGACACCCACTACTAGCAGTAGTTGATGTGAGTTTGTGTTTTTTCTTTCATATTTCATTTCGCTAATTCATTCATACTTATGTTGTGGTTTGGGTAATTGTGTTACGTACGTATCCTAGAATTATTTTGGTAGTTTAGTAGTTGCATAATAGTTGTTTTTGAATATGTATACATGTTACCCCTCCCTTTTATGAGAGTGAGTTACAAATACACAAAAAGTTTCCCTATCTCCTCATTCTAATCTACATTTCCATAAATGAACAGTCAAATCGTTAGACTGAACCGATTTATTGAGTTATTAATAGTTTCAAAATTTTATTTTATTTATTTATTTATTTATTTGAGACTTCATGCACAAAACACTGTACATAGGCGGACTTAATGCAATGAGCATTCTCTACCAGTCTACCTTTGGGTGATGCAGAGATAATCTGGTGGCAGGTGCAAGAAGCAAGCAAATTGAGTTAAATATACCAAACATATATATAAAATTATATATGATACACTTTACATACATACACAATATATACATACTTTATAATACATATTTATAAGGCAGTAAACATATATATATATATATATACGTATATGCAGTCATAGTCACGATGATTTCCCCAACCTCTTCAAAAGAAGCTCCCGAACTCTCTGCTTGAAAGACAGCCGACTAGTCAAGATCCTGATATCGGGGGGTAGCGCATTCCACAGAAGAATAGCCTGAACGAAGAATGAGGAATGGAGAAATTTTGAGTGATGAGTTGGACAGTTGAGGAGACGATTGTTAGAAGAGCGAAGATATTTATTGTGGTTTGCGCATGTGTATTGGAAGTAAGAGGACATATAACTAGGTGGGCAAGGCGAGTTAAGAAAGGAAAATAAAGTGGTTAACGCCCTTTGCTCCCTACGCTGGCGTATGGGCAACCACTTTAATTGCAACCGATGTGCAGAAACATGATCATATTTGCGCAGGTTGAAAACGAAACGAATGCAGTTATTCAGAAGTCGGTCGAGTTTATTGAGGAGATCTGCATTCAGGTCATAGTAACAAACATCAGCATAATCTATTATAGGGAACAACAAGGTCTGTACAAGCATCGTCTTGGTGACGGTCGGAAGCAAGTTTTTCACGCGGTAAAGGGCCCGCAGCGACCTTGTCACTTTTTTGCACACGTTAGCGACTTGTGTATGCCAGTTTAAATTCCTGTCAATATGTAAGCCTAGATCTTTAACATCGTTGCTGTAAGGAACGATCGCACCGTCGAAAAGGATGGCTGGCAGAGATGCATCGTCAACCCTACCTAGCGATCGAGAGCTTCCGATGATGATAGCCTGGCACTTATTCGGGTTTACCGCGATGCCAAACCGAGCTGACCAGGCACTAATGGTGGCTAAGTCATCATTAATATTTGAGATAGCATCGGCCAAGCAGTCTACCCCATATTCATACCCCAATTTTATATTTATATACTAAAAGAAGATAATAGCTAATTTATTTACCACTTTCGTGATTGTGTCAACACATTTTTTATGGGATAGGTCGTCAACCGATCACCTTGTGGTAAGCAATCGGCGCCGCCCACGGACATTTGCAACACCAAGGGAGTAATGAGATATTTAAGGATTGGAAATGGATTGTGGGAAGGAAGGGATTAGGCCTCCGGTAACCTTACTCACACGGCGAAACACAACGCTGTGGTTGTTTCAAGTGAGGCCGAATCGTGCCAAAGCTTGGCTCTCCGACACTTTAAGGAGTTAAGCGTTGTTATATTAGTTTATCAGTGAAAACACATTTACGTTAAATATTCGACAGCCAACTTGTTTTTTCGACATATTTGACGTTGAGTCTATCTTTATCTTGCAAAAGCGTGCCGTCAGAGCTATATATAACTTAGGTCGTCGCGAATCTCTCAGATAAAAGTTTACAGAGATCAACATTCTGACCGTACCGAGTCAATTTATTTATGAAAACATTATGTATGTTAGGAAAAACCTACACTTATTTGTAAAGGTATCTGACAAACATGATTATCATACTAGACATAGGAATAGATTGAGCCAGCCTTTATTTAGATTGGCAAAAGTGCATAAGTCATTCCTGGGTTTCTGTGTTAAATGTTATAATAAAATCCCAGTTGAAATACAAAATTTAAATGAAAGCAAATTTAAATTATGTATAAAGAAACATTTATGTAAACTAGCATACTACAAACTAAATGATTATATACAAGATAAAAATGCTTGGAGGCTAGCTGGTCCTACTCCACAGGATGTTTAGAGTATTTTTTTTTATTTTAATTATTAAATTGTACACTATGTTGTTAATTGTAGATGAACATCTAAGATTTTGTAAATGTGAGTGCCCTGTAACCTATTATAATTAAGTAAGACTTGTAGAATATAGGTACTTGTGTCGGCTGGGAGCTGTCATGCTCACTCAGAGGTCTCATTGGCGGTGGCACGGGCACTGGATCGTCCAATTCCCTATAATATGGTTGAGTTGGGCGGTGCTGGTGTACGTGTCATGTTCGTGAACGGGCGCCGCCTATTGGGACTGGTCATCTCCAGGCTGTCTAAATATGTTGTCCTTGAGGTTCACTTCTTTTTCGTACTTTTTGCCTGAACATTAGTGTTACATTGTTCTTACATATCAGAACCGACTAAATGATGTAACAAAGAAATGTATTGTAAAACTGATTGAAAAAGAGTAACCATGGAGTTTCTTGCTCGTTCTTCTCCATAGGAATCTACACTTTGGAACGAGCAAATAGCTTCACTAGAGGACAGACAGACAGACTGACACGCTTAATTTTAAAGCTCTTGTTATATACTTTTTTCCTTTTTTGCTTGCTTGACGTTCAAAAGTACATACTGTGATCTAATTGAAATAAATGATTTTTGACTTTTGACTTTTTGACGAATGTATAAATTGAATATTGTTTTCAGGACTTAATAAGGACTTGGTCAACTAAAGTAATGAGTGGTCTTACTTATGAGCCGACTATTTTAAACAATGAAGATGAAACATTCATGCGAAGATACTTCCGATTCCAACTTGCTCCATTGATGTGTAACGTGGGTGTACAAGAATGCAGAGACAAAGCAAAGACATTATTTGAGAGACTAAAACAAACCCCCCCAGTTAAGTAAGTACATCACTTCATAGTGTAAAACGAAATTGTCTTCCTAGTCCCTATATGTATGTTTAAATCTTAAAACTACGCTACAAATTTTAATGCGTTTTTTCTTTTTAAATAGATTTATTTAAGAGAAACGTTTATACAGGGTGTCTGTCCTGTGTCCAGTTCTTTTACTTCAAGACATAATAATTTAGGTACAACCTATGATACTTTCCTTTTCGTTGTTTTTTTTCTGAATGGCCAAAGGATATACTAAAAGGCATTTCAAGGTTATCCATTCTTTACCGGACACCCTGTATTTAAAATAACATCAATTAAAATAGGAGAAACATAATGTCCCGAGCGAAGAATAATATAATTATGTTACTTAATGTTGATTGAATTTTTGATATAAACATTTTTTTAGCACGTTATAAGAACATTGTGATTTAATCTACTTTTATTTTAGCGTGGACAGGGATAGTCGCAACTGGGTTTACTGCAATGGTCTTCGCCAAGGTACGGAAGCAGACTTCACGTTATTGTGGAACAAATTCATAAACGAGAACCTCTACACAGAGAAGATTGTACTTCTTCAGACTCTTGGTTGCACTCCTCACAGGAATTCGCTTAACGCGTAAGTAAAATACTAAAGTTTGACTGACGTGCGAGCGGTCGCGGTCGACTAAAGTTATTTTCGATTTTTGAATTTTGTTCAGTATTAGCATGGAGTCTGGCATTGTGCCCGGTGTATCTATAGCATCACTATCTAATAACTGGTGATATAGTTATTGTTCATTGTTATGTGCAGTTCTGTCTATGCCTTTCGAGGGGCATGATTCAAACCAATAGAAAATCTTTAAATGATATAGGGCTGCTAGTAAACTAAAGCTGGCTAAAATATCGTGTTATAAAAAGATTCCTTGACTAAAAAATTTCGTTTCAACTTTGCAATATATTAAAATACTCAAAAACAATAAGTTTCATTTCCATAAATTGTTTTGAAGATACAGATATTTTTCGTATTATTCTTGTTATGAGGATATTGCGATGTCATAAGTTGTTGCTGTTTTATAATGTGAAGTTACAACTCTGGGCTACTTCAAAATATTTTCCTTTACAGTTAATTATGTATATAAATATAGAAAGTACATATAACTTGTTAAAAGCAAAATTGGTTTCAGTCAGATTTTGAAGCCCTATGCAAGAGACGTGAGCACTGCAATCTTCATATTATTACGAGATAAGTGTTATGTAGTGTATGCTAGTATTAAATTTATATGTCATTCTCAGATTGTTAGGCAACATCCTCCAAAGAACTGACCCAGCTGTCCGTCCTCAAGATTACAATACCGCACTCAACGCTGCTGTCTCAGGCAATGAAGGCAATACACAGATTGTCCTTGATTATTTCAAGATTGATGCTAACTTGCAAGCCTTGCGTGTAGCGTGAGTATATCCAAAAGTTCAATTTTATGTGTGAGCAGGTAACTTAAACCAATATTTATTTATTTATTTATTGAATTATGGACAACCAGTAGCTGCTACATTATTTCTTACATCTAAACATTAAATACCTACACTATAATAAAATTAAATGTACAGCATTTTAAGGTGTCACAACATGCACAAAATATTTCGTAGTGACACAAAAAATAATTAATAATAAAAGAAAAAAATATAATTTAAAATAATAGGAAGAGTAATAAGATAGAAATTGCAAAAAATACGATTCCAAATTAAATTAAAATAAAATAAAATAAGTACTTACCTATATGTAAAACAAAAACATTTTTTTTATTTAAACAAAGTTTATTGGATTTCAGTCCTCCCAAAAATCCCCAACCCATTTTTTTATAATGCAGGTTATGTATCACTGAAGATATCCACTTCATTACTAAGACTTTTGTAAGTTATATTAACGTGGAACAACCAATGCTGAAACTGGAATTTAGCAACTGGCTATTTTCGTATAACTAATGAGAACTCGAGCATTAAGTTTCGGTGACATCGCCAATAATTTTCAATCGCTGTAATCGATGATTAAGATGCAACTAGTAACTCATAAATAATATTATACACTCATCATCATCATCATCAGCTTATAAGTGCCCATTGCTAAGCAAAGGCGTCTTCTCACACGGAGGTTTGAGCATTAATCACCTTCGCTTGCTCAATGCGGGTTGGTGGTTTCAAACTTATATTAAGAAATTATAAGTCCAGGTTTCCTCCCGATGTTTACCTTCACCGTATGTCAGTGGTGTCTATGTAATCAAAGAAAGTACATGTAACACTCCTTTAATTCAGAAATTCCTTATCCTTAAATCTCTTATAACCCGTAAGAGGTCGGCGAAGCACTTGTCTTGTATTCCTTTGGTATTGCGAGTGTCCATGAGAGGAGCCGAGTACTTACTATCAGGTTATCGGTCATCTCATTTGCCGATGTATGTCATAAAATACCTTTAGTGTAATTTTACAACTACATCAACTTATAGGTACCCTTGTTTTTTAGGTACAACGATGACTTGAGGACTCCATTGTCTTACATCAGCGCCAGGTTGAGGAATGCAGCAGAAGTCGAAGATGTAAGTAAACTATAATATAATTATATAAATGTTAAATTAAACATCAGCTGTCTTTACTCTTGCCTCGCTGTCTTTACTTGAAATAGTGTGAACTTACTTTAGAGCTTGGGGTTTAATTGCCGATTATTGAATTATTGTCAAAACTATTCACACTCATTATAATCAGTGAAACCACATAAGATTTTAAATCTTAAGTCCATTCATTAACGACGTTTTTATAACATTTCAAAAGATGATGCAAATGCGGCTAATTTCATTCGTATCAACATTATATTTACGCGGGTATTAAGGCGGAAAATTATATATTATTATTAATGTTGTTAAGATGAAACGCGAAAGTTTAAAAGTTCATTCGTATCATCATAGCTAACACTAAACGAATGCGGTTTAACTCTTAAAACCTTCTCTAAATATTATTTTTTCGCGTTCCCACTCAGATGCAATTTTTATAACAATATAAAATGTACTTTTTCATGAATAGGTTGTACCAACATTGCCCTTTTGTTTTTTTTTTTACAGTTCCAAACGTGGGTAAAGGCATCCAACTTGGGAATATATGAAACCGATATACTTGATGGTGCAGAGCAAACTCTCAAAAGTTTTGAGTTCGTTGCTAGTATCGCAAATGACTTGGATAATTACTTTACTGGAACAGACGATCCAATTTCGACCACCACCTCAGGTCCAAGTACTACGGTGTCCCCAGTGACAGTCACTGCGCCGCCTTTAGTGCAGCCAACCACTCCAGTTCTTCCGAGCTCTGCTGTTACAAGCATCACATCTGTCTTCTTGTTAACCTTAGCCGGTATAGCTCACATTATTGTATAAGTTACCAATAAAAAATATGAATCGGGGTAGTTTGTGTAGAACCCCAATCATTAGTCGGTAAGCAAAAAAGATACAGCAATATTTTTTATTTATTTTTATAATAAAACATTTTCTGTACACATGTTGTGCTTAATTCAAATCTGTCTCATATGTAATGTAAAACTTATAATTTTTACGATGACCAATTTAGAAATATGGATTTAGTTGTTTAAGTACTTACTGTGTTTAACATAATATTTGTACGCGCTCATATCCCTAATTTTTGTCCGACTTGTAAATAATGAAACAATAAATTATTAAAATTAATTTTATAGAACACGTTCTTTTTCTGTTAATATCCCTCAATATTAATTACAGTAATTCATCTATTCAAGAGAATTTATGCATCATAGGAATTTTGACGGTCCTTTTAGGATTAATAGGTCTTATTTGCGATTTTTTTTAGTCCACGATAGTGTAGAGAACAACTACTGATAGACCACGAGGGTAATAAAATACAATTTGTTCAAAAGATGCTACTTCTTTAAATTTAAAATTTGTTTTGAAAAACTACCTACTTCTTTATATTCAAAATTTAATTTATTTTATAATTGAAGTTGAAATTGTTAAATTCATAAAAAAGGCACCTAAATTTATTTGTCATAAAATAAGGAAAAATACAAAGCACATTCAAATTATTGCATAGAATACAAAGATTAAAGTTATGAAATTAGATATAAGTAATAAAACAAATTCTGCCAAAAGCGATAATTTTTAGATAAAGATTGTAGGTAAAAGTAATCGAGCGTAACTACCTATCTGTCACGCAGCACCAAATTAATGAAATATTAAAAATGAAATATTAGTGGCCAAAAGCATATAACAATTAATATAATTAATATAAAAAGCTGGAAGATTCACGATCCTCTTTACATGCCATAAACACGGGAGTACCGCAGGGCTCGATTTCTGGTCCCATTTTATTTACATATAACATTGTTACTATTTGTATTATTGATATCGCATATAAGCTTATTATTCAAACATGACTATAAAAAATCGTTTGTGAATTTGTGCTCATGAATCGAATTATAACACCTCAATCCTGAAAAATTAGGCCATTTTTCTATACGGCTTATTGGACGATTCGCACGAATTTAACTCGCACGAAACATGCGAATCGACTCCTTTAAAACATATTATTTTTTCTGTAGTCGATTCGCACGAATTTCATTTATTGGCGTGCGAATCGACACCCTCACAAATATGTAGTAGGCTAATCGCACACATTACATTTTAAGGTTTAAAAAAATTAAAGTACAGTCGTATTCCAATAAGCCTTCTATCTAGTGTACGGTACGGTACTTCTATCGGTAGTACTACTACCTAGGGTTGCGTACTCATCCCTGGATTTTTACCTGGATACAACCTTTATTGTTTCTTAAATATGAGTTAAAATCGTTAACTCGTAATGTTAGATGGCCGGCCGGATAAAAGTCGTCGCCGTCGATAACTTTCCCGAGGACACGGTTATCCTCAGCCCATATTTTTTTTATTTAGACGATGGAGCCCAATCAGGGATCCACTGTCACCGTATGTTCCACCGTGTCTTTCGATTAGTTCTAACAGACGCGATACCCGGGCGGTTTGACCCACTGGATAAGTGCCTGCAACAGGCGAAAGTGAGGTCGCCCAAGTTTTACGGCAGCTACTTCTCGAGGGATTGTAATACAGCTTACATCAGATCGCGCCGGGGCTCATCCCACCATGCACTAAACTATGGCAGCAGAGAAATTTCGAGGCGCCGATCCTTTGATAGTGATCCGGCAAGGAGGTTCGTCGCCTCCCCGGATATCGTGCGAAAGGAAAGATGATACGTATGACCATGATCCTCTGGGATGTGACGAGCTGGTCACTGCCTCAAATCTAGCACCCACACAGGGGTTCCGTAGAGCCATTGAAAGAAAAGAACCTATAAAACGTGAAGTTATATCCTATTTGTGATATACATATGTACTGTGAATCAAAATAATACATTTATCAAATTAATCTGATGATAAAGCCAAAAATGTTATTGTATTGATTACTTACCCGGGTTTAAAACATCATATTTTTCGGGGGTTACCTGATGATGACGTTGATTTCAACTCTAAGCTTTTTATTACTTATGCATAATAACTACAAACACAGCTCACAAAACGCTTTTTTGACAATAGCTTAGAAAATCGTCCCATGACTTCCTCCGCGTGTATCGCATAACGCGCGCGCCTCTTTTATGCATAATGGCTGATATTGCCATAAAATCGGGAAAAAAGAAAAAAAAGTCACATTTATTTTGAATTTATAAGATTAATGAGCATAAACTTAATATGCAAATAATTATTAACATCATCTTTAATATTGAAAGTTGTATCTTATCTAGCGCGCGTGACTCGATGTAAACACGTGTTCCTGGGTAGTCTTTCGTCAGTGAAAGTCAAGACGATCGTTCACGATTTACTTTTTATGGGATAGGTTGGCTGACGAGGAGACGAATTACCTGATGGTAAGCAATATGCGCCGCCTATTGAGTTACGAGTGCGTTGCCGACCTTTTTTGGTTTAAGGGATTTGGAGATTTTGGGATTGGGGAAGTGGAAGGATTGGGCCACCGGTATCTTACACGGTGAAAGTCAATGCTGTGGTTGTTTCACGCCGGTTTCTGTAAGACCGTGGTATCACTCTGGTATCATAAATATAAGCTATGGAGTCGGTGAGTGACTGCGAGGTCTTCAACCACCAAGCTAGGCTAGGTTAAACGAGGTAAAGAAGAAGAAAGGTCGTGATATCTTGAGAATGGAATCTTAAATACACTGGGTGGTCTAAGTTATTCGTAGTACATTTGGAAGGTATCCATATCTGTGCACTCGGCTTACCTATTTAACCAGGACTCTGTGCCAGGCAAAAAATGTGCAGGAGAAGAAGCTGGGTCATTTTTAGTCATTAAGGGCCTGACACTTCCTCTTACCCCATCCAGGGCACGAGTAGTCGTTTGATGATTTCTCTCCCTCAATAACAAAACAAGGTAATGGAGAACACCAGCATATTTTTATTTTCCAAAATATGTTTAGCGAGCTTAGTCATTGTTGATTTGGATATTAATATTGAAGTGGATAAAGAAGTGTGTAGAAAAAGTCAAGTCAAAAACGTGTATTAAAATTAAACAGTTGCACGCGGTGCTGGGCAAAGTGCGCCTGGGATACGTGGAGCAAGTTCGTTTCCTACACGGACGAACAACTCCCTGTGTGTTTCACAAATTGTTGTTTCGGGTTAGGGACTGATGTGTCCTCTAATTCGTCAAATATTAAAGAAGATTAATGTATGAAAACAGACAAGAATGTAAACAGAATATTTTTTTTATTACTTTTTCTTATAATATTCTGTTTGACAATATTTAAACTGTTTTATTTTATATCAATATACCTATTGACATAAATATTAATATACATATTATAGATAGATATTACATTGTTACTACAAGGATGTCAATCTGGTCCCCTGATAATAAGTTGATTCACAAAAGATTATTCAAATATGTATGCACGGTAAAATAAATAGGGGAAATGAATCATTGTTTTGCATACCTGCACAAAATATATACATTGAATATAATAATAGGATGTACCTACTAATAGCTGTACGGTTGCCCTATTCTCACTTTTTGCTTTTGGGAAATTCTGCACGATCAATTTTCCGTTTTTGTTTTAATGAGACTAAGCAAAGAGGCCTTCTACAATAATTATTCAATCTACAAACATTAAATCATCGTAGATTTAAACCTACAATGATACGTTTTATACGTTTTTAGCTTGCGCGTATCGTCATGTGGCATTATCACTTCAGGGTAACAGATATCACAATCTGAGTTCGTGGCCTATCACAAAATATCCGATTTTGTATCACAAAAGCACGCGATTCATTCGCAATTCATTTTAATTGGGTAGTCCTAGGTCACAAATAAATAAATTCAACGTTTCAATACCTACAATAAAATATTGAAAAATAACTATACATCGATCGATTTTATTCATCGATCGATTGATGCACTAAGTTTTAGATATTTTTTAGCTAATTATTAAGAAATAAGAAAGCTTTTGACTATACATGTAGGAAATATACTATGACGTCATAACTCAGTGTTTAATACAAATTCAAAATAATAAGGGATAATTGATTTCACTTATATTAAAATTTTTCAAAGGGCCTCTGCGAGTTGCCTTCGGCCTCGTACGCCTTCCAAAAGTCCGGGACCCTGTGGTCCCGTGAATGGAAAGGAACACATAATAACAATATCTTTTGGACTTCATTTGTTTGTGGATGGAAAATTATTAAATGACATCATCATATTGTTTATTTACAAGTTAAGAAAGTTTTGAGTATTTTTTATTTTAATAAAACTTATGTACTACGTTCTTATTGATTGTTTTTAAGCCAATGATCAAGGAATATTGTTGAAGAATAATAGTACCCATATTTACCTTTTGAAGGAAGACACTCTCAAATTTTCTCTAGCTCTGGGTTAGATAAGAGGAAGGGTCAGAATCTTACTGACTAACCAACTACTTGCCGCCCCTTCCATCTCCAAGTCGGAGTCGTGGTGCATTATGACGCTTGCACCCGAAACTCCGACTACAACCAGCCTTATATGGCCTCATCTCAGTTCAATTCTCCCTTCGCCTCATCAGGGGCTAGAGGAGTCTTTCGATAATATTCTCCCTTTTCCACCTAATCAAGCTTAACCTCAAAATTCAAGTGCAGATTATATGCATTTGTATGAGCACACATTATGTACATACTTGTATAAAAATAACACTATATACTTTAAGAAGTTACAATTATAACGGGCAAAAAAACTGGAGTAGATATATTATCTTAAATTTCTTCCCAGATACATTCGCTTTTAAATAAATTGACTAGTATATTATTTATATTAAATAGGGCTTATTGTAAGATTTCCTGCAGATTCATAAATGTGCTTACAAAATACTTTTAATATAAAATAAAACTGAAAAAAATTAAGCAAAACGACTATATCTTTGCGTGAGCAGCAGTATGATTCTGTAACACTTCATTCTTAACTTCGAATCTGAATCCGCTGTGCGTAGTAACACTAGCGCTACACTTGCGAGTTGAACTAAATTGACAGCAACATTTTGATAGATAAAGTATGAGATGACGTTTAAAGTGGCATACTATAATGTAATTACCCCGCCGCCACTTCGACGCTGACTTCACACTCAAACAAGATTCAAAATCAAACAAATTTTATAGAATCGACGTGCAGCTGTTTATTTAATGTAATGAATGATTGCTTTATACCTATTGTTTTTTTTTAGGCGAATCGCTGGTTTAGCCTCATCTTAGGGGTCATTGTACTCCAGTCTGTACTGGCGTTTGGCCCAATCGATGTAACGGACGCCGAATGGATTGAATACATGAATCTGATGAGCAACTCTAATTATCGGTTAGGAACAGAAACTGAACCAATTAATTACAAAGTAAAACTAACACCGAATTTAGTTAGTTTTACGTTTGAAGGTGAGGTTACAATACAGGTTAGAGTTACCAGTCAGAATCCAGTCAACGAAATCATACTTCACTGCAATAGTTTGACGATCAGTTCCGTGTTAGTTACACTGCCATCCCAAACGCAAAATCTCGCTACGGGTAATACTTATCAATGCGAAGATGGTACTGACTTTTTAAGGATTCCAACTTCAATTCAACTAACTTCTAACGTTGAGTACGTCGTCGTCACAATGTCGTTTACTGGGGTTCTGACAAATACCATGAGAGGTTTCTACAGAAGTTGGTACTATGACAGCACAATGCAAAAGAGGTAAGAAACAAATTTATATTTTTTTAAAGCATACATTTATGTTAGTTCTTTGTTAAAGGTTAGGCCACACAATAGTCTAATAGTATAGCGATATTTTTGTGCACTTGGGGTTCATTCTCGCGACTGTCTATTCGCGAAAATACAGCTACAATGTTTTAATCGTATGGCTTCCGGCCGACCGGTTTCGCAGCTACAACCAAATTTATCTTACCATCTAAAGTCGTATTATAATCTGTAGGTAAATACTTTATTGTAGTGCATCTTCCTTTCTAGATGGATGGCAACGACACAGTTCCAGCCTGGCCATGCTCGTCAAGCATTCCCTTGCTACGATGAACCTCGTTTCAAGGCCACGTTCGATATAACACTGGTTAGAGACAACAACGCCCAATCCAAGCCTTCGATATCAAACATGCCCATAAAATATACAGATAGGTAAGTTTTCACGATTTGCTCAGAGTATTAAAATTTTTAATATCTCTCTGCTAAGAATTGTATGTTTATTCAACCAAATGTTACGATGTTTTGTTTACCCCATCCACAGTCCTTTTGTGTGTGAATATAGTGACATCATCTTGAGTCATATTTAGTAGTGTATCATACAAGCTTTTGACCTTTTTTTCTTTTTATACAGTACTGTTGCTGGGAAAATAGCGGAAACCTTCTACACTACTCCTAAAATGTCCACCTACTTGCTGGCTTTCATAGTATCTGACTACATACCAGTCGCAGTTGGCACGACCCCTCAACGACCATTCACTATCTATGCTAGAGATAACATTAAAGATACTGGCAAATATTCTTTGGAAGTTGGAGAAAAACTTCTGAATTTGATGGAAGAATATACTGCTTTCCCTTATTATGGAATGGGTGATCATATGGAAATGAAACAAGCTGCTATCCCAGACTTTAGCGCTGGTGCTATGGAAAACTGGGGCCTGTTAACCTACAGGTAAGTACATAAATACATTTACAAGAATTCACGTCATACACAGGCGAAAATAACAGTATGAAGCCACGATTTAAAAGAAAGAATATGAATTACACCTGTAAAAAATGCTTTGTAGTTCTAACGCCCACAATGTACATGTACAATACGGCGAAAAAATAATTGGTTATTTGGACGATTTAACTAAACAAAATAAAAAAAGTTTAGGAAATTATAACTCAAATATAATATTTTTTTTTACATTTTCAGTTTATTTGTTTGTGTTATGAAGTAAAAAAAAAAGTCAAAAATCATTTATTTTAATTAGACCACAGTAGGCACTTTTGAACGTCAAGCAAGCAAAACATCAAAAAAAGTATATAACAAGAGCTTTAAAATTATTAATTAGAATTAAAAACATAGAATTTCAAAACATATCGCACCCAGACCAGGAACAACAATTTGTGGATAACACAAAGAGTTGTTGCGTGGTGGAATTGTACCCGCGACACGCATTATATGTCAGCGACTTGCCTAGCCACCGCACCAACCGTGCAGACAGAGGTATTCTAACGCAGTATTTTTTTATGTTACAGGGAAGCTCTCATTTTATACGATCCTCAAAACACCAACAACTTTTACAAACAACGTATAGCTAACATTATTTCTCATGAAATTGCACACATGTGGTTCGGTAACCTGGTCACGTGCGCCTGGTGGGACACTCTTTGGCTAAACGAAGGTTTTGCTAGATTCTACCAGTACTACTTGACAGACAAGGTAATTTTATGACGGTTTCTTTTATGGAATACTAGCGGCCCGCCCCCGCTTCGCACGGGTCCAACTATCTCGCTATCAAAGCTTCACATTTTCCTAATCTTCCCCTCTACTTTTCAAATATTTTCTTTGATAAGAACCTTCTCCTGACAATAACGAACACAACAAAAAAAGAATTAGCAAATTTTCCAGGAGAATTGGTCCAGGCGTTGTTGAGTTATGCGCTTACCAACACATTTTGCGATCCATTTTTATATATAAGATGAGGCAAAAGAGCAGACGGATAAACTGGTGGTAAGTGATTCAGAAGAGTCACAGGCGCGTTGCCGGTCTTTTAAGAAGGAGTACGCACTTTTCTTGAACGTTTGAAGATCATTACAAGGTTTTGCTGTGCGAGGCAGAAAGTTTTGCGTAACTCGCACAGTTGTTGACTGCCAAACATCTTAGGAATGAAAACGTTTTCGCGAGAATCATAGTAAAAAAAATGCGGCGGGCATAAAACATTTCTCAGAACACTCCCCGTGATAATATATGCGATAGAGAAGATAATTATAGCGAGGCTATATCATTATTATTATTTATTGGATATCTATTATACAGTACGTAACTGTTGGATACACAGGCTCGCGCCAACGGTGAACACTATCGCGACGGCGTGTTCTTGCCTGTTATGGCTTCAAACCAATCAGGATGGGATATCGCTTGATCTCGACCGATCTATCTTACAACCTCGATAAACATAGAATATTTTTTGGGTTAAACTTGACGGCCTGGTGAAATAAAATACATTACACATATTATTATAATAAGTTCATTATTTTATTTTCGTCAGAAAATATCAAGTTTATGTTGATAAAATTGAATGTATGTTAATTAGATAAAAATAATTAACGTATAAGATTTAAAAGATAGATAGATATTAGTGTAATGATTCTAATAATTATGTTATCTAAAATTTAATATTACTATTATTTATCGAATTTCACAATTTACGGTAGCAATTATCTTTACACTTAAATAAGTTTGGACGCTTGTTATAAGCAATTTATGTTTACATATTTTTTATAAGATTAAGCTTTGCTTAATGAAAAATAAATAAGTAGATGGCCAGCTACATATGGATAGTTACATATCAATCAGTATGGAAAAATATAAGGTCAAGACTATGGTAATTAAAATAAAATATACATTTTTAGATTTTCGACAATATCGTAGGGGCTCTATGCGAAGCTCATCAAAAAAGCAGCTCTTCGCAAAAAGTTACATACATGTTTTACGTACATATGTGTGTGTACACGGTAAAAGGAAAATATTACATTTGGAACACCCATAATCACTATTGTTGTATGCTATCTCAAGGCCATGATGATAATTGATGATAATTTGTTCGGTTATTCTTCCATCTGTATAAGTTTATTCTCGAGTTTTTGGTACTAATATGTTCAAAATATTTTCTGTGTGCTTATTATTAGGCTGAACCAGAAATGGGATTCCCCACACGTTTCATAGTCGAGCAGTTGCAAGTTTCCTTGCTATCCGACTCCTTCGCATCTGCCCACCCCCTCACCAACCCTGACGTGTCAGACAAGGATTCAGTACGAGCACACTTTTCAACCATCACTTATGCTAAAGGTGCCTCTATACTCAGAATGACACAGCACCTCCTTGGTGAAGAAACTTACCAGAAGGGTCTTCAGGCCTACCTTAAGGACCGGTAAGGAAGGCATTTAATTGTTGTTAATATCACTACGTAGTATAAAACCGTCCCTGTTTCTTATACATATATTTAGAACTACGCAACGTTTTATAATAGATTTCAAAGGAAGTTTGTGTGTACTAACATCCATTGAATACGCGCATATTACTGTTAAGAGCTCATATTAGTGAGCACAGTATTATGAAACGAAAAAGTTTTTCATTTGTTTTAGTTTATGTAATAGGTCGTCAAACGAGCAGACGGATTACCTGATGGTGAGCTATCAGTCCTGCCCACGGACACTCGCAGCGGAAGAGATCCGAGTGCGTTGCCGACCTTTTAAGGATAAGGGATTTGGAGATTTAGGGATTGCAGAGAGATTGGGGGAGGGGAAGGATTGGCCCTCCGGTAACCTCACTCACACGGCAAAATATAACGCTGTGGTTGTTTCACGCCACTTTTCTGTGACTCCGACACACTCCGGTCGAGCCGTTCATGCCGAAGTATAGCTCTTTATGTGTATTTTTATTTATATTAATTTACAGAAAATATAATACTGCTGAACCAGAAGACTTATTTAGAAACTTGGACGCTAATGCAGGCAATTCCCTGGCTAGTTACGAGGGTATGACTATCAGTCGCTACTTCAAATCATGGTCAGAAAAAGCAGGACATCCTCTGTTGACAGTTAACATTGACCACGCTAGCGGACGAATGACTGTAGGACAAGTAAGTAATTAATTACTAAATTAAATAAAAAAAAAACTCTATTCTGTCTCAGGACAAAACAGATGTTTACAATATCTATACACAAGTTTAGTTTCGTTGATTTCCCAATAACCCTAAGGTTGATTGGTAGATAATACTATAAGAAATTAAGCCCGCCTTATGTACCTTTTTCTATCATGTGTTTTTTATTAAAGTATTCATAAATAAATAAATATTTACTGAATATATTAATAAATTTACTCCTTTCAGCATCAATTCGATATCAACAATGGCGTGTCTCCGAATAATGGTTTATGGGACATTCCTCTAACATGGACTAGGGCTGGAGCTCCCGATTTTAACAACCTCAAGCCTTCTGAATTCCTTAGTGGCCCATTAAAGATCATCGACCGTGGAAGCGTTGGACGAGAATGGGTCATTTTCAACAAACAGCAATCTGGTATGTTGATTTTTTTTATGTCATAGGTCGAAAACGAGCAGACGGATTCCCAGATGTTAAGCTATAGGTATCGCCCATGGACACTAAAGGAGTAACGATTGCGTTGCCGGGTTAAGGGTTTTGGATATTTAAGGATTGGAAAGGGATCAGGGAGGAGGAGGGTTTGGGCCTCCGGTAATCTCACTATTGGTAATATTATTTCGGTCGAGTCCAATACAAAGATTCTCCCACACTTAACTCACTCAAACTATTGTTTACAATGACAACGTTTAAAAACGAAATATAATATTATAATTGTTTATTCATTGTAAATAAATAAAACACTATGTTCTAGGTTTCTACAGAGTAAACTACGACCAGGCTACTTGGACACTTATTACTCAAGCTTTAAGAAGTAACAACAGAGCAGTCATACACGAATACAACCGCGCTCAGGTCAGAAAACGAATGCTACAATAATAATTAATTTTATATAAAATATTTCCTTTATTTTCACAATATAGAGACTTAGTTTGTGAGCACGTGCTAAACAGTTTAGGTACGCCAAAATGAGCAAATTGTACAGTCTTTTTTTACGGGCGGCAAACGAGCAGACGGGTTACATGATGTTAAGCAATCAGCGCCGCCTATGGATACCCGCACCAACGAAATAGATACGAGTTCGTTGCCGACCTTTTGGAGATAAGGATTTTGGGGATTTAGGGATTGGAAGAGAGGAAGGATTGGGCCTTCGGTAACCCGGTAACGCCGGTTTTCTCTGAGGTTTTGGTACTCCGGTCGAGCCGACCCATTCGTGCCTTAGCATGGCTCTCTCACACAAATGTCTAATGTTTTTTTTTTAGATTGTCGATGATGTGTTCGTGCTGGCCAGATCCAACATCATGTCTTATATGAGAGCGTTGAATATTCTTTCCTTCCTCGAATTTGAAGACCAGTACGCTCCTTGGATTGCTGCTATTACTGGATACAACTTTGCGCTTCGAAGATTGGCTCACGACAATATCGCTCTTCAAAGTCTGAAGGTAAAATACAATTAAGACAATTAAAATATTTATATTTCAAACCTTTGTATTTGTAATAAAATAGTATCTTGCATTTAGGACATAATCTTTGCTTCGAGCACGGCGGTCGTCCAGCGTCTCGGCTTCATCGAAGGTACCAATGGTAACTTCATGGATGACTTACTCCGTATGCATGTGATGACCTTCCTTTGCAACGCTGGACATGAACAATGTTCCAACGTAGCCACACAGCGCTTCCAGGCTTGGAGGCAGAATGGTGATCGGTAAGAATGACATATTGTTTATACATCCAAATCATAGCGAGTGACGCTTCTTAGTTTTTGGCTACCCCTTAAGAGACAAAGGCGTGAGTGTAAGTGTATATTGTCATGGTGGCCCGGAGGTTAAGGAGCCCGCTTCTCATGCATGAGGGTGTGGGTTCGAAACCTGACAAGTACCAATGTGACTTTTTCCGAGTTATATGTACTTTCTATGATTAAATAGACACCACTGACATACGGTGAAGGTAAACATCGTGAGGAAACCTGGACTTATAATTTCTAATTATAAGTTTGAAATCGCCAACCCGCATTGAGCAAGCGTGGTGATTAATGCTCTCTAACCTTCTCCGTATGAGAAGAGGCCTTTGCTCAGTAGTGGGCACTTATAGGCTGATGATGATGACCGCCCATGGACACTCCTAATACCAAAGGAGTAACTAGAATTGCGTTGTTGGCTTGTGGGCTCTGAGGGATTTCAGTATTGAGGAATCAATTAAGCTTAACCTCACTCACACGGCGAAACACAACTTAAGTGTTGCTTCACGCCGATTCTCTGTGAGGCCGTGGTACCACTCCGGTCGAGCCGGTCTTTTCGTGCCTAAGCATAGCTCTCCCAGTCCTAATATGTTAATACTACTTTTATGCACATTTTTTTTATTATGTCACAGGTGGTGATGTGATTTTGTTCACTTGTTTCAGCATTCCACCAAACATGCGCCCTTGGGTGTACTGCGGTGGTCTTCGTAATGGAAATGAAGCGGACTTTGACTTTTTCTGGCGACGTTACTTGGACGAAAACTTATCTAACGAGAAAGTCGTGATGCTTGGTGCAGCAGGTTGTACAGGAAATACAGTTGCCTTGCACAAATTCCTGAACGTAATCGTATCCACACCTTCTATCAACGAAGACGAAGACATCAGACCTCAAGACTACAGTGCTGCTATAAGCTCTGCTGTCACTAGCAACGAAGCCAATACAATGAAAGTGATCGAATGGCTTATGAATCACCCTCAACATCTTGACACAGCGTAAGTATATCTTGTAGCTAGTTTATTTAAAATTAATTATAACTCTGTTTTGACATATTTAAAAAGTTAACAGCGGAATTTAAATTTCACTTTGAAATAAGATTGTGGATAATTTGGAAGAATTAGGATCTACAGATTTATTGTCTTTGAAAAAAGCCCATGGATTTAGAAATATTGATTTAGACGTATATTGAGTAAATGATTAGGAATTTTATTTGATTAGATAAATTTTATCAGAATTATAATATGACTAGCTGTGTCCCGAGGTTTCACTCATGTAGGTAGTTCCTGATTCCGTAGAAGTACTAGGATAAAATATTGTTTTTTCTTTCAGAAACGGCATCAGTCTTTTGTCGTCTGCTACAAGCCGATTGTTGACCCAGAGTGATATTCTAAGGGTAAATATTAACTACTTACATTAAAAGAAAATTGTGACTTTACGCTACAGCACACATATTAATTCTAATGTCTTATAAATATTATGACTGAGGGTTTTTAATATCGACATCCTGCAGTTGCATTCTTGATAGCTCAACAGTATAATTGTTTGTTGTATTTTTTATGTTGTTCCAAGTATTTTTTGATTGATCGTTTAATCAGCTACCTATAAAAAAAGTGTTAAAATCTACTTACTGCTTTAGGTCGAAACCTGGTTGAATACTGCTACCCAACTCAAAGCGGAGGCCATTCAAGCGGCTAGAGCCGGCATTGCTACATCAACGGCAAACATTCAATGGTATCAAAGAAGGCAACATGAGTTCAAAGCTTACTTCGACACAGGATACTTTGAAGAAGGTTTTGAAGTTCCTCCTTCCTCCAGTACTACAACTGAAGCTACCCCTTCCACACCTGAAGATACCCCTTCCACACCTGGTGATACCACATCAGACACTACTATTACTGACGAACCAGGACCAAGCTCTACTGAACCAACCACGACCGCGGAGCCCGGCTCTGCGAACATTGCTTCTCTTAGCTTCTTTACTTTGATAATCACAGTTATCATCAACATGGTTTAATATAAAAGCGTTCTGTTGAAGACTATTAATAAAGTAATCATCCAAATAAGTGAAAACACCCTTCCCTAAGTTTGTTTCTCAGTAATATTCAGTGGTTGTTTTTAAATAAAGACGAATTTGTTTGTTACTTTTTAAATGTAGCATGCATAATATTTTTTATTAATAATATAAATAAATATATTTATTAACGTCATCTATATAATTGTTTTTTTATCCATTTGAATTATGATATGTTTGTTTGTAAGTAGGTACATACATATTATTGTAGATATACTTGGATATCATTTTGATAAAATGTGATAAGTATGTAGCAATTAGTGGCTACTAATCTTGAAGTGATATCGAAACATTGGTTGTGCCAATATTATTATGCTTGCTACTAAAAAAATCTACACAGAAAACTTTAGTACGATATAAAGTTCTCATAAAATTATACATTACCTGTACAATCCGGTAGTTTCACATTAGTCGAATTTAAGATTTTTATTTAATTATCAAAAACGATGATTTTCTATGAATTTTGTATACAACATATTAGGGCGCCATAGCGTTTTGACGTCAAATATCATACTTATTTTGGATCGGAAAGAATCGATAAGAATTTTATATATTAAAATCTATGGATCAGATTACAAATTATTATTTAGTATGATTATGTTTTTATAATTAATTGTACTAAACAAACTGCATTAAAATACATTTTTTTTTACTTAAAATGATCCAATTGAGAAAGTCTTGTTAGTTTATCAAATGATTTCTCTCGCTAAGGGTATGGCAAGAGAGAGTTTCAGACTCTTACTGACTAAAATTTCTCCGTTCCTTTTCCTGCTTCTTGACTCGCGACCACAGCTAGTGTGAGTTCAACTGTGTATTTATAACATAAGAAAGGCTCAACCAATTTTAATGAAAATTGTGGTGAAGTAGCTTAAGACCAAGAGATGGCAGCACTCTTTCTAAGCCTCCACTTACCTAGAGTTAATGTGGAAAAATCCATACTTTACAAGGTAGTAAGCCAAAAATAGGTAGGTAAACGGACTGAATAATAAATACAAAGCATCATTTGTATTTGTATCACACACATATCATCCGGCTATAAGTGCTTGCTGCTGAGGAAAGGCTTCTTCTCGCATTGGTGATTTCAAACTTATAATCTATATCTATATATTGTATATAAAAGAAAGTCGTGTTAGTTACTCCACTTATAACTCAAGAACGGCAGAACCGATTGGGCTGAAAATTGGCAGGGAGGTAGTTTAGAGCCAGGAGAAGGTCATAGAATAGGATAGGGTAGGTAGTGTAGGTTCGCTACAGTAGGGTAGGTAGAGTAGGGTATGTAGAGTAGGGTAGGTAGAGTAGGGTAGGTAGAGTAGGGTAGGTAAAGTAGGGTAGGTAGACAAATGACGGGAGCGACGCCGTGGGTAAGAGCTAGTATGTATAAAAAAGAAAGTCGTGTTAGTTACTCCACTTATAATTCAAGAACAGCTGAACCGATTTAGCTGAAAATTGGCAGGGAGATAGTCTTAAGCCAGGAGGAGGACATAGGATAGGATAGAGTAGGTAGTGTAGGTTCGCTACAGTAGGGTAGGTAGAGTAGGGTAGGTAGAGTAAGGTAGGTAGGGTAGAGTAGGGTAGGGTAGAGTAGGGTAGGTAGAGTGTGGTAGGTAGAGTAGGGTATGTAGTATAGGGTAGGTAGAGTAGGGTAGGTAGAGTGAGGTAGGTAGAGTAGGGTATGTAGTATAGGGTAGGTAGAGTAGGGTAGGTAGAGTAGGGTAGGTAGAGTAGGGTAGGTAGTGTAGGGTAGGTAGAGTAGGATAGGTAGAGTAAGGTAGGTAGTGTAGGGTACATAGAGTAGTGTAAGTAGAGAAGGGTAGGTAGAGTAGGGTCAGTAGGGTAGGGTATGTAGAGTAGGGTAGGTAGAGTAGGGTAGGTAAAGTAGGGTAGGTAGTCAAATGACGGGAGCGACGCCGTGGGTAAGAGCTAGTAGGTATAAAAAAGAAAGTCGTGTTAGTTACTCCACTTATAATTCAAGAACAGCTGAACCGATTTAGCTGAAAATTGGCAGGGAGATAGTCTTAAGCCAGGAGGAGGACATAGGATAGGATAGAGTAAGTAGTGTAGGTTCGCTACAGTAGGGTAGGTAGAGTAAGGTAGGTAGGGTAGAGTAGGATAGGTAGAGTAAGGTAGGTAGAGTAGGGTATGTAGTATAGGGTAGGTAGAGTAGGGTAGGTAGAGTAGGGTAGCTAGGGTAGGTAGTCAAATGATGGGAGCGAAGCCGCGGGTAAGAGCTAGTAGAAATTAAAAGTCCGGACAGTCCAGGTTTGTCACTAATATCCACATTATTTTAGGAAGTTCATAACATAACTCGTAAGTTGTCACATTCGTACGGTTTCATGCTCCCCCGTACCCTTATGCATGAAAAAAGCATGCCTTGACCTCTAGGCCATCACGACGTTATGCTAGTATATCTCAGTCCATTTTTTAAGTAAGGCACTGTCAATATTTCCAGACTGTTTTTGAATTTGATGGTAAGATTTTAGATTTTTAAACATTCATCATCATCATCATCAGCCTATAAGTGCCCACTGCTGAGCAAAGGCCTCTTCTCATACGGAGAAGGTTAGAGCATTAATCACCACGCTTGCTCAATGCGGGTTGGCGATTTCAAACTTATAATTAGAAATTATAAGCCCAGGTTTCCTCACGATGTTTACCTTCACCGTATGTCAATGGTGTCTAAATAATTATAGAAAGTACATATAACTCAGAAAAAGTCACATTGGTACTTGCCAGGTTTCGAACCCACACCCTCATGCATGAGAAGCAGGCTCCCTAACCTCCGGGCCACCACGACATTTTAAACATTATTCCTATTGTACCTGCAATGCTACCTGACCATCGGTCCTGTCGTGTCCCATCCATAGTTGTATAGGGCTCTTAGAGGTACGCTCGGGGTCTCGTTCTGGTCGGGCGGAGAGCTAATCTTGCTAAACGTCCGCAGACACACGCTTACGGTGACCGATGATCGTCACGTAATCCTTGACGCCTGAACTGGGTTTTATTAGGTACATTGTCTACGCCGGAACGCATCATTCTTCGTCGTGTATGGAACGCATCCGTAGCGCGAGCGAGAGGTTCGAGCTGCGCGCCTTCCGGCCACTGCCATTCTAATAGTCGCGACGAAAACACACTCAATTATTGTAAAACTTATATTATAATTAGTGATTAAAGAAGTACATCTGCAAAGGGATTTACTTATTTATATCGATCATACATATCTTTGGGATGCTTCCAATTTTATGATTAGAAAGTATAAGTGTTAGTTTCTCCTTCATTCTATGGTATCAAAATAATCTGAGAAAGATTTATTTTATTTATTTTTGAAAAGACGTTGCCCCACTCTACGATTTTACGCGCACCCACGACACAGGAAAAATACCTAACATGCGGTAACGTTCTAATCACTCTTCCTCAAGGCTAAATGGCTAAAAAAATATAAGTTCAGGTTGCTTTCTTTACGATGTTTTTTTTTTTTATGTAATATCTCGGCAAACGAGCCGACTGATTACCTGATGGTAAGCAATCAGCGCCGCCCATGGACACTCGCAACGGAGGACTTACAAGTGCGTTGCCGACCTTTTAGGGATTAGGGATTGAGGAGGGATTGGGGAAGGGGAAGGATTGGGCCTCCGGTAACGTCACTCACACGGCGAAACACAACGCAGTGGTTATTTCACGCCGGTTTTCTGTGAGGCCGTGGTATCACTCCGGTCGAGCCGACCCATTCGTGCCGAAGCATGGCTCTCCCACACTTAGCCTTTCCTTCACTGTATGTCAGTGGTGTTAAAAAAAATCTCATTGGTAGTGGCTAGGTTTCGTACCGGTCATAAATGAAAAGCGGGCACCTTATTCCCGGGCCACACCGACAATATATTATGTCGACCATAATACCGCAAGTACTAATGAGTCATTTAAAAGACTTGGATTTCAAGGGACTTCAAGCCGAATACGCTTGTCTGGAACATGTTAGAGGACAACTGTTGAATTTTAAAACTGGTTTTGGGTTGATGTTTATACGAATTTCAGAGATAGGTAAATAAAAGTTCAGTACGTCACGGGTAAATTATATTGTTCTCACCAAAGCACACAAAATAATTATGCAAAAGTTGAAGACTAACAAAAGTTCCGGCTCGGCACACCGCTATACGAAGACTGGCTTTTTGTTCTTCTGGGAACAGCAACGCGCCATGCACACAGCCTTGTACTTACATGCATTACCAAAGGTGTGTACGTAAGTGTCCCTTCAACTGGTAACGACGTGAAACATCACTTGCGTTGTGGGAGTGGGTTTACCGATGGCCCAATTTTTTTCTCTTCTTGCCCCCAATCCCCAATTTTCAAATCCACAGCAATCGCCAAAGGGGTCGCAAAGTATCTATGACGGCGGGTTTGTGTGGGTAAAGCCGATGGCTTAGTCAATTATGCTTACTTGAACTACCTACTAAAAGTATGTAAAATAAAGCGCCTATTTTGTTTCCATCGGCAAGTGACCTTACAACAACATTAATATATTTGCAGGCGCTTTAAGTTTGTAAGGGTAATATCATCAAATGACTACCTCCTGTCAAGGGTCGAGCGGAAGGGAGTGTTAGACTCTTTATGACTAAAAATCCCCCTGTTCCTTCTCCTGCATGGAGAAGAACGAGCAAGAAACTCCATCGTTACTCTTTTTAAAAAAATATTTGTTTTACAATTCACTAATAATACATTTTTTATACATTACTATACCCCTATGTGAGAACAATGCAGAGACAAGTTGTAAATAAAAAGGAACAAATGATGGTCTATCTAATCTATTATTAAAATTTTAATCCTTAGTTGTCTCGAACATGGCGCTCACATATTATGCGTACTCAGAATCCAAAAGAATGCTTCTATATGAACTCATTCATGGTTTCATTAATTTTGAGAATTTTAATAACTACTGACTACATATTTGAGTATTGTCCAGTGGAGCCGAACCAACACGCTGCCAGGCATTCTTATCCTATTATAATCTGAAAGTTTGTAGTATATACATAATTCGCGTTTAATATAAGTTTTAAATTATATATATTATATATTCGCGTTTAATATATATTTTATTATTTATACTTTATTTTTTTATTTCATAATTCTTATTTTACCCATCTCTGTATCAGGTCGGGATGTTTGTGCATAAAGTTTATTAAAATAAAATAAAAAAAAAACAGAATTAAATGTTCACTAGTTTTAACGTGAAATAGTTACGAGCATACGTCCCTCCATTAATATTACCTACTTGTAGAATTGGCTATGTGAATTTAATTTATTTATTGTTTTGTTACCGTTGATGAGACTTATTCTGAAGACCCATGCTGATACTATCAGTTATTAGTTCTTTGTTGTGTTCCAGCGATAGGTGGGTCAAAGCAAACTTCTTTAACTCAAGAATATCTGAACTCATTACAATAGTCTTGTTGTGTTTGATATTATCAAGAGGAGGATATTTTGCAGGATTTTTTTATAAGTGTGGGAGAGCCATGCTTCGTCACGAATGGGTCGGCTCGACCGGAGTGATACCACGGCCTCACAGAAAACCAGCGTGAAATAACCACAGCGTTGTGTTTCGGCGTGTGAGTGAGGTTACCGGATACCCAATCCTTCCCCATCCCCAATCCCTCCTCAATCCCAAAATCTCCAAATCCCTAATCCCTAAAAGGTCGGCAACGCACTCGTAGCTCCTCCGATTTAGTCAAGTAATACTTTAGACTACAAAAATGCAAATTAAAATCTCAATAATTATATACTCAAAATAAGTTAACTACAAATTTGTAGATTTATCGAAAATAATAAAAGAATAGGTCTTAGGTTAGACTTCGATTGATATGCCAAATTTTGACAAAATTCTAAAACAATTTTAGAACGCAATTACAGTTAAAATCGAAGCTTAGAAAAATATGCAATTATGTGACTATTGTGATGACGAATATTAAGGCTATTCGTTGAACACGTCTGAATATTTTACATGCGTCGCAATGAATAATCAAAGTGTCATGAAAAACATATTTTCTTTATCTCCTGATTAGTCGATAATCGTAGATTTCATCCAAGCTATTGATTAGGCTGTGTTCATCGAAATATTAGGTGTAGGTACCTACAAAATGATAAGTTGATAATTTAATGATAAATATATAATATTTTAACTATTGCCCTTTAGTCACTCGTTTGGTACCGTCCGGGCAACCATGGGTAAGCATTTTTTGTACTTTCCATACAATGATCTTATCAGCACTGGATTTTATTTTACGCAAGAGCTTTAGATTTAGGGAAAATAATTTAACAATAATCGCTAATTAAGTTTATGTTATCTCGATTTTAAGTACCGGGTCAGAGAGTGAATGGTATTTTAAGAACGGCTAGTATAATTTTCAAGGTCGTTTAAAAAACTGCCTACCCTGTAATAACATCCAACTCCTAAAGGCCTCCAATTAGTGGGATCTGCAATTCTGCGCATTCTTAAATAAATTCTCAAAATTTTTGGATTTACCTATGGGTTTTATATTAATAATGTTGATTATGTTCTAATATGTATCCTGATCTTTAGGTACCAAAATGTTGGTTCCCGCTCTGTTTTGCGTTCTTCTGGGATTTGCGGCAGCCATTCCCCCAGAAGATTTCCGGTCAAACTTGGAGTTCTTTGACTATTCTTCAAATGTAGCTGAACCAGCTTACCGGCTCCTCAACAATGTGTATCCTACTGATGTGAAAGTAAACTTAGACAATATTAACCTTGAAGAAGCTCGATTCACAGGAAGTGTGGAGATGATCGTTATTGTAAGTGTTTTTTTTTCTAATTTAATTCTTTTCAGTCTACTAAGACCAGTCGGTCAATCTACGCCTTATTGAAAAAAATATTTATTTATATCCAAATATTACTCTGCCATTACAAATAACTTAACTTTAAAATAAAAAATACTTTAATAGATTTTAAGTTTAATGTTCTGTAATAAAATCAAAAATCCAATGAAAATTATTGACAATATAAGCAAACATACATTTGGTAGATTTATTGTTCTTCACAAGTTTTTTTTATTCCTTGGCATGTATTGAATTTAAATTTGCCAAAAATTTTTAGGAATATCGATAGAAATCGGTCAGAAATACCTATAACAAAACAATTAAATCGATATACATAATTAGTAGTAATTATAATTGCAACACGATTTTTAATGGACTTACCTCTGTAAACATTTGGATAGGGTAAGAGGAATATGAAGTTGCATTTAAATTAATATTTATAAAACATAGAAACAATGTATTTTCTACGATTCCGCTTCCCAAACAACCCTGCAAGTAAAAAGAAGCTTTGTCAACTTTTAAAATTTTCGTTTAATTTGTAATGAACTGTGATGTAGCGTGTCGTCAGCCGGGGTTGGGGGTTAAGCGCAACCAGTCACCGCGGCCTCGGCCCAGAGCAGGTGTAGGAACGGGGGAGTTTTTAGTCAGTAAGAGCCTAACTTTTTCTATCGCATTACCCTGGGCGGGAGAAGTAATTTGATGATTTTCCCCTGAAAAAAAAAGGATGTCGTGTCGCACGCTGCCAAGTGATTGAAACCGGGACCTATATAATTTTTTTTTAAATATAAAGTAAATAGAGGATTATTTTTTAATCCACAAATTTTCAAAGCAGTTATGAGAAACAGAAACTGTAAATAAACATAAATTGCTTTAAAATTTAATATGATATTTCAGCGGATGTAGAAATAGTTTTAAATTATTTTAATCTGTTTTTAACGATATCGATTAAGGTTATCGGATAAAAGGCTCGCTTCATTGTTTTATCAATAATATTCATTTAATATTATCAAAGCGATATATACATAGACAATCAATCGTGACTTAGTGAAACGAATTTCGATGGCGGTCTTATCTTAATCCAACATGCATTAAAATATAAAATAAATTTAGTATTAGTATTAAAAAAAATGGAAGAGAAAACTCCAACTTTTATAGAAAATACTAATTAATCTCCAACTAGCTACTCCTGCGCGGTTCCACTCGCTGCTCGTCTCCATTTAATTATAGCGTGATGTTTTATGGCCTATAGCACTCGGAACACTTTAGCCATCAATAAGTGAAAGAATTTTGGCAATCCGAACCGAAACCAGTGGTTCCAAAGATTACCCCCTACATACAAACTTACAAATTTTACCTCTTTATAATATTAGTATAAATTTTACCTCATTGGCTGATTGGTGGTTGTTTGTATGACACTGCCGGGATCGAGCTTTTGATATGAACGCCTACGTTGTAAAAAGTATCCTTATGGTTATCGTTTTCAGTCACTAAGCAGTTAGCATCTCGCTCCAAGATGATTAAAACTAATGTTAACATTTTTCCTCAGGTGAGAGAAAACGATTTACATCAAATTTCCATGCACCAGAACAATCTCATTATCACCAGGATCAGTGTTGTTAACAACACAAATGGCGAAAATGTCCAAATGAGGTCTCCTTCTCCATTCACCCAAGACAGCTATTATGAACTTCTTCACCTTCATTTTGCACTACCTCTGGTTGCCGGCTCGTACACCATCAACATCGACTATACAGGCACCATCAACAGAAACCCGCTCGACAGGGGCTTCTACAGAGGTTACTATTACTACGAAAATACTCTCAGGTAATACGTCAAATGCTACTCTTTTAAAATGTTCTAGATATAAATTAATAATACTACTAGCAGACCCTTCCCGAAAACCCCCACATATTAAATTTCAGCGAAATCGTTAGAGCCGTTTCCGAGATCACATGCTTTTTCAATCAGGCAGCGCTATCTGCCGGGCTGATTTGTCTAAACCACTAGCGCCACTCAATCCTGTACAGAAAAAATCATTTAAATCGGTCGAGCCGTTTAGGCGGCGTTCAATGACATATACACGTACATCAGAAGTATATATATAAAGATTAAGTATTTGTAAACAAAACCAGTCACAACGTGACTCTTATACATATGTGAGAAGAGGCGATACAAGCGATACGCGTAACAGACATAAGTAAAAGCAGAATATTTTAACTCTTTATTTTCATCGTAGGTACTACGCCACCACGCAGTTCCAGCCCTACCATGCCAGGAAAGCTTTCCCTTGCTTCGACGAGCCACAGTTCAAGTCACGTTACACAATTTCCATTACTCGCCCTAGAACGCTTGGCCCATCCTACTCCAACATGGCCATCAGTTCTACCGAAGAGTAAGTATTATTGTCCTGTTTTAATCTATCTATAATAATATTAATAAATGGTATTCTAATGTTTTTTATAACTCCACAGTCTTGGCAATAGTATTCGAGAAACATTCTACCCAACTCCTATCATTTCGGCATACCTAGTGGCTTTCCATGTGAGTGATTTTGTACCCACAACCGTTACAACCACCAATCGTAGACCATTCAGCATTATCTCTCGCCAAGGAGTGACGGAACAGCACTCGTATGCTGCAGAAATCGGCGTGGAAATAACCAACCAGTTAGATGACTACCTTGGTATTGAGTACCATGAAATGGGTCAGGGTCAAATTATGAAGAACGATCATATTGCTCTCCCTGACTTCCCTTCTGGTGCTATGGAAAATTGGGGAATGGTTAACTACAGGTCAGTTAAATATATTGTCCACTTCAAATAATTACCAGTGCGTTATGATAAAAATATGTTCGATCAAATTTAAGACGAGATATTTTGCCGAAAAATTTAATATAAATAAATTTTCAATAAAACCATTATGATGCTGTATTTAAAAATAAAGCTTAGAATATTAGATCTATCTTTTCACAAAACTTCTCCGTATGAGAAAAGCCTTTGCTCAGCAGTGGGCGCTTATAGGCTGATGATGATGTGTGTGAAAACTGTCCAGTTATTTCATCTTTGTGAGGATGATGTAGTAAACTATTTTTTCTTTCATTTTAGAGAGGCTTACCTTTTATATGATCCTGCTAACACTAACTTGATCAACAAGATATTCATCGCAACCATCATGGCTCATGAACTTGGACACAAGTGGTTCGGTAACCTGGTCACCTGTTTCTGGTGGAGCAACCTTTGGCTCAACGAGTCTTTTGCTAGCTACTTCGAATACTTTGCTGCACACTGGGTAAATCTTATTCTAATATTATTTTCATTTTTGTATTATAAAAGTTTGTAAGTATGGACAGATTGATGTATGTTTGTTACTCATTCATATTAAAAACACGGAACGATACGAACGATTTCCAGCTTTATACATGTTTGAAGTAGCAATGTTCGTTAAAAAACATCTAAATTTATTTGAAACCCTAACTAGTAACCGTCACCGGGACATTATTCATGTAAGACCCCATAAAACAGCATTATACGCAAAAAGCTTTCAGGGAATGGCTCCAAAAATTTATAATACGATACCCAAGGCTATTAGAACTGAGACTGACATACACAAATTCAAAAGAATGCTTACAGACTTTATGGTTAAAAAAGCGTACTATTCCATTGGTGAATTTTTAACAGAGGGAATAAACAAAAAGTAATTGTTAGAAATTCCGTTACATAAGGTGTCCGATTTGTTTATGATATACTCTATTTGACTGTGTTTATAATTTAATTTTTGTAAAAATAATAATATTGTATTCCTTATAAATATAATTAAATTTGTACGCCTATAAGGTTAAACATAGCGATCCTAACATTGTAATTACATCTTATCTTTACCTATGTTCCACAAATAAATAATTTGAATAATTTGAATAATTTGAATTTGAACGGATTTGAATGATTTTTGAAAAAGAAATATAATTTTTTAAATGAATACCACTTGGTATTCGTTTAAAAAATTATACATGGTATTTTGGGAGAAACTGCAGACAGAAACTACATATACATTACATTAAACGTATTACATTAAACTACTCATTGCACACTGCTTTGAGTTTGCTTTATTATTGTTTGAATACATTCTTATTTTTTTTAATTATTATTGTTTGTGTTTAGTATCAAATAATATTGCTAACTTCTGCCTTATTCGGTTTTAGGCGGATCCGCATCTTGAATTAGCTGATCAATTTGTCGTTGACTACGTGCACAGTGCGCTCAATGCAGACGCTAGTCCATCGGCTACTCCCATGAACTGGACTAATGTTGAAGACAACCCCACAATCACAGCCCACTTTAGTACTACCAGTTATGCCAAGGGAGCTTCAGTGCTCAGAATGTTGGAGCACCTCGTTGGAGCAAGGAACTTCCGTAATGCCCTCAGACATTACTTGAAGGATAAGTAAGTTTTATATCATTTTTAAGACTAGATCTTGCACTCAATTCTTAATAATTAATTCTGTATTAAATTGAATAAATATTTTTATTATTTAAGATTTAAATTTTGTTAAAATCAATAAAGAATCATTTAAAAAGAATACATTCAAAATTGAAAGGGTTTCAGTTGATATTGTAACAGGAAACAAAAATAATAAAAACAAACTATTATTTTCAATCGCAGTGCATACGGCATCGGCACCCCTGTGCTAATGTACCGTGCATTTGAAAAGGCTATCGCTGAAGATTACGCCTTCCAACGTGATTTCCCTGAAGCCGATATTGGGGCTGTGTTCGACAGTTGGGTCCAAAACCGTGGTTCTCCAGTCGTAATGGTTAACCGAACTGCATCCACTGGTGGCATTGTTGTTACTCAGGTAGGTTTTTACATTTAAAACAATGCATCCCATCACCATGACATAAATTATCTCCTAAATAATAAAACTTAATGCATAATTAATATTTTCTTACAGCGCCGTTACCAACTTTCTGGCACCATTCCCGATCAAATGTGGCAGATCCCTCTTAGTTGGACCGAGCAGAGACATTTGGACTTCAGCTCAACCAAGCCTAAAGCTATTCTTTCTACACCATCTGCACCTTACCCTAGTGAGGCAGGAGATAACTTCGTCATATTTAACATTCAACAGTCCGGTACGTATTACGTTTCGTTAGAGTTCTAAGGCCATTCTATGTTTTCGTTTTTTTATAAAATTTTGTGTTCCATATTCTCTTTAAAACTATCTATCTATGTCTTTTTTAAATCATATTTTGGATAAAAAATAACCTTTAATAGTAAGAGAGAGATTTTAAAAAGGAATAGATTTCTTACGTTACTTTGAAGTTTAGAAAAAAAAATATGTCAAAAAAGACGATTTACTTTTGAATCTTGAAAATTATTTCAAAGTTCTTATTAATAGGTATCCCTATTGCGCTTTTATTTGGACTGATTATAACTTAATTATAATTAGCTATAATATATCTAACTTAGTTATAATATATCTTTTTAATTCATTTTTCTTGCAGGACTGTACCGTGTCAATTACGACGATGACAACTGGAAGGCAATCGCATCCTATCTGAACAGCAACAACCGCGAACGAATTCACAAACTGAACAGAGCTCAGGTAATTAAAAAAAAATATATGTTCATTCGACTGCATGTAAATCTGCCAATCGGCGGCCAATGCCTTCGGCATCTGTCCAACCCGTCTACCAGTCACTCTCACACTTCGTATATTTTTTAGATTGTCAACGATGTACTACACTTCATTCGCTCTGAAGATATCGACAAGACTCTTGGCTTCGAAGTTCTTGACTTCTTAAGGAGTGAGACTGACTACTACGTGTGGAATGGTGCTCTTACTCAGCTGGAATGGATCCGACGTCGGTTTGAGCACTCGCCTAGAGCTCACGCGGCATTTACTGTAAGTATTGAACTGAACTGTTTTTGTTAATTTGATCAACCTTTACTACTAAACTTCCAAAACCGCTGCAACTTTTGTAAGCCAGGATCTAAAGTAAATAAAACCATTGAAAAACTTATGATTACGATTTACAATAACCCAATTATTAACTACATTCAAAAGACGCCGCGTCTATTATATTATTATATTCATTAACATGTTATGGATTTTTTTATTTAACTATAGGTATATTCATTAAATTGTTTATTTTTTTGCAGAGCTACCTCCGTGGACTAATGAACAATGTTATTAACCACCTCGGATACGACGAACGCCCCAACGACTCCACTTCCACAATCCTGAACAGAATTCAGATCCTGAACTTCGCCTGCAACATTGGGCACAGCGGTTGCATATCTAACAGTTTGGAGAAATGGAACAATTTCAAAGAAAACAACGTAGCGTAAGTCTCTTTTTATATTACTTTATGTTATTTAGTACATCATTAACAACTAGCATTAGTCCTACCATGAAATGTTAAAACGTGATTCTTCCGGGCGAGAAAGAGGGATGGAGCTATACACCTTTTATAGCTCCGTCCCTCGTTCTCGCCTGGAAGATTGACGTTTTAATACGTCATGGTAGGCCTACAGAAACAACAGCTTATACAACTGTTAACTATTTAGTGATCTATGAAGAGGATGCTTGTAGGAAAAAAAGAAATAAAAAAAAGATTAGGTATTAAAAGTATCCAAAGTAAAACTACTTTTTTACACTATAGTCTCTCCCACCCTCTTCTTTCCATTTGAACCTTCTTCTAACAATTATTATTATAAACAGACCAAAAAAGAAAATATACAATAGGTAAAGCTGTTGTTGAGTTATGCGCCACCAATACATTTCGAAATGTTTGAATAGTAACTATTTATTAAAAATGTAGTTAGACATAGGTACTCTCGTGCATAAACTGAGTATAGCTCTACTAGTTTCAACTCATAACGGGACTCTTATAAATCGTTAGTTTCGATAAGTTATGTGACTTATTTAATAAAAAGTGTAATTGGGACACAATATTAACGCAGAATGAATCTTATGACCACCAGCTATGTTTTTCTAGTTTTTTATAAAAATATATTTTTTCAGGGTGCCAGTGAATCTTCGTCGCCATGTTTATTGCACTGGTCTTCGTGAGGGAGACAGATCTGACTACGACTTACTGTTCAATACATACAACTCATCACAAAATACCGCTGACATGGTCGTCATGCTTCGAGCTCTTGCTTGCACCAAAGATCAAGAGGCTCTCACTCAGTAAGTACTTACATCTTCTTAAATACTCATCATCAAGTGCCTACTGCCGAGCAAAGGCCACACTTGCTCAAGGCGCATTGGCAATTTCAGACTTATAATTGAAGTCTAGGTTTCATCACGATCCCTACCGAGCCGATGATCATCCGGGGTTGTGGGGCTAGCGCAGCAGAAGGAACAGTCATTCTATATTTGCTAAGACACAAATTCCTAATATCTAGGAATTTGTGTCTTACGATATCAGAGATTTTATATAAATATATACATGGCACTGATTTGATGATATGCTGGGAATAATAATTGAGTCTGTGAATATATATATATATATACAGAAGCCACTCGTGTTAATAATTAATTCATGTAAGCGACCCTTTGTGGTATGATTTATAAAGTCAAAGTCAAAATAATTTATTGAATGAGACACTTACAGGCACTTTTGAACGTCATACAAAGCTAAAAGATTAGAAGTGCCAGTCTGTCTGAGAATGAAATTGTAATCTGAATCTCTACAATACCTACATAATTGTCGAATGGAAAAGTTTAGTTTGTTCTGATTTTTTTTTTATGTAAACGGTCGGCAAACGAGTAGACGGATTACCTGATGGTAAGCAATGAGCGCCGCCCATGGACACTCGCAACGGATTTGGAGATTTAGGGATTGAGGAGGGATTGGGGGAGGGGAAGGATTGGGCCTCCGGTAACCTCACTCACACGGCGAAACACTACGCTGTGGTAGTTTCACGCCGGTTTTCTGTGAGGCCGTGATATCACTCCGGTCGAGCCGACCCACTCGTGCCGAAACATGGCTCTCCCACACTTTATTCCATGATAAAGACAATATATACATATACATATACAATATAATGTTTAATACTAAATGTTCTTTTGTTTCAGTTACTTGCAACAAAGCATGCACAGCGACCTGATTCGTATCCACGACCGTACCAACGCCTTCAGCTTTGCTCTACAAGGAAATCTGGAAAATGTACAATTCGTTATCCGTTTCCTTCAAAGCAACTATATTACTATCAGAAATACGTAAGTAATTATTTTATCATATTGAATAGCCAGCTGTTCTTGCACTTTTTCGCTCATGTGTAATTTTTCATGTCCTTTAGCCTTCCTCGATTAGTGGATTATCCAACAAAAAAAGAATTGTTAAATTCGAAGCAGTTGGTCCGTTTAAAGAAACAAAACTCTTCTGCTTTATTATACCTATTAGTATAGATAAAAATATCATATAAAACTATTCCTGTAATCTATTAGTAAAATAATATTACATAGATTTCTATGTTTCAGGATGGAGATGTAAATATTTTAAAGACAATTTAGTCCGTCAGTTAAAAAAAGAACAAATATAAGACACGCCATTTTTTATTTTGTCTTGAGTAAAACAATATTAGATAATATAGGAATTGATGTTAGTATAAGAGGGAGAGGAGTTACCCCTCAGCTACTATAATTACAACGTCATACGTCATATAATTTTCAAATCAATGTCGTCAAAATTTGGTTCGTAAGAGAAAAAAGAAAGAAGAGAGATATTATAACGAAAAAAAAAATACTCTCTATCCCTTTCATTCATTCATAGAAATGCCTGATACTTAAAACAAAACTCAAATAGAAAAGAACAGAAATGTTTTAATTTAATAGTTTTAAATAAATTTCGGGCAACAATAACAACGTTTGTTCAAAGTCAAAGTCAAAATCATTTATTTCAATTAGACCCATACAGGCACTTTTGAACGTCAAACAAAATTTTTAAGATATAAAGTGTCAGTCTGTTGGTCAGTCCTCTTAGTGAAGCTATTTGCTCGTTCCAAAGTGTAGATTCCGATGGAGAAGAACGAGCAAGAAACTCCATGGTTACTCTTTTAAAATCAGTGTCACATACAGATTCTCTGATACTGATATTTAATAATTCTGTTTAAAGATACGGTGGTGAAGCTCGTTTGAATATCTGCATCAACGCCGTTGCCGCCTTCTTGAACACGTTTGAGGCAATAACTGAAGTAAGTATTAAGGGATTCTCCTTTCAACTTTTAGATCAGATCTCTCAGATTCCATAATATAGAAGTCCTATTTTTGCATAGTTTTGTGCCTAGAGAATTTAAGTTGGTCATTATTGAGGATTTTGTCATCCTCACGCAGGGCGAATGTTTTAACATCTGACGTTTGACGTCTGTCGGTGCAGTTCGTGCGCGTCTTGCTTTTTATTAATAATTCGTGGAACATAGTAGTCATTTATATACTTACGTTGTTGTAAACACAGTGCGGCGCAAAGTGACATATATTGGAGTCGGCAGTGGATTGAGTGCATAAAGGGATTTAAAGGAAATAAATAGAACACAGTGACTAAATATATTTAATTTCTACCCTCTTTTTTTGGTCAGTGTTATTAACATCATACCAAACTCATCGATTGATATCGGACCAGTGGCCATCTAGTGATTTTGCACTAAACTAACTAAGACGCGGTTTTACCTTTTCGCCTACTACAATGCCAGGTATTCAGTGCGCGGGTTGCAATCGCTTTGCTTCTGCTATAGAGGGCGTCAAGTGTGCTAATAGTAAGTGTCGGCGACTATACCACAGAGGATGCGTTGGTTTCAAGCCGGATGTAGCTATCCCAGCATCTTGGCGCTGCCCTGAGTGTAAAAAAAACCTGGTCAGGGATAACAGGGCGGAGACTCCGGTCAGAGGCCCGGCTAGCGCAGCCGGAGATCCTACGACACAAACTTGTTTAGTGGCCCTCGCGCCTAATGAGCTGAACGCCAGTTGTTCTAGTCCTGTGGTTGAGCAACAATGCACTAGCCCGTCGTCTGCTTCCACGCCACTACGTAGGGGTGCCTTTTCAGCAGCCACCGCGGCACGGGAAATTTCCCCTATCACAGACCCTGATATGGGAATGCTCATGGATGAGTTGAGGGCGATGCGAGCGGAGATCCAAGAGTTCCGCAAAGAGATGGAATTGGAGATGGCGCAACTCGTGTCTTCAGTGAGCAGCTGCAACGTGCGCATCGATGGCCTCGAAGCCAGAATAATAACACTGGAGCAGCGGACTTCTGTGGGTCGTTCGTCGGCGGACGAGGTCGTGGAGGAGCTGAGGCGTGAGCTAAACGATCGGGATCAGGACCTACTGGCAAATGACGTGGAGATTACATGTGTACCGGAGGCTCCTTCTGAAAACCCGATCCACATAGCTAAAGCAGTGGGCCTTAAGTTAGGGGTGCAGCTGGAGGAGCGGGACATCGTCAGCGCGGAGCGGGTCGGAGGCAAGCAACTCAACGCTACTAGCTCAGCCGGCCCGGCAGCAACGCGGCCGCGCGCCATAGCCGTGCGCCTGGCGCGCCGCGACCTGCGCGACGAGCTGCTGGCTGGTGCCCGCGTGCGGCGTGGTGCGACCACCGCCGACCTCGGCACGCCCGGCCCGCCGCAGCGCTTCTTCGTCAACGAGCGCCTCACGAGGACGAATCGCCGGTTGTTTCGGATGGCCCGAGATGCCGCTCGCCTCCACAATTGGAGATTTGTGTGGACCAAGCGGGGGCGCGTTCTTGCAAGGCGGAGCCCAGGTGATCCCACTCAAAGGATCAGCACCGACGAGGACATTGAGAGGGTTTTTGGACCTGTCAATAAGGAAACAATATAACCAATCTTATTTTTTTATTTTTGTGTTTGTACATAACGACTATTTATCTAGTATCAAAGAGGAGGAAAATATGCGTCTAAACAATCCAAGTCGTGGGGTTTACGCGTTGGCTGACGCGCATATTCTGTCGCAGCTGACACTTGCTTACACACATACTTACGGTCTACATGGTACCATTACATACACTAACCAAATACAAAAAAATTACATAACTATTATTTCTATACTTCCCATATCAATTACCGTACCTTACATAATATATTTGTTTACACTTACTACAAACAAGATAATATACTTTAAATATACATATATATTAATATTATATACTATACATATTACATTATATACTAGATACTACAAGTTATATTTACATTACACACAACATTGTAACTCATTGAATACAAATGACTAGATATAAGCGTATTAGGTTTGGTTTGTTGAATGCGGGCTCCGTAGGGACTAACCAGGATGAATTCTTGGTTGCAATGGGAAATCACCCAGTGGACATAATGGCTGTCAACGAAACTTGGTTGCGCAGGGGTGAGGATGACCGGGCGCCTAGCGTACCAGGTTATAGACTGAAGCACATCCCGCGACCATTGTCTATACGTGGGGGGCGTGGCGGGGGGGTCGCTTTCTACATCAGAAATGGAATTCCTGCACGTGTCAGAGCACACCCTGAACACGCTAATGTCGAACAGCTCTGGTTAACTCTCACGGTACATAGAATCAAATTGCTTATTGGTACTGCATATCGCCCACCATGGTTGGAACTGGAGTCGTTTCTAGATGGACTGACTAAAAGCATTGGTGGTTTGGCCCCCTTCGATAACCTTATACTGTTAGGGGATTTCAATGTCAATATGGAGGACGTCAACAGCTCAAAGTCCAAAGAACTCGCAGACTTTGTGACTTATCTCAACTTGACTCAAGTGGTCACAACCCCTACGCACTTTATAGGTGATAGTAGCTCGCTCATTGACGTTATCTGCACTGATGCTCCAGTCCGCAATGTAGAGGTCAATCATATAAGTGAACTTAGCCATCATGCATTTATTACTTGCGAGACGGTCTTCAAGAGACATAAATGCCGACCTAGATCAGTGGTATATCGCCCTCTCAAAGACATCTTGGAGGATTACTTCGACAGGGATTTAAAAAGCATTCCATGGTCTACAGTGGGTGATATGAATGATGTTGACTCAATGGTCCAAACATTCAACTCGTTTGTAATCCAACTGTTCGACCTCCATGCTCCCATTAGAACTAAAACATTTAGATCCCGTCCCACCCCATGGATCACTGACAACATCAGACTAATGTCAAAACTGAGAGATAAGGCCAGGGACAAATTTCGCAGATCGAAGTTGCCGGAACACAAGAACAGTTACCTGGAGCTCAAGCATCTGGCCATCACGGCATTGGCTAACGAGAAGAGAGCTTATTTCACAGAAAGCATTAACAACAACATCAGGGACCCTAAATTATTATGGCGCAATTTAAAAGCGGATGTGTTGCCTGACCACAAACAAAGACTCCTTCCGGGGTACTTTGACAACCCTGACGATATCAATGCGGCGTTCCTGGATGTTCCCGGCAATTGTGATCTGAATAATTCGCAGTCTTCTTTCTTTGAGTCGCATAGGTTTAGCGATGCTACGTTCTCTCTGTCAGCTACCAATCCTGGGGCAGTCCTCAAGATAATTAAAAGCCTGGAGTCGAACGCACAGGGTGTCGATGGCATTAGTCTGGAAATGATAAGACTTACGTTACCAACTTCCTTACAAGCCATCACAGATATTATCAACTGTTCAATAATGACATACACATTCCCTGAACTCTGGCGATGCGCTATTGTACGACCAATACCCAAAATTACCAGTCCAATTAATATAAAGGATCTAAGACCAATCAGCTTACTGCCCTGCCTTTCAAAGATCTTAGAACGGATAGTGCACTCACAGGTTATTAAATACCTTGAAACTAATAATATTCTTCCTGATCTACAATCTGGATTTAGGCAGGGAAGGGGCACTGCAACAGCTCTGGCCGATGTAGTGGGGAATATTCTTGAGGCACGGGACAGGGGGGAGGGTGCAATCTTGGTTCTACTTGATTATTCCCGTGCTTTTGATGCTATTAACACTACTCTGCTTCTGTCTAAGTTGGCTTTCTATGGTTTCGACAAGGACACGGTAGGGTGGTTTAAGAGCTATCTTTCAGGCCGGTCCCAATTTGTGGAGATGCAAAGAGAGGATGGGTCGAGGGTGGCATCATCCCCCCTCAGCGTGTCCAGGGGCGTTCCCCAGGGATCGATTCTGGGGCCCTTGCTGTATATCTTATACAGCGCAGATATAGTCAAGTCTTTTGCTCATTGTAAATATCATATGTATGCTGATGATATACAACTTTACTTGACATTCAAGGCCAGTGAAACACATGAAGCGGTGCAGAAAATCAATGAGGATTTGCACAGAGTGGTTGTATGGTCTGAATCGAACTCACTGGTCCTTAACCCGCTTAAATCAAAATTCATGGTTCTAGGCTCCAGAAACCAGGTGCAAACTATTAAGTCGGCCAACCCTAGAATAGTTATTATGGGGGAAAGTATCGGGAGAGTTGAGCAAGCATGCAGTCTAGGTCTAACTATGGATCCCGAGCTGCGTTTTGAGGCTCATGTAACAAGAGTCTTGGCAAACTGCTTCTACAGGCTAAAGGTATTATATGGAATACGGAAATATCTGAGCATTCCGTTGCGCAAACAACTTGTTGACAGCCTCATCCTATCAAAATTAAACTATTGTGATATAGTATATGGACCGTGCCTTCTCTCTAGAACGGAGCGCGTTATCCAGCGAATCCAAAATGCCTGTGTTCGTTTTTGCATAAATATACCACGAAGAAGTCATGTTACTCCATATATAAATGAACTAAAGCTACTGAAGATGGCTGCTAGGAGAAGGCTCCACTTGGCCAATTTGTTGTTTGGCATTGTCGAGGCACAGGCACCGGAATATCTTTTTAAAAAACTGACCTGGAAACACAGCCAGATGAGGCATGGTCTTCGCTCCATAGTGTGTCCATTGGCCGCTCCTAGGCATCATACTGTGGCATTCAGGGGATGCTTCAAGTTTGCGGCTACGCGCTGCTGGAATGATCTCCCTCCCCCACTTCGGTGCCTGAAAACAAAACATGCATTTAAGGCACAATTTAAAAAGTTTCTACTACATCAGCAAGTGAGCCTCAACTTGTGACATTGCTTCATACCTCGGGGGTCTTGGCACGCATGCTCCGGATTGGGGATCACTTCCTGCAGTGTGGGTTGCCGTCCACTCAAGCCTTTGTTCCTCATGAGTGTCATTGGTACTGTGTTTTTTTCCCATTTTCTTGTCTGCAATATCAATTTTATCAATTTAATTCCTTAATTATATAATTTACATCTATCTTTAATTCATCTATGCAATTATTTTGTTTATTTTAATTTGTTTTGTTTACCAATCTGAAGTCAATTTTCATATTGAATTATAATGACTCGATAAAACCTCGACTTATCAAATAATTAACACAAAATTAATACTATTCATCATAATTTTATAACTAATGCTGAGGAATTGGTCAGTGGGTGGCCTTGGATGCGGATTTTTAGGTTGTGTATAAATCCATATTAATCCAATAGTGGCGTGCATGGGTAAAATATCACTTACCTGAATCATCCTGGTAGAATTCGATAGTCCTCCATAGTCACATTTTGCAACTACATTCATTACACAATTCATATTCTTTTTAACTCACAACACAACATATTTAAATCACTTATCTCCATAACATTTATATGACGGATTGCATAATAATTATTAGTATGCGTCGCCATTACGTAATACAAATACAAATTGTAAATTACTATATTAAATTGTTTGTGGCACGTGGACAGAGAATGGTGAATAGACTTATAGACTTTTTGATCGAATGCACAGATCGAATGGATTGGAGGCGCGAGCGTCGCTTTCATTCGTTCAGTGTTGCCACTGACAAATGTCACATAGGCGTCTATTGTTTGGTACTTTATTTTTCTGGTTTTTTTTTTACTCTATTTTTTTTTATCATAAGCAGTTTATTTTTTTGTAGTAGTTTATTATTCTAACAATTATAAAAAACATATTTCAGTAGAAAATAAGTTAAATACTTATTTTCTTACCTTAAGTTTCTGCACAGATTGGCGTCATGCGTTAGTGACGGCCATCGCTGAAAATCAGCGCCGCGAACCCGTCTCGTACGGGGTCGCTGCATTATGCTGAGCGTGGGCCATTTCGCGTGCTTGGACGCATATTTTTCTCCTACCGTCTACTTTTGTGATATTGTTTTTACCTTGCTCAATGTATTTTTATTTTAACTTTATTTTATTATCTTGTTCGTTTTGTGTCTTTTATGCGTCCCAGACGCGAATAAATACTTTTTCTTTCTTTCTTTCTTTCTTAATCAGTTTATCAATTTGGTACACGTACTTTAGAATTACTACAAATTGCAGTAAACATTGGTTCAGTAATTTGAGGCGTTTAGTTTAAAATATGTAAAAAGTTAGCCAAACAAATCAGTAGGAGAAAAAAACGGAAAACTCAGTAAAATACCTGTTTGTATGTGGCATATTGCCCATTTATTAGTCTTCTCTATCACAATTGTTAAACATGTTAGTCTACAGTAGTGATAGATGATTTACCTCCATTATTTTTTTCCGTCGGTAGTCGAATGTTCCTTTAAAATCATTCCAGTTTATATCAGTCTATTTCTTTGTGAATGCGTGATGTCATAATGTAATGTTGTTTTCCCTTAGTTCCAGCGATGGGTGTACGATTCACAAATCGGCTTAGGAGGGTCCTTTAACGTCGCTGTGGGTGTAGTCAACAGTGCTATGGCCAATCTTGAATGGGGCGCCAACACTTCACTTGAAATCTTCAATTTCGTTTCAACTAGAGGAGCTTCTTCCGCCATCTTCGCTTCGTCTTTCCTCATCCTAGCAGCTATGCTCATTCAGCTGCTTCGTTAAAATAATTTAACATAAATCTATACAAATCAATCAATCACCAAGTAAGGTTATTGATAAATTAGGAAAATTCTTCTGCGGAGTTTTCAAAAAAACTTATCTATTATACATAATAAATTAATAACAAAACTCTAGAAATAGTTTTCCACAATGTAATGTTGTTTTCGTCTCGTATTTAATTATAATAAAATATTTTTGTACATAAATAAATTAATTGTTTGTTTTATTTTTACATTTATGTAACTAAAACTGTTTTCCCAAGTTTAACATTGATTTGAACCATGCCACAGGTACATTTTTTTACTGATGTATTATGACAGTTTCCTTTTAACCCTAAAATGGTAGACACCTCTTTGAAATTAGAATTGAGACCTTACTCGCAAGGTTTTGGTTTTTAAGGCGGATTACCTGACGATAACTCATCAGCGACGCCCATTAATACTCGCAACGCGGATTTGAGTTTTGTGAGCGTAGTATCTGGTCCTTGAATAACCTCATACACAGTACGAAACACAACGCAAGAGTTGTTTCACGTCTGATTACTTTGAGGCCGCGGTATCACGGTTTAAGGTACTCAAAAATATTTAGAAACGTCAATTTTAAAACCAATTTCTCAACTTATTCATTCAATTGTATTTATTTTCTCTATTTCGTCGCCTATAAATACTATTTTGCAATGAAACATGCTAAATTTTATCAAAAATAACACGATTCTCAGTGTTTAGACAGACATAGCCTATTAGATTTATGTATTAGAAAATTGGAGTGATTGCTCTGAATTAGTAAATGTTTACCAAACGTTTTGCTGTGCTAAAATAAATTCTTAAATAATCAGCAGAAGTTCAGAATCCATGGAGAAGATAGAAAGGTTCTAAATAAAGATGGAATAGGATCAATTGGTATTTAAATTTTAATTTTTATATTTGACGGATTGCAATATCAAATTGTTTTTAGATTGAAATACGAAATAAGAATAAAAGAAATAATATAAATATTAACCTATTTATATGTAGGTAGGATCAATCCATGACATTGGAGCGAACTCATAATATAGGACATATTTGAAAAAGATATGGAACATAGTTTAAGAATGTCACACTTCGAGGTTGATTAAGCGGCAGATAAGGCGTCGATTAAGTCTGATTATAATAATTAATAAGTAGATACATTTCGATAAGATATTTGTTGTTTTTTTAAATAGATATTGTTCGAAACACTTAATAGTTTAAAAGTGCAATTTTTTGGTACAATTAATGTTTTTCTTCGTAACCTCTTCAAGCATGATCGTCAGGTGTCGTTTTGTTGGGAACAATATCAGTATTTGTAAATCAATTTTTAATATTAATTATGAGAATAATTTATTGATCTAGGAGATATTCTTTCATAACACGTAATCCTTTGTTGAAAACCAAATAGCGATGATAAATTATTTTATTGCAGTTTTCGATAAAATGTAATAAAATACTTATTTATTTTGTAGAGTTTAAAAAATATATTAGTTAATATTTATATATCAAATTTTAGAATAAAACTTGAAGGTGATTTTTGAAATTAGCTATTGAAAATTTCTCAACTTCCAGATAAAAATAGAAATAAAAAAAATATTTTGCATTTTTGATTGTGGGAGAGCCAAGCTTCGGCACGAATTGGTCGGATTGGAGTGAAACAACCACACCGTTGTGTTTTCCCGTGTGAGATTGGGTATTCAATTATTGAATTAAATTCTTACTCTGGTATTTTACTTAATATTTATATTAATACAAGTTCCTCTTAAAACCTTAGGACTTATAGTATAGTAGAACCAACGAAAACTTCTTATCACTATAAAATATCCGACGCTTGTAATTCAAGGGAAAACATTTTTAATCCACACCTTTTCGATAGTTAACCTATCTCAATTGCAATAAAAACTTCCACAGAGTTATAAATTTGAGGATTTATATGAAATAACTGCTTTTCGATGCAGCTAATAATATGTAGATAAATGACAAATGTATTAAGTTACTTCATTGGTAAGTGTTTCGTTGTTCAAGTTCATGTATTAATGATCACATATCTTATAATGACAAAGGTTACCTTGCCTTGGGACAAAATAAATGTAACACCTGAATAGAATAAGTGAATTAGAAAAAAAGTTACAAAAAAAAAATGCACTAAACTCTAAAGTTGATAAAAACATAGCGAGTTTTAAATTTGGAACTCTCGCTTAACATAACTAAAAGTTAGTTTGAATGTAAATAATGATCCTGATTGGGGCACGACAGAAAGTGATTTTTTTAGTGCCTACAGAATTCCTTGTCCTGCACAGAAATCCAAGATGTAGTCCTTCATTGGGCTTTACCCGCAGACCCTGGAAGGCCATCGTAAGCAAAGGTCTGCGGAAGGTTGGTCAAGCAGTCAGAACCATGACCAAGCTTTTAGTGATAGGACGTCAAACGAGCTGATGGATTACCTGATGGTAAGCAATCGGCTCCAATCATGGACACCCACAACTTCGGACAAGTGCGTTGCCAACCTTTCGGGTATTAGGGTAGGTATCGGAGATTTAGGGAAAGAGAAGAGGAAAAATGATTGCGCTTGTATAAAAAACCATTAGATCAATAATTTTTAGATGGGGTACATTAGGAGCGATGTCTACCGGAGTTGCGGTCGCTAGCACAATCCCAGAGGACAAGGTGGAGCATATGATGGCGCTGTAGGTATCCTGCTTGGGTTGAGCACCGCCGAGTCCTCAGGGTGATCGCCAGCAGCAAAAATCACATACCAGAAGTAGACTCACATACCAGAAGTAGAAATAGATTGTTTTTAGTTACCAAATTAAGAAAAAGAAAAAAAAGGGTACATAATATATCAGGTACACATTTTGTAGGCGCATCGTTCTAACCCTATCAATGAATGAAAAAAAAAGTATATGATAGGGTATACCTATCAACCTGTAAGAGATGCATTTTCACAATAATAATATATAATAAAAGAAAACAAAACAAGTCCATAATCCTACGTATGCTAAATTTTTAGATAGTTTATCTATAAGTGCCTTATTTATCGGTTTTTTTTATTATTAATCAAGATTTTATTGACCTAATCGATTTCGGTGTAACATTTAATCACATTTGGCATTGTTCAGGACATTATTGACATCAGGTAGGTGTTCATTTTGTTACGTTATAGCATATTTTATATAATAAATTTAAAGTTTTAGCTGCAAAGGGTCGGTAATGTGTGGATCTGTTATGTTAAAATACTATTATTTTAAATTTTCTTTTATGGGTTTGGATTTATATTATTATTTTTATTCCTAATGTTACTATTAGGGTACTAAAAAGAAAACAAACTCTATGCAATCCACTGTTTCGATGTCTGTGTTATTTTATTTCATCAATATTTTCAGGAATGTCCAACATTCTTTTAGTTGTCTTGAGCCTCGGGCTTGTGGCTGTGGCTGTAGGTGACCATCCGCTCTCATGGTACAGGGAGTTTCAGGAAATCGAATTCGAGGACGTTCCAGCAACGAGAAACGATGAACGCGCTTACAGGTTACCTACAACCGTAGTGCCTTTGGATTACGATATTTACCTCGATCTATTCTTCGACGAAAGACCTGACAGACCCTTCAGCTATGATGGGTCTGTTGATATTGTCATCCAGGTACGCAATTTACCAAATGCTTTAACATGATGTTGGAATGGAGCAATATATGCGTTAAAATTTTATCTGTTAAAACCAAGAGCAAATACACAATTACATGTTAAAATTCAAAATCAGAAAAAAAAATTGTTAGTTATACTATGTATATAATTTTTTGCTTGTAGGCTAAAGTTGAAAACGTCAAACAAATTGTGTTACATGCAAATGTGGAAAAAGTTGGTGAAGTAAAACTTAAGAACCTGGCCGGAGCCGAAGTAATATTGGACAGTGAAAAACCAACTGAAAGAGAAACATTGTACCATTTCTTGAAGATCAATGTGCAAGATCCATTAACTCCTAATGTCAATTATACTTTGCACATCGACTATACTAATAAAATGAATGAAGGCCCAATGAAGAGAGGAATTTGGAGAGGATGGTACATCGATGAAAACAACGTCGAAAGGTAAATTAATGTTTTAAGTATTGCTTTTAATCAGACGACTTGGTGATCAAACCGTGACAAATTGATTAAAAAAAATAAAGCTTATAGTAAAATTAGACTCAATAGGTAGTGAAAAATAACTTTGATCATTTAAAGTTGTAAAACGTTGATATTACCTAATATAAAAAAAGAACCGGTACAAATGTGTCTTATTAACAATACTTTAGATAATCTGTCTTTCTTAGATAAAGGTACGCGTCTACAGCAGTTGGACGTTTAGTTGTCTATCAGTAATGTCCTTTCCAGAGTCTACGCTACGACGCACTTCCAGCCTTACAATGCAAGACAAGCCTTCCCGTGCTGGGACGAGCCCCTCTTTAAAGCTGTATTCAAGATGCACATTTCCAGACCATCTGGTTACACTGGCATTTTCTCCAATACCGTCCCTACTGGAAATTCTCTGTAAGTATGAAGTAAAACAGAACAGTTATTTTTTGGTAAATACGTTAAAAGAGGTTGTAATATCTAAGCGTTATGTTGTTCTGTAATTTCATTTTTGTACAGTAATATAATGCTAGGGAAAAGTGCTGACGTAATATGGAATTTAAAGTTATGACTTCAATATCCCTAACATTAAACTTCAACAATACAACTCTTACTCTGCTTTTAGATTACTCAACAATCGCACAAGTACTGACTTTGCTGCCACTCCTGTGATGTCATCGTACCTCGTGACTTTCCTCGTCAGTGAAACATTCAAAGTGATAGCCCAAGACACGTCCTTCAAACCACCAATCAGAATCATTGGTAGATCCAACACTTATGGTCTTGCTGACCACGTTTTGGAACTCGCCGTAAAAATGACAGAATTTTTCGACAATTATTTCGGCATCCCATACGCGAAGCTTCATCCTAATTTGTTGAATGATCACGTTTCATCACCTGATTGGGCTTCTGCCGGAACTGAGAACTGGGGTATGGTTAGTTATAGGTGAGTAGATCCACATTTTACATAGTACCTGTTATAATGGAAATCATTCCTTCAAAACAAATGAAAGTGAAAACTTGAGCCGAAATTTTGGAAAAATATTTCTTTTCTTTTGGAAAAATATTCATTGTCTTTAATTTCTTTTACAGGGAACTGTACATGATCATCAATAAGAATGAGACAATAATGTCGGTCGAGCATTACGCTGCCACCCTCGTCTCCCATGAGCTCGCCCACAAGTGGTTTGGCAATCTGATCACGTGCTACTGGTGGAGTAACACTTGGATTAACGAGGGATATGCCAGTTATTTCGGCTACATCGCAACTAATGCTGTAAGATAATTTATAAGATTACCTCAATCCGTTTATATTTTCAAAGATCAATATGGCTTTCATAATATCCTTTAGCCTTTGTAAAAACTATTAATTCCATTGTAGCTACTCCCAATTGTTCCTACTGAAACCATTTTTTTTGACGAAATTATAGGGTCTACAAGTCACTGAATCAGTTTATTTTATACGTTTATCTTAGTGTACAAAATTTTACAATAATTTCTTTTTGTCATTTTTCTAAATTAGGAATACCAAAAATGATTTCTGATTAATTAATAATAGATAAACTACAAACAATGACCTAGCTTTGTCAGAGAGACAATGCATCAGTGTTTAATTTATTACACACATTACATACTACATTGAAGAATGATGACATTACTAAAAAAGGGTCTTATAGCTTTTATTTAAACACATGGTGGACACGACGAGTTTCAGTTTTAACATACCAAAATCAAAAAGAATTTTTCTATATAAATTTAAGTATCTAAATAATAATTTATGTTTTTTAATTTATTCGCTAGACCGAATTGTTAGAAGTTTCATTTCAATGCGAATTTCAAGCTGCAATAAAAATGACTAACTTTTTTTTCATATTTTAGATGTTCCCTCAATATGAGTTCCCTGATCACTTCAACAGCCGCTACCTTCAAACATCACTGGCATTCGACTCAAGCCCTAGCACAGTGCCCCTAAACCATGAAGTAAACACTCCTCTTCAAGTCACAGGACATTTTGGCACCATCAGCTACTCCAAAGCTGCTTCCTTCCTCAGAATGACAGCAAATATCATGTCATTGGAAACTTTCAAGAAATCTTGCCAATACTTCTTGATGGCCAAGTTAGTATAAACGTTTTCTTCCTCAGTTTGCTTACACTTAATAGGGATTTTCTATTTTACAAAAGTCCCACCAAATCAAAATACATCCTGGCAGCAAGCGGCTATTTCAATTGTTTGTTCCGAATGTTACTTACTGTAGTTGTATTTCACTACTTTTTGTTTGATTTTGTTTTCGCCTTTCTTTTACAGTTTCAGTCGTGCGATGTATACATATATATTAGCTACACAGATTTGTTACTGTATTTAACATTTTAATTTACACATTTTTGTTTTCAGTCTTTACAAACCTACTGATCAATTTGATCTTTTGAAAGCAATGAATGATGCTATAGTTGATGACAACAGCTTGGAAAACTATCCTGGATTCAATTTTTCTGACTACTATCGCATTTGGGTAAACGAGCCTGGATACCCTCTTCTGACTGTTAAAATTAGTTACGATACAGGAGATATGACGCTTGAACAGGTTAGTATTATTTATATTCAAAAATGTTTTTTTTAAAGCATGGTCTTTTATGTCAGTAATTTTGACAATTACTTTTATATTTTGAATTTTATATGATACTTGCTTCCGTACATGGCTTGGCCCATCTGATAGGTATAAAAAGGTGATAAAAAGTAGCTAATGTGTTCATCCAAGGTATCACCTTCCTACATACCAATCAAGTCCAGCTGCTTTTGTGTGAAAGAATAACAAAAATACATCCATTAGGTACAGTAGTACAGTACAAAAACCTTTATAATGAGAATGAAAAAAAATAACTTACTTTCAGTTGTGAAAAGGGAGATGTTAAGGGTTAAATAGTAGAAAAGTCTTAACATAGATTAACCAAAAATCGCGGCTTACTCACGTGTATATATTAAGAAAAGCTCTACTAGTTCCGAACCGATTTTTGGTTAATTTAGTATGTCTCACGATAGTTATTATAAAAACAAAAGCCTTAACATAGATTTCCATATAAAACGAAATCTCGCTAAAATTGATGAAACAGAAATATGAACAAAACACATTTCCAAACCGCTGTTGACATTAATAAACCAAAACAATACATCATTCCAGGAGCGATTTTTCTTGAATCCAGCTTTGGAGACAACTGACCAGGTGTATCCCATTCCAATCACTTATACAACACGCAGAATATCCAACTTTACTTACTTGAGACCATCTCACATGATGACTACCCGAAGTACCGTCATCTCGAAACCCACTGTCGGAGAAGAATGGGTTATTTTCAACATTCAACAACAAGGTGCTTTTATAGACAATAATTGTACAAACCAAACATTAAGAAATGACTTTTTTGATTATTTTATAGTATTTATATTGACATGTTTATAATTTTCTTATTTTGTTGAATTTCAGCTCACTACAGAGTTAATTATGATCAAAGGAATTGGGAATTAATTAGTGACGCTCTCCTTAATCGTCCAGATAGTATTCATTACTTAAATCGAGCCCAGGTGAGTATAAAATTGTAGTTAATGAATTTATAGGTGTTTTTTTACGAGCCTCTACAATGTGTATTTTATTTACTTTGGTTCTGTCCCAATGCTTATTTTGGAATTTAATTTTAGATCGTGGATGATGTGTTCGCTTTAATGAGGTCTGAAAGAATTACCATACAGTTTGCCCTACACATCTTGAGGTTCTTGGCAAAGGAAACCAACAACCACGTTTGGGAGCCTGCCATCAGTGGCTTCAACTGGATGAGAGCCAGGATCAGGCACATACCTGAGAAGCAAGCCGAGTTTGATGTAAGTATTTTTGTTTAGTTTGATCTAAATCTTATATTTTTTCAAGTAGTTTAGCAACGTTACGCTTTTTTGACTGCTTTTCCAGAGTATTTTTAAGAGTCAATTGCATACTTAGATATATACTTAAACATATATACATATACACGTACAGCAGAATTACATATATAAAGGTATACATATATTGTCCGCTCTACGGCAAATGTTGATCAGGCTGAAATATGCATTAAATGTTGATCCACCTTTAGAAGCTTGTAGCTTAGATAATTTTGATAATATCGTGCCAAACTACGAATATAAGTATTCCCCTCATAGCAACCCAGTGCCTAACTACGCCGCAAACACTCTAGCTCGTCACCAACTCACACGGCAATTGTTGATTTTGTAACCGCCATTTATTTTACACTGTGTGTGACATTGTTGATCAATATAAACGTTGGGAGATCAACAAATGCCGCGGAAAGTACACCGATGCTGCGGAGCGGCAACATCGCAAACGAAACAAAAGATAGACGCTAGATGAGATACGGCCGCTTTCTATATTCAATCCCAATCCCTAATTTTCGGATCGAGATTGATATTTGAATCCATTTCCTACTTTTAGTATTTCAATAACCGATCAATGAATCGCAATCCTGATCTTTTTTTTCAATCCATCTTTGGGAGACAGTTTTGCGTATTCTAGGTATATCCAAACTCTAATTTTGACAAATCGATTTTTGAACATTATTGATCGTAATTTTCGATCCTCAACTTTTGACCGATTGTGTAGTGATAGTGATCTTAAAGTATTAGCTCAGCTATCGGATTGGGATAGTACCGACAGCGAACAAGAGAGTGCCGTGTCCTCAAAAACTTTTCGACGAATTAACTTCAAGGCAAGTTTAACCGACGCAGAGTTCACATTCAGATTCAGAATGAATAAATCTTCAGTTGAATCTGTTTTAAATGAAATAATGCCCTATATCAAAGTGAAATCAAGACGGTAAGTTGTTTGCTAACATTACTTACTTTAGAAACGGATACCTAACTAACTATAGTACTTATTTATCATTTTCAGAAATAATGGTATACCACCATTGCATCAACTTTTATTGGCACTTCGATTTTATGCATTGGGGACAATGCTTAATTCAGTGGCCGACTTTGCTAGTGTCCTTATCGTCAGCTTGTAGGATAGTGGCAGACATATCTGCTGCTATCGCTAGATTGTATAACAAATACATTTGTTTACATTCTAGAACTACAGATAAATTTTATAATATAGCTCAATTCCCAAGAGTATCTGGTGCTATTGACTGTACACATGTACACATTCAGTCTCCATGTAAGTATCCAACTCTAGATTTGTTATTCATTAAGAATTGGCAATTTGCTTAAGTAGGTTTTTAATTATTTAGAAAGTTCTCATACATTTGCAACATAAATGAAATGAGTATGTTGTATTTCAGGTTCAACAATAGGAGAGGAATTTAGAAATAGGAAAGGATACTTTTCTATAAATGTCCAAGCCGTTTGTGATGCAGACCTTAAGTTATTGAATGTTGTTGCTCGGTGGCCTGGTTCAGCTCATGATGCTACTATTTTTAATAATTCAGTATTAAGAGGTAATATTGGGTTTATTGTCTCTTCTAATATCATAAAAATAATATGGTGTTCTGATGTATTTAACTATTATTACAGCCCAGTGTGAAGATGGTATTTTAGGAAATCGTTGGTTACTTGGGGACAGTGCCTATCCAAACAGGCCTTACTTGCTCACACCTTTGCTAAATCCACTCAACTAGCCAGGAAATAAGATACAATGAGGCACACATAAAAACTAGAAACACAATTGAAAGGTAAAATCACCATTAAAGCTTTCACTATAGGTACTACAATATAAGATTAAGTACTAATTCATGAGACCATTTATTTATTTTTATTTTATTAACCAAATCCATTAAAAAGTGTACTTGTTTGTTCAGGACATTTGGAGTCTGGAAACGTCGCTTCCCAGTCATATCATTGACCATGCGGTTGTCATTACACAACATACAAACCGTTATAATAGCTACAGCTGTTCTTCACAACATCTGCAGAAATTATAATATTGAAGAAGTACCCCCAGAAGTAGAAATGCCAGAAGAAAGTGAAATTACTGTGACATCAGAAAATTCGGACAGTATTCATAATGATATCAGACATAGACAAGGATTAATTTTAAATTATTTTTAATACTTATTACCTATTTATTTTGCAAACATTTTTTTTTGTCTGTCTTGAGATAATTTGTACATTGCTTTAATTAGATTTTTATTATTACCACTCCATCTTTATTCTTAAGTATACTTACTATTAGTTTCAAATGAATAAACAATGATAATTTCAGGAAATAAAATATTCCATATTTAACATTTCAAAATTGTTTAATTAGTGATTTATTATAAAATATAGGACATTACAAACTTATTGACAAATTAATACTAGTTTTACATACAAAAATATTACTCTAGAAATCCTCTCCCTTCAGCTTCCTTATCTCTAATCTTAATTTTTCATTTTCTAACTTAACATTTTCAAACTTACTGTCTAACAATTTTTTCTTAACACTATAATATTCAGCTAATGCAATATTTCGAGCTTGAAACCCATTATCTGGCTTCAGGAGTTTCCGTTTAATACAACCTGTAAAACAAAAAAAAAGCTATTAAAGTTTTATTGAGTAACAAACATAAAGTTTCACATATTATGTACTAGCTGCCCCCTGCGGTTTCCACCACTTCTCTGCTCCCGTAGGACATAGCGTGATGTTATGTAGCATATGTGTTATTCTGATGTACATATAAGCCTATATTACTATAAAGTTGCATCAAAATCCATTCAGTAGTTTTAGCGTGAAAGAATAACAAACATCCACACATACAATTTTTTTTAACAAATTAGTAGGATATTACCACTAGCTCTAAAATTCCTTTTTTCCTTTGGTACCACTGGAGTACTAATATTGTTCTGCACCGTCACCAACTCATCTCCAAGGCTATTGACTGGCACTTCACTGCCCATGGACACTGCTGTATAAGAATTGTTGATAGGCAATGGACTATCAATCAATAGCATTGGAGACATGCTATTATCAACCGGCACAATAAAGGTCTCTACACTCCCGTCACCGTCACCATCACCAATCATTTGGGGCTCAGCATCACCACCAAACCTCTCTGAGACCTTCTTCAGTGCTGCCCAGTAATGCTGCCACCCTATCCAGTACGTCATCAGGAGGAAAGTACCCTGGTGGCCCACCTCCAGTCTGGAACATAATATGACATAATTCAACACGTTAATTATGAATACAACATAAACATACAATCATGTCAATTTTAAACTTAATTATTTACCTTGATCCGTTCCATTCGTATTAAAGTACTGCGTTTTCGTGAGTTCTTCTTTAAGTTTTCCCATTTAAGACGCAGTTGTTGTGGTGTACGGCGACAGGTACCAATGTTTGCGTTGAAAACACCGGCAATCCGTGTCCATTCTTCGACCTTTATTTTATTGCTTGTGGCGTTTGTTTTTTTATTATTTATAATCTTGCTCCCCTCAATTAAGGAGAGCAGTCCTTTCGTCTCTTCCTTCGAAAGAGGTTTGGTTTTATTCTACAAACAAATAAATTAAAGCTTAGTAAGTTTTGTACAAAGTGGCGCGAAATACCGCGTCCCCACGCATTTATCTTTTACAGCAAAAATAATACATTTGTGGACGTGAATGTTTACTACTCGATAAATTAAATCATAAAATTATACTATTTACTTACAGTTTCTGGCTCCATTTTTCACTTTCTTCTTTCCAAGAAACAAACTACAATCAACAGCTTGAGGTTTTATGTTATGTATAATTTATAACATAAACTAATGGTTAGGTTAGGTTTCTTAGCGATTTTCTAAACGCCATTAAAAATATATCAAATTTCTGGAAACGACCGGGCATAGGGTCCACTTTCACTTTCGACAGACCGGACATAGGACGGGCACTCTCTTGTTTTCATCATCGCGTATAGATTGCAAATCGAAGTGGCAACAGTTCATAACAAAACCAACCAATCGTGGCAAAGGTGACCTCTGATTGGTCCATTTGAATCAGATCAACAATTGATGGAGCGGATTTGTATAAAAAATGCAATGAATAGTTCTTATTTGTGCCGCTAGAGAGTTAGCAATTGTTGATCATAGTGGAGCCACATTTGTATGCCGAACCATACATTAGATCAACAAAAACTGTTTTGATCAACAATTGCTAACTGATCAACAATTAACTGATGCTACAACCCGTCTGATCAACATTTGCCGAATGGATACATCTATATATGTATTTGTTAATTAGAAAGGACATTGCTTTAGTGCAGCAAAAAATCGAATCTTAAAAATTACAGTTCATAATGTTATAGAAACTTTTTAATGGAAATATCTATTTTCGGTTAGTAAGAAAAAAAATCAATAATACACTAATAAGATTATAATGTATGTTCCTAAAACAGGCCTACGTCCTAGCTCAAATGGAGCATGCAATCACGACTTTAGGATTTGAGCCAAAAGGGGGTGAGTCACCGACAGTCACCATGGCAAGGCAGAGCATACTTCACTTTGCTTGCTTGCTGGGCCATGAGAAATGCGTGCAGGAATCTTGGGACCGATTCTATGATTGGAGGGTCAATCAGAAACCGTAAGTAGCTAGATAAAAGAAATACTTTTTGATTACAAGCCCGTGTTATAGGGGTTGAACTTACTCCCTGATATACTGAACAAACACAATTCCAGACTATTACTGAGAAAACACAGTCATGTATATTGCAAAATAGTGTATTTATAATTCAGTGAATGAGAGTTGCTTGATACAACAGTGTGCTTACTGTTTTTGATATATTTACAATTTTAATTTGGTCTTAGCTGTTAACTATTTTGGCAGTATTCGTGTGAATCTGTAAGTAGCTCAATGTTACTATTCTTCTGCTAAATGTGTATAATGTAGCTGTTGATTCACGATTATTAAATAAATAAACAAATATCGTAAGAGGATTAAAATAACGTAAAGCACAAGCTTTCCATGAAATATTTTGACCATATGACAAAGCAGATTTTGCATACCATGGCTTCAACTGGAACGATGAGTTCTTTCTTCAGTTAAAGAGTCAGACAGAGACACCGCGGGGCGATAGAAGTCATTTGGTAATTAAACCTCCTCTAAACAAAATAAAAATTGTTGACCTAGACTTTTTAAAACTAAAGCAATACAAAGGGCATTGCTCTGCTTTCCGTCAGTGTTGGGCCTGGAGCCAAGAGCATCGGAAGTATGTATATGTATTGTGGGCCCTATCATTAGTAAACTTCTATACAGTATTATTTTTATAGCGAACTAACTGCAGAGTAGATAGATTTAAAAAAAAGAATATTTAGAGAAATAGATTTTAACCATTATAACGAATTTTAAGTAATGTTTCAAAGCTCTCTGTAATTTTTAAGAAAAAGCTACTTTTGAACAGTGTACCTATGAAACCAGCTATAGGTACCAGTTACCATTAAATGCACATTTTGGAATACAGCTTGTCCGTGTTCAAAAAATGTTGGCGACTTAAATAATAAAATAGACCATTAATTATCGTGTATTCAGATTATTTTCATTGCTCAGGCCCAATTTGGACACATTGTCTTTTGGTGGAAGTAACAGTAGGTACTAAAGACTAATAAAAGGAACGCCATGACCTTGAACCAATTTATTGCAGAGTCAACTCGCGTGTTCGTCGCAACGTGTATGTAACGGGTATAAGAGAAGGGGATGTAGAAGACTTCAACTTCTTGCTATCTAAATTCAGAGAGTCAAACTATGCTAACGATCAGCTGGAAATGTTAAGAGGATTAGGAGCTGCGAAGGACCCTGAATTGCTAACCAGGTATTTCAAATAACATGTCTTGTCAAACTGTTTTTTTTTTATTATCCTTTGATGGGAAAATAAGGTGTGGTTATTTATAATGTCAGTATTTTTTTAAATTTATAAACTGTTAAACAAAATTGATTTTATCAGATTTATTTGGATTGTAGATTTTAGGTTATGTTTTTGAATGGCTTTAGAGCAAGGGGTTAATTTTTAGTTTTGATAAGAAACAATGTATGTCAATGTATATTACTTTTTCATTTAGGTATTTCTTTATCATTCAAAATTCTAAAACGCTAAGTATACGCTTCAAACGTACATACCTAGGAATTTCAGTTCCACAAATCGTTATTCCGAGTTTGCTCGTAGGTGTGATATCTATACTTGTAAGTTTGTATGTAGGGGGTAATCTTTGGAACCGCTGGTCAGATTGCCAAAATTCTTTCACCAATAGATAGCTACAATGTTCCTGAGTGCTAATAGGCTATAAAACATCACGCTTCAATTAAATGGAACCGAGCAGCGGGTGAAACCGCGCGAGAGTAGCTAGTGTTATATATTTACTTAACTACATGTTTTTTTTAAACACACCTATGATACAAGAGAGAATACAAGTATGTAATAAACTTTAAAAAAAAAATTGAGAAACTAAGTTCAGACCTAGTCAATAGACCTTGATGTGTATTTAAGCAATTTTCTTTTATTTTTAGTTATTTAAAACTTACACTAACTAAGGAAGTGAGGTCCCACGACAAACTGAACACATTCAACTATGCTCTACTGGGTAATCAAGATAATTACAAGACTGTCATGCAGTTTGTTAAGGACAATATCGAAGAAATAAGAATTAAGTAAGTATTGAATTCCTTTAAACCACAATAGCTTAAGTGTGGGAAAGCTATTCTTTGGCACGAATACGTTCGCTCGACCAGAGAGATACCACGTCCTTACAGAAAACCGGCGTGAAATAACCACAGCGTTGAGTTTTGCCGAGTGAGGTTACCGAAAGCTCCATCCTTTACCTTCCCCAATCCCGAAATCTCCAAAACCCTAATCATCGACGAAAAATCTCTATCTCTTCAGATTATTTATCGAGGAAGGATTTCGGTTTTATAGCTATTACTTGTAGGAGCCAAACATCGGGTGTAACCGCGCAACAGTAGCTAGTTGAAAATAAATAAATATTGTTATTTAAAACTGTTCGCATAATTAAAACGAATATTGCAAAAGCAGTTTTTCAAAACTTTTAGTTATTAAATAATAATATCTATGTATTTTATTGGTTTTGTTACATACGTGCTGTTTTTGAAAAACTAAACGACCCTTTTTTATATCAGGTACATTGAGGATTCCCCAGCCCGACCAGTCCATTCCGCATTGTCCAACCTAGCTGGATACATGGATGAACCTGCATTAGTTGATGTAAGTAACATAGAAATTAATACTTATTTTGTTCAAGGTTAAGTTTATTTTAACGTACCTACTATATTTGGCCGCGAGCTCTTGCATCTGGTTTTGGTTTAAGCCAGTTCAGTTTAATGTCAGTTCCTCCTAATATGTAGTTTTTTTAACAAAGAGCGCGTTAGCAATGTAATAATGATTTGAAGCAGAAAAATGTTTTTTAGTCAGTAAGAGTCTGACAACCCCCATCTGCGGAGGAAAGAGTCGGTGATTTTCCTCCTCAAAAATTCCCACTGCTGTTGTATTTAATTCCTCTTAAACAAAACAGGAGTTTATCAATGGATGAGTCGTTCATCGAATCCAAAAAACCGCTTTTAATATTTTTGACACAAAATAATATTAAAAGTCCTTACGCTTGGTAACGTTTATTATTTAACAAAATCTCACAATATCGTTCAAAATTCAAAAGAATGACGGTTACATCTTTTGAGCGTGAAAATATATATCTGTCCGTCACATTTGACAGGTGACAGCGACAACAAGACTTGCCACTAATACCAATTACACTTGCTATTTTGATTTAGTTGAATTGTGTTGAGATAGATAAATTAAAGACTGTTTTTATAGAGGTAACAAATAATTCAAACTTTGACATAATATTTGTCATTGATTTTATTTAGGTAGGTATACCTAGTTATCAAAGAATACCTTTTCTAATGACGTAACTTAAAAAGCCCTCGCCTTCGTAAATATGATCTTCAGAGATTAATTGGAAGACATATGGAAAGTCCAGTGGTTAACTGCATTATATATCGGTATTTTAATTCCCAGTGTACAATGGACCAAAACCGTAATTTTTTTTTGAATGGTGTACTAACCTGTACCTTTTTCTTGAATGATGGTTTTAACTATTGGTGAACTTGGGCCTTAATGTAATTTTCAGTTTACATTTTACAACTTGGAGTTATTTTGAATGATTGCAGTTTCCAGCACTAGAAAACAAGCGGAATAACAGGTTTACGATAGTAATGGCTCATTTGCGACAATCAGTTGCTCCGTTTGTCATTGAACTAGTGTAAATAAATTATAATTGATTAGATATAACAAATATTTTACGTATTTTAAAAGATTACGCAATTAGATTTATTTTCAACATCTTTATTCTTTGAGCAATAAGGGTTACTTTTATTTCGAAATGTCCTCTATATACATAGCTAGCGTTGATTATTAAATATTTTTTGTATTAGTCTTGTAACTAATCTTTATTTCCTTTGAATTTTTTTATTGTACTTTTTGTCTAATTAAACTACTAAGTAAATAAGCTTATTTTTGAAAGAGCATTCTATGACATGAGATGGAATGATTCATTTGACCTTTTCCTGCTCCAGGCCACATGAACTTTTCTATTATGAGTATACGCGACCAAATCTTGTCACTTGATGAAAAAGGGTAATAGAATCAATACTAATCGTTCTTTTCTATTTTCTATGTTTGCAGTACGAAGCGTGGTTAGAATCACAGCAAAATCTACCTCAGCTCGCAACAGCAAAGAACGCTATCGCATCGGCACGTACGAACATGGCGTGGGGTACAGCTAATGTCGACAAAATCCTAGAAGCCACGAGAAGTAGTGCAACTAAAACTGTGACGTCACTGTTCATGTTAATCGCCATGACAGTCCTCCTTCGCGTTATTTAGAAATAGTAGAATAAATAAGAAATTGTTGTACAAAAATAATTATTTTTTGTAATAAATCGTTTTTGTTGTTATTTTTTTGTTTTGTTTTTGTTTTTGTAGCCTTTTTATTGATGATATCTGTCAATGAGTTGACACATAGAGATAAACAGACTAAAGGTTGATTAGGAATAAGTTTCGGAAATCTTAGCAAAATCAGAAGCCTAAAGCGACCTTGAGCAAACACATTTTCAAATCGAGAAGGAATGATAGTATAATCTTCAAATAGATGAGTATAGTGGTTTATCAATTTCAAATGATTCAAATAAATAATAATTTTATAAGTCCAGATTTAATAAAAAATACTATTGCCTTTCGTAAGTTCTTAAGTATATTGTGATTTGTGAGGAAACCTGACCTTATAATTTATAACTATAAGTTTTAAATAGTCAATCTGCCTTAAGCAAGCGTAGTGATGAATACTCAAACTTTCTTCACGTGGGAATAGACCTTTGCACAGCAGTGCACACTTATTGGCTGTTGATGTGCATTTTATATAGCAGTACATCCGGTTTCCGGTTCCGGTCGCCTTAATCTTAGCGTTTAATTTATATATCTTGTTAACTGTCTTGTTTGCTTGGTACTGCTCAAACTTTTAATACAATAATAAAATATATATTTTTACGATACCTTTTATAATAGAGTTCGGAGGAACCAAGAGTGAGAGATTACAGGACATTAAACCAATTTTTGCTTGGATACAAAACTACTTTTTACTTTTACTCCTATATTTTATTATTCTCTATTTATTACATGTTTTATATCCAGTTTTTTTTATATGTATGTGGAATCTTGTAACAAATTTGGAAACAGATATATTCAACTAATTGCCGAAGTTTTAGTTTCAGCTTAGTTTTCAGTCTAACAGTGTAGGCTTTGGTTTCATCATCATCATCATCATCATCATAATCATCAGCCTGATGTCGTCCACAGCTGGACATAGGCCACTGAGCTCGATGTTCAGCTCTTCTCATCCAACCACTGCCAGCCACCCTGCGGATGTCGTCAGTTCACCTAGCTGGACGGCGCCCTACACTGCGTTTGCCTAGACATGGTCTTGACTTTTGTTTATACAAATGAATATTACTACAGCGTTTAACAGCGTAAGTTAGTTGGTAGCTAATGCAGACAATTTATTGTGAAGAAGTCAAGAAGTAATTAATAAATATAATTTGATTCTGAAAAGATTCACCTCACCCTTCTGTCTCTTTCTGTTTCGCTACTATCGCTTTGTGTAAAATACTGCATTCAACTGAATATGGTTATGGTATTGTTAAGTAATTTTTAAAGAAACGAATAGAGAAATTCTAAGTAACACAATAAAATATGAAAGTAAACTGAAACCTTTAAAAAGTGTACAATCAATGAGAGCAAGGTTTTGATTCCAAGGTTGTACAAACATTCAGATTTGACATACGATTTAGACGGTTTTGTAATAACTGGTGAAATTTCGACAATCAGTTGGTTGCGTCTTGGGGCAGGCTACCTATTTGAAGTGAAGCTATTTTAAATTAGCCAACATAGTTAAACCCTTTGATGATGAAAAGTAGTCGATTAAGTAATTTCCGCTTTAAATAAGGCGTAATAGAATACAGAAGTCAATCCCCATCTGTTAATAATAATCTATAAACGAATTTGGACAACGGAAATGGAAAAATAAATAATGCTATAACATAATATGATATACATATATAAACTTATAATATTTTTTATGGGCTACACCGGCAAACGAACGGACGGATTACCTGATAGTAAGCAATCGGCGCCGCCCATGGTGAACCAAAGAAGTTATGAGTGCGTTGCCGGCCTTTTACGGATAAGGGTTTCAGATATTTAACGATTGGGAAGGGATAGGGGGAGGTGGAAGGCTTGGGCCTCCGGTAACCTCACCCACACGGCGAAATACAATGGTATGGTTGTTCCACGCCGGTATTCTGTGAGTCCATGGTATCACTCCGGTCGAGCCCGACCCATTACTTTCGCAGCATGGCTCTCCCACACATAATAATATTATTATATGTCCGAATTGGCGGACAACTTACAAAATAAAGTGAAATAGATATGGTTAGTTTTAATAGGATGTATACGACTGATTCATTCCAATCCTTATTTTTTAAAAGGCTATCTACCTTGTTTTGGCTATCCGTTATAACATGACAACATTTTTTGCGGCCCTCGTACCTAATCAATTTAAAATATATATTTTTATTATATTAAGGAGATTCTCGTTGCAGGTAGATCTTTAATTGCATTCGTTGATATAATGTAAGATTGAATATAGTAACTGTTGATAACAATAACTGTTAGTTAAGAATAGATTTCACTAATTATTCCTCTTGTACTGCGAGTCCATGAGTAACCGTCTGCTCGTTTGCCAAACTACCAAATAAAAGTAAAACTTCATAGGAGGAAAGTAGACGAAGAATTTTGGTTTAGGATTGTAGAAATCAATCAAATAAATAAGAAATTTTATGCTCTCTAATGACAATCACAAAATTATAAATAAAGCATGTACTGTACCCATTTGTTTGTTTTCTTAAGGAGATCAAATATGTTACGGGTTGCAGGTTATCGGAAACCCTTATCCGTCACAAAATTAAAAATATAATGGTATACATACGTACGTACCAATTTTCTTCCTACATAAATAAAGATTATGTTCTACACTATGTCGACGAGTACACGTAGGCCAGTTAGTTTCTTTCGATAACAGGCAAGAGAAGAAAATAGACCGCCGATATGGCGACGGACCAGTAGCTTTTCCAGAAACGCTACTGGTCCGTAATGCAATATATAAAAGGGGACCTTCCCCTTTCACTCAATCGAAAGTTAGTCGACATTGTGTATCTTGCCTGTCCAAACCTACGTTGCGCTAACCTGGTCTCTCACTGAATGTCAGAAGTCCAGGCTCTGTATTTGCCAAAGAGCAATAGAACGTAGCCTGTTAGACATAAAACGGACTGATCGCATACGGAATACTATGATACGGACCAGAACAGGCGTCGCTGATGTAAGCTAAAAGCAGCTAGACCGGACACGTCAACCGAATGCATCCGGAGATATGGGCCACTATTGTCACCCAGTGGACACCTCAGGATGGATGCCGCAGGCGGGGTAGGCAGCGGAAAAGATGGCGCGACGATCTAGATGCCCATCGTGGAGACTGGTGGACATGGTCGAAAGATCGGGAGATGTGGAAGCGAGATGGGGAGGCCTTTGCCCAGCAGTGGTACATTATAGCCTAGAAATAAAAATAATATTAAATTAATCAAACCCCGAGTTACAACGGCGTACGCGCATCTATTGTTCTTCTATTATGTCTTGAATGGCCATGATTGAAAGGTTAAGCACTCATTCCCAAAGTGTTGAGGTCATCATGTATTTTATTTACCCAGTGAATTTGAATGACCAGGTTGTTTACCGTAAACTAAGAAAATATTTATTGTTGATATAAAAGACATTATTTCCTTCACGGATGTCCTGTACCTCAATCAGACAGTGACGGCTCAGCTTGAAGGTGTCTTGCTATAATTTTTTTGAATCATTCACAAAAAAAAAACCTTTTTTTATCGGAATAATTTGCGTTATCAGAGCCTTCTGACTGATATAATTCTGATAAATATTATATATATTGTAATCTATACGATTGTGGACGTTAAAATATTGAAATTAAAATCATTTCGTGTGGTTCAATTGTGAAACAGGTACGTGTTTTTGTTAGTTACTTTGTTTATCTTTATTTTTTCATAGATAATGATGATTAATACCTAAATGTACGAGTTCGCTAGGTGATTACACTTAAATGATAATTTACATTTTTGTATAAGTTTTATTGCGTCGCAAGATTTCTATGGTCCGGGGTCGCGGGTCAAGCGCAATAAGCAACCGCGGCCTTGGTCTGCAGCAGGCAAGGGAACGGGGGGGTTTATAGTCGTCAGAGTCAGACACTCCTCCTCGCTATACCCTGGCGAGAAGAGACATCTGTTGATATTCCCTCCTCAAATAAAGCTTTCTGTGGTAGATTTCTTTTCGTTAGTGTAAGAAAGGGTAGTTGATTATAGATTGGAACATTAACAGATGGATCAGCGGATATTAAGCAATCAGAGCCGTTCGTGGACACCACTACAACTGAGGGATTAGAAGTGCGTTACTGATCTTTTGGGGGTTGTTAGGATTTGAGAGTTGTACTTAAAGCTTAAAATCTAAGATGGTCCTAGATAACTATTAATCTGTGTCAATAAACGAACTTAAACATAACTTACTACGCTATGAGTCCCAATTTTCCTACTGATGTAAAAATCATTAAAGGCAATTTCGGGGCGTCAATATTTTTTATGGATTACCTGGTGGTAGGCAATTAGCGCCGCCCATGGATAACGACAGATGAATTACAAGTGCGTTGCCGATCTTTTGGGGTTTAGGGTTTTGGCGATTGGCGAACCTCACTCACAATATTATCTAAATTTTGCATCAACAACAAATCGTTTTTGCCTACATTTAAACTTTATCACAATTTTATCAGATTACTAAGTAGCACTAAGTAGTACCTTTGGATATCACCATTGTATCAATGATGTATTCCTTGTATCTACACGGATGTACTTTCAAGGGTAGTTTTCAACGAAAACTTTTTCTAAAATGTCCAAAACAACATTATTGTTTGAATTCAGTATGAAATATCACGTTGTGACGTCATATTTTTTAACATAAAATAGCATTATTTTTCTTGAATTATTTAAAAATACGAATATTTAGTAGGTATATCGTTAATTTTATTAACGAACGTCTTATTGTTTTTAAATAGTTTAATAGCTTCCAATCTGTCTGCTTTTTGCCAAACTATGAAATAAAAAAGGCAACAAGTTGAAATTACTCTTGGAAATTCACGTGAACTTTTTTTGAGTGCTTATGACATGTATGTTCTAGGCCTTATTGAAATTTAATCCGTGATTCGGATTCGATAAGATAATAAGTATAATTGATGATATATTTCTTTTTGTTAACTCATACAAATATTTTTCTGCTTATTTTAGCACCATGCGTTTAATTGGCGTCATCGTTTTGGCGCTTGTCGCGCTTACATGGGCTGATGGACCACTGCCATTCGAAACTGAAGATGTAGAAATCTTAAACGCTGAGGCAGGAGATAACAATTACCGCCTACCTGAAGATTTGGACCCTATAAGTTATGATATCGAAATAACTCCATACTTCACAGAAGAGACCACTCCACCAGGAAAATCTCAATTTAGTTTCGATGGTACCGTCAGCATTGTCTTCAAGGTAAACAAACAATTTTATTTTTTTAAAGACAATATTTATAGCAATAACAAATACATTACCTAATAATGGTCAAGGGTAGAGGCCATATTATTTTCGTAGGTATCTACCAAGCCAGAGCCACCCACATTCATAGCATCAACCAGTGGTCGTCCTTGGGTGCTCTAGCATAGTGCATAGAAGGACCATTGCCAGCTGATGTGCCAATTAAATAATATTAAAGTCGTTCAAAGGCCCCTTGTACGCCTTCCAAAGGTCCGGCACCCTGTGGGCCCAAGAATGGAAGCGAAAATGAATGAATTATTAAACTTTGAAATTCTCAGTAGCTTCCATAATTTTACCTACCTCTTTATTATATTGATATGCTTATCAACTTAAAAAGCTTCTAAATATCTTAACAGATCATAAAAAAATGATCTCGTTATATTTTATTTTATTATGATTTTTATATTAATTATTTATCCATTGTTTCTCAGGTCATCAAGCCCAATCTGAACTCTTTTGTCATACATGAAAATGTAAGATTAGTTGAGGGTGTAAGATTATTTAAGACAGAGAATGATGCCGTCGTTCCTTTGCTGAGTGGACGACAATTTGAACGTGATACAGATCACCAGTTCTTGAAAATCAATCTGGATACAGGCACTACTTTAGAAGTAGGAGCTGAATACAAACTGTTGGTTATATACGTGGGGAATATAAACGAAACCCCTCTATCTAGAGGTGTATTCCGAGGAAATTATAAAGATGAAAAAGGAGTTACACGGTGAGTATGATAAAATCAAACTAAATAACTAAAAAAAAATGCGCATCATATGCATGATTTTATATTATAATTTTTTTATTATATAATACGGTTTTTGTTATTGCTATTCCTAATAACTGCCAGTATTTTTAATGTATTATTTTTTCTTAAAATTGTATTATATTGTTTTGATTTTCTTTTTACCGGTATAGATTATTATTTAATGATGTTTTTATATTATTGCAGCTGGTATCTGGCCACCCACCTTCAGCCCACTCACTCCAGGCAGGCTTTCCCAAGCTTCGATGAGCCTGGATTTAAGTCCACCTTCAGAATCACAATTAACAGGCCAACTAGCTTCTCTCCAACATACTCCAACATGCCCCTTGAAGTTTCATTAAAGTGAGTAATTTGACAATATTTTAATCAACTTTTTAATGCCTCAATCAATATGTTTGTGATTGTAAGTGTGGAAATGAAATTAGCGCAAACTGATATTCAGAATCAATGCGCGTACACATTAAAAGAGCTGTTCAAAATATAACTCATTGCAATTTCTCCACTAAAAGAAACACACTTCACTACTTAAAGTAATTATCATTGTGTCGGGTCGCGTGTAGATTTTAATTACTAACTTTTAAACTTTCGCGTTTCATCTTAAGAACATTATATTTACGCGGGTATTAACGCGGAAAATTATAATTTGAATACCTTGGTAGGCTTGACGTTTCGACCCGGTTGCACAGGTCGTGGTCACAAGCAGACTGAAGACGCGATGTCACAGCTCCCTGCATTCGGGTGATGAATCTTCATCTACCCCCTTATTTTCATTTTCTACCATATTAGGCCGTCTACACACTACGCTGATAATATCCACAGATGTGTTAACCGACTTTGAAGGAAAGCGAGGTTGTGTTTTGCGAAGCACTGGATTCCACGTCGACGACAATTTAAAGCCGTCCTCCCGATTGAAATTATTTGGGCATTTCTTTATTTCAACCGCTTCACGCACAAGTCTTGTATGGTAGTGGCGATCAGTGGAGAGAATTTGCGGTCAAGCCTACCAAGGTATTCAAATTATAATTTTCCGCGTTAATACCCGCGTAAATATAATAGATTTTAATTGACGCCATATTAGAAAAATAATTTAAAATAAAATTGTGATAAGTTGGTAAGCATGGCCTATGCCTATTATGGCATGAAAAGTATGAGGTAGATTGTAATATGGAACGTTTGCACTGTATAGCAGACTAGCTACTCTCGCGCGGTTGTACCCGCTGCTCAACTCCATTTGATCGTAGCGTGATGTTTTATAGCCTATAGCACTCGGGAACCTTGTAGCTATCTATCAGTGAAAGAATTTTGGCAATCCGACCAGCGGTTCCAAAGATTACACCCTACATACAAACTTACAAATTTTACCTCTTTATAATATTAGTATAGATAAACGTAGGAAAAATTGCTGAGTACATTAGGTCATAGAATTGTTTAATGATGTTAAGATAGTGGAAATATGAAGTCATTGTAGTTTACTTTTAATATTCATTATAAATGCCTTATCATATTACTTGATTAGATGAGGAAAAAGTAGTAAACCTTGCACTGTAAATTCAGAAATCAAAAACCTATTCTTTAAATAGATAATAATAGAGAAATGGTGTTACTCAAAATAAAAATAAAAGATTTTGCGCTTAATTTCGGTGGGATCATGGGATCAGTTAAGTCAAGTCGGCTCATTAGTGCAAGCATGGCTATCCCCCATTTTTTTTATTTTATAATCGGTATGCTTTTGGCTGTTATCCCGCCTGTTGGTAAGAGATAATGCGACCTATGATGGAGCACGCCTACCCATAAACAACTTATTCGCTAGGGCCTTGAAGACACTTCGGGAAACACAGATTCCGGCAAGAATTCCACTTCTTAGCGGTTCTGATTATAAAACTGGAGGCGAACCAAGCAAGTGTGGGAGAGTCAAGCTTCGGCACGAATGGGTCGGCTCGACCGGAGTGATACCACGGCCTCACAGAATACCGGCGTGAAACAACCCTCAGCGTTGTGTATCGCCGTGTGAGTGAGGTTACCGGAGGCCTAATCCCTCCCGTTCCCCTATCCCTTCCAGATCCTTATATTCGCAACCCCATTAGATAACTGTGTTGCGGGTGTCCATGGGCGGCGCCGATTGCCTACCATCAGCTAATCCTTCTGCTCGTTTGCCGACTTATACAATAAAAAAAGAACCGCTTTATAGGCGTGGGTGGGATATGCACAATGAAGTGATGACATTCTGTCTATTGTCTAGTGGTGCAATGATGAAAAGAACTAAGGAGAATTCAGCTAAGTAGCTTCCCCAAACATTCTCCGAAATGTACACGATAAATAACCGATAGGCTTCGAGGCTTTAAAGTCGACTAGCACATCTTTGTTGTTGAGCAACAAACGTCTCGATGTGTTTAAACTTCACGTTCAATAATCTTTATAAGTTTGTCTCGTTTGTATCGCATTAACAAATATAATTAGTCTTCTTGTCTAGATAATGCTAGCATTCTAATATATTAATTAGTCAAACGTAATCATAGAACATTGGTAACATTTTACCCAACCAGGGTAAAATCAATAAATTAAGTTGTATACCTCAATGACAATTTTGGCAAGCATATAACTAAGCCAGGGAGAAAAGGGCTGTACTTTAATTTTTGGGTGTGTTATCATAACAATTCCCTTATCTATGTGAATAAGCCAGCTGGTACTTCCCTATTGATAGTATTCCGATAAGCTAAGATTGTAACCATAAATGAACATAGTAATCAATAATTTCGTGAACCGGCAAACATTTTCATAATGTTTTAGCCAAATTACTTTGGTATTTGATAGATTAAATATCGACACCCCAGCTTTTCCAGAACGAGTTAATTGTGGGAGAGCCATGCTTCGGCACGGAAAGATACCACGGCCTCACAGAAAACCGGCGTGAAACAACCACAGCGTTGTTAGTGAGGTTATCGGAAGCCCAATTCTTCCCCTCCCCCAATCCTTCCTCATTCCCCAAATCTCCAAATCCCTAATCCCTAAAAGGTCGGCAACGCACCCGTAACTCCTCCGTTGTGGGTGTCAGGAAATCCGTCTGCTCGTTTGCCGACCTATTACATAAAAAAAACGAAGTGTCAAGTTTATAAGGACAGCAACGAGTAAATAATTCATTGAAGAAACTTAAACAGGAGATCAAATTCCGAAAAAAAGATTTCGATAAATAAATAGGTCTTTTCTCACGTTGAGTATATAGATAGTCATTTAATATTTATATAGAAAACATAAGAACATTCCACTAATTTAAACATAACAACTTAAGAGGCTTAACCTTTAATTTCTTTAACAGTCAAGGAGAACGCACTAAGGAGATCTTCCGAGAGACCCCAAGAATGTCAGCTTACTTGGTGACATTCCACGTCAGTGATGGCTTCAAAGTAATTGCTGATAATGATGATAAAGAAAGGCCTTACAGAATCCTTGCAAGATCTAACGCTGAAGGCCAAGGAAAATATGCTTTGGAAATAGGAACACCTATTACCAACTGGCTTAGCGATTATTTGAAAATCGATTATTATTCTATGGCTAAGTACCTCAAGAATGACCAGATTGCTTCACCTTACTGGGCTTCTGGAGCTACTGAAAACTGGGGATTAGTGACTTACAGGTAATGTTATATTCTTAACCAATTTAATGCCCAATAATATTATACAAAATTTTATTATTTGTTATTTTGTAATGATTTCTCAAATTACTATCAATAAAGATTATTAAAACTAATTTCTCATATCAACTACTAGATGGCGCTGTACTAAGATATTACTACTACTTACTACTAACAGTACATGAAAAATGGTAGTTTAGAGCTTTGATGAAAATAAGACTGTTTTTTTATGATTAAAGGCTGATTTTTCAAAAGTCAGATAAATGTTATCTGAGTAATAAAATTATAGCTGTCACTGTCTTATATAAACATTCTGACGCGACAGCATCATAATTATTCCCCAGATAACTTATATCTAACCATTAAAAATAAACCCTTACACCCGGTTTCTGAAAGGCTTGTTAATGCTAAAATTTACTAATCTTCTGTTAAATCTCTTGTCAAGTCACCTTATTGGTTGTTGATAATTCAGTCAACCAATCAGACTTGACAAGAGATTAAATTGATTTTAACATTGATCGGCCTTTCGGAAACCGGGTGTTAATCGAATAAAATTTCAAATTTTGAATGTTTTAGAGAACTTCGTCTGCTCTACGAAGAGGGCGAAACAAATGCTGTTGACAAACTTTCTATCGGTACTATAACTGCTCACGAACTTGCCCACAAGTGGTTCGGTAACCTGATCACCTGCAGATGGTGGGACAATGTCTGGATCAACGAAGGTTTCGCTAGCTACTTCGAGTACTTCGCTATGCATGCCGTAAGCATAAATTACACATCTAAGAATAGATAATAGCTTCAATAACACGTTCATTCAATATTTTTGACTGCACGGCTGACGCAGTGGTCGGGCAACTGACCGCTGTGCCACGTGTCTCGGGATCAATTTCCGCACAGAACAACACTTTATGTGATTAATAAATTCTTGTTTCGGGTTTGGGTAAATCATATATGTGAATGTGCATATTATAATATGTTTGTTAACACACCTACAAACCAGGAGAAAATAAAAAGAAAAAAATAGAAAAAAAATGTGAATGAGATTACAGTATTTTTGATAATATTTCTTTTATCTTATCAAAGTCAAAGTCAAAGTCAAAATCATTTATTCCAATTAAACCATCAATAGGTACTTTTGAAACGTCAAAATAGAAAAGTAGTCTGTCAGTCTGTACGTCAGTGAAGCTAGGTGCTCATTCCAAATTGTAGATTCGAATGGAGAAGAACGAGCAAGAAACTCCATTCGTTACTCTTTTTTTAAAAAAAAAATTGTTTTACAATTTCAATAATATAACATTTATAGTATACATTAGTGTACCCATATGTGAGAACAATGCAGAGACAAGTTGTTAAAAAAAAGAACAAATGAGGGGACCTATCATAAAATTTTACTCCTTTGTCGTCTCGAACATGGCGCTCACATATGCGTACTCACAATATTTAAGAGTGCTTCTATATAAACTTTTTGGATATTTAAATTAAGGATGCATTATTTTTGAGAATTTTACCTAACTGCTGACTATATTTGAGTATTGTCCAGTGGAGCCGAATCAACACGCTGCCAGGCATTCTTATCCTCAATATAATCTGAAAGTTTGTAGTATGCCTGTCTACACAATTCACGTTTAATATAAGTTTTAAATTTTCGTTCGTTAAGATTCAATACAGTACTTGGAATTTTATTGTAACAATTTACACAGAACCCCATAAAGGATTTCTGTACCTTGGACAGACGGAATCGTGGCACAGCCAGCCTATCTTTGCCTCTTGTATTAAAATTATGTCTATCGCTTCTTTTTTCAAATAATTGCAAATTTTTCCTTACATACATAATATTTTCATATATAAACTGACAAGGCACCGTCAGGATATTTATCGTTTTAAATAGTTCTCTCAGAGATTCGCGACGGGGCAAGTTATATATCGCTCGGATAGCCCGCTTTTGTAGAATAAATATTGATTCTACTTCCGCAGCTCGACCCCACAGCAAAATTCCGTATGACATAATGCTGTGAAAATAGCTAAAATAGACAAGCCTTGCTGTGTTCACGTCTGTGAGCTGTCTTATCTGTCTAACTGCAAAAACAGCAGAGCTTAGTCTCCCCGAAAGCGTCTTTATGTGGGAACCCCATTGAAGTCTATTGTCTAGTGTGATACCTAGAAACACTGTCTCGTTGACAAATTCTAACTTTTGCCCATTTAAAATTATGCTACAATCATTACTGTGTACGTTGGGCAAGCTAAATTTAATACATTTTGTTTTTTTCTCGTTAAGTGCTAAATTATTGACTGTAAACCAATTATGAACTTGATGAATGGAGCTGTTTACTTCGTCAAAATTATTAGAACGTCGACCTATTTTAAAAATTAATGATGTATCATCAGCAAACAGCACCATACTTGGCTCGGTTTTAAATAGAAATGGCAAGTCATTAACATACACTAAAAAGAGAAACGGACCCAATATTGAACCCTGTGGAACGCCCATTCTTATCTCAGAGCCCTGTGAGTTATAACCACCTACATGAACTCTCAGCTGCCTATCCTCTAAATATGATTTTAGTAGACGGAGTGCAGTATGTCTAATCCCGTAATGATCTAATTTCAGCAAGAGTGTTTCATGATCAACGCAATCGAACGCTTTTGAGAGGTCGCAAAAGACACCAACAGCATCCTGTGCTTCCTCCCAAGCACCGAGTACTTCCTTTATCAACGTGACACCGGCGTCAGTTGTACAACGACCTTTAGTGAAACCGTATTGTTGGTGATGGAAGATGGCATGTTTATCAAAGTGATGAAGCATCCGAGATAGCATTAACTTTTCGAACACTTTGCTAAGAACCGGCAGAACAGACACAGGCCTATAGTTGTTTGGTTCCTTAGTGTCACCATTTTTGAATAATGGAATAACTTTACTGTATTTCATTAGGTTTGGGAAGACACCGTCATCTATACTTTTATTGAAAATCAAAACCAGATACGGCGCTAAAGTTCGGATAAGTGATCCGCAGACTTTCACGGATAGTCCCCAAAGGTCCTCAGTTGATTTGACCTTGATTTCTTTAAAAACCTTTATTATCTCTAAAGGACTAGTATAATGAAAACTAAAGTCGCATTCGCATGATTTAACATTTTCTCTAAGCAAAGTTGCCGATAGTCTGGCCGATGATTTTAAATGAGCCGTTGTTTTGACAGGTATATTAGCAAAAAAAGTCTCAAACTCCTGAGCTACATCTGTGCTTGACGAAATCTGTCCCCTCTCTGTGTTTAAACAAAAAGCCGAATGTTTTAATTTATTCCTACCTGTCTCATTCTGTATTATTTTCCACGTAGCCTTTATCTTATCTTCAGCTGATTTTATTTTATTACTGATGAAAAGACGCTTTGCGGTTTTGCATACTATTCTAAATGTCTTTGAGTACAATTTTACATGTTGATGAAAAAGAGGGTCGCAATTGTATGGTTTCATGCCATAAAGTTCAAAAAGTTTATCTCTACTCTTACGAATACCTGCGGTAGCCCAATCGCGAAACTGAAACTTAGCATAGACGTCTTTATATTTCATTGGCAAAATATCTTGAAATTCCCTATTTAACACCGTAAAAAATTTTTCGTATAACCTGCTTGGATTACTTACATCAAAATTTTCTATACTTAATTTAGATGCTAATGAATCATTAAGTTTCTCTAAATTTTTATTTGTTATATGTCTAAACTTTATTTGAATTTTTTGAAGAGGCAAATAAGAGCTGTAAGTAACCACAAGACCACTGTGGTCAGAAGGTAAACTGTTTATAACTTTTTTTTCTAAATAGTTGCAGTTACTAAAAATGTTATCAATACATGTGGCTGTGGAGGGTGTTATCCTAGTCGGTTCTAGAAAAACATTTTTTAAATTAAATGATTCAAACAAATTTAATAGCTCCATGCCACTTGTATTGTTCTCCAATAAATTAATATTAAAATCGCCACATACAAGTACTGATTTATGGCTAGAACATACTTTTCTCAAAACATCTTCCATTACAGAATCAAACAATGCAAGATTCTGATAATTAGGTGGTCTATATACACAAACAACAACATGTCTATCCAGCTCAACACAGGACAACTCAATAGTGTGTTCAACTGACAGTGCTACAATATCTTTCCTTTCTTTGGACTTAATGCCATTTTTAACTAAAATTAAGGACCCGCCGTGTAACATATTCTTTCTACTAAAATTACTTATTACAGTATAATTTTCAAAATTGAAAGATATTAATTGGTCCTCTTTCAACCAATGTTCTGCTAAACAAACTATATCAAATTGTGTTTTCTCAAGAAACATTTCTATTTCAAATTTTTTAGAGGAGCAGCCCTGAATATTAATATAAAATAAGATTAAATTGTGCTGCCCTTGAGCCTGTGTAACAACATTAGATATGAGTTTTTTTTTGCCAGAATATACCTTACTCCTAACATTATATATGATGGTATGTTCTGTTGTCTTAAAATCTAGTTTAAATCTATCACTGTGTTGTTAGGTAGCCTAGACAGCACAGCTTCGTCCCTAAAACTAATATCTGTTATATTTTTTATAACAGTTTATCTGTTTTATATAGCAAACAAGGATTCTTAGAATAACAATTATTGTATTATTATTATTTATTATAAAAAGGTAACATACAATTATTGTTTAGACGATACATTTTAATTTAAAGTCTTCATACACTCGCGAGTGCAACAATCTACAAGCTAAAACCACATGCACTGATTTTGCTAGTAGAGGTATAAATACACGATTAAAATGATTGGCAATAAAAAATGAGACCTTTAGAATTAAAAGCTTACTTCTAAATAAGTATACAAATATAAAAACAAATAATACGAATTTTTTTTATGTGATTGGTTGGCAAACGTTCATACTGTTTACCTGATGGTAAGCAATCAGCGCCGCCCATTGACACCTGCAACAACAGAGGAATTACGAGTGCGTTGCCAGCCGTTTGGGGATTAGAGATTTGGAGATTTAGGGATTGGGGGAGGGGAGGGATTGGGCCTCCGGTAACCTTACTCACACGACGAAACACAACGTTGTGGTTGTTTCACGCGGTTTTCTGTGGTCCCTGAAAAACCCTGGTATCACTCCGGTCGAACGGACCCATTCGTGCCGAAGCATGACTCTCTCATACAAGATAGATAAAGTGAAATTAAAATTAAACTTAAATTATAAAAAAAAAAGATTATCAAAATGAAAATGAAAAGAAATCTAATTGTTATAATTATGTTGTTATAGGCATACCCTGAATTAGAGTTGGATGACCAGTTCAACATTATGTACGTTCAAAGCGCACTATCAGCTGACTCGGCAACTAGTACCAGAGCTCTACAGCATACCGTCAATAGCCCGACCGAGGTCACAGGACATTTCTCTGGCATCAGTTACTCTAAAGGAGCTTCCTTCCTCCTTATGTTAAAACATTTGGTATCTGACGACACTTTCCAGCAGGCTTTGTACAACTTTTTGGATGACAGGTAAGCATTAATTGGAAATACCAAAAAAAAGAAACCGGTATTTTAAAAAATAACTGACGCCCTGTTCTGTATTTTTTTTGCAAAGCATTTGTTTGTCTTTGTTACTCAGTGAGGAAGAAGTTTTGGAACGCATAGAAAGTTGTTTTTTATTTGTGAGGATGGAAAACGATTATATGGATAACCTGATGGTAAGAAATCAGTGTCACCCATTAGAACTTGCAACAACAGAGGAGTTACAAGTGCTTTGCGTGCGTGCAACCTTTTGGGTATAAGGGTTTTAGATATTTAGGGACAAGGGGAGAAGAATTGGGCCTCCGGTAACCTCACTCATACGGCGAAACACAGCGCGGTGTATAACAGCCGTGGTGTCTTTTCGGTCGAGGTGATCTATTCGTGCTAAAACATGGGTCTCCTACACGTTACAGCTAATAGTTCTACGTTTACAATTACATTATTTATAACAAATGTGCCCTTTTTTAGGAAATACCAACATGCTTTCCCGTCACATCTTTACGATGCTTTTGAGAAGACATTATCGGAATCAAAGCAAGAAATAAAAACGACAGAGGGTAACAACCTGGACATTAAATCCTTCATGTCCTACTGGGTCTTAGAGCAAGGGTACCCTGTTCTCAACGTCAATGTCAACCGTGAAGCTGGCACCATCGCACTCGAACAGGTAAAAACTCTTTAACAAATAATCATTACCGAATAAAATGATACTCACAACGGATCTCACTCAAGCTAAAACAAAATCCATTTTTTATGTGATTGGACGGCAAACGACCATACGGATTACCCAATGGTAAGGAATCAGCGCCCATGGACACCCGCAACAACGGAAGACTTACGAGTGATTTGCTAATGTTTTGGGGATCAGGGATTGGGGAGAGACTTGGAAAGGGAAAGGATTAGGCCTCCGGTAACCTCACTCACACGGCGAAACACAACACTGTGGTTGCTTCACGCCGGTTTTCTGTGAGTCAGTGACTTCAGTCGAGCCGACCGCCCCAAAGTCCGTTGTGTAGTTTTAAAGTTTTAAGCGTACATAGGGGTATAGGGCCAGATGCAACTTTATTTTATTTATTCCTTATTTCTCAATTCTGTTTTATTCCTATTACTACTAGTGAATCGCGTCACAACAGTAACTGTGCAAGTTAAAAAAATAATGATTGTGAATTTATTGTTATTTTTCTTTAGGAACGATTCTTCGTTAGTCCAACCGCGACTGCCACACAGCAAGTATGGCCTCTACCTATAACCTACACTACTCAAAGTAGCCCGAACTGGACTGATCTCAGCCCTGTCAAAGTAATGAATACGAAGACCGACACTCTCCAGAATGTTCCAACTGATGGCTGGGTCATCTTCAACGTGCAACAAAAGAGTAAGTCAATTGAAATCTTAAATGAAGTCTAAAGTTTTAGACATTAGATTGGTTTTCAAACACCAACTTTTCTCTTTTTACTGAATCATTAAAGATACAAGTCTAGATTTTCTTATGTGATAGGATAGCAATCGAGCTCACGCATGTCTTGTGTGCTCTCAAAGATCGACGTTTTTTGGGTATTAGAAGTTTTAGAAATTGAGGGCGGGGAAGAGATCGGGGTCAGATAACTTCACTCACATGGCAAAATACAACGCTATGGTTGTTTAACGCCAGTTTTCTGTGAGGCCGTGGTATCACTCCTGTGGAACCGACCTATTCGTGCCGAAGCATGGATCCCCCACAGGATAACATCATAATAGTCATAGTAATGTTCGTGTTTATCCACTGGCCATATCAAAATTACTATAAAAATTCAAATATCTAGAGTCTATCTACATCCAAGATGTATATTTTCTTCTATTGAATATAATAATTATCCACCATACAATACATGCGTTTTGTGAAAGTTATCGCTTTATTTAAAAGTAAAAAAAAAGTCAAAAGTAAAACATCATTTATTCCAATTAGACACTTACAGGCAATTTTGAACGTCAAACAAAGCATTGAAGATATGTATAGTGTCAGAAATAATATTTCATCTTATAAATTTGTTTTGTGTTATAGATATCTATAGAGTGAACTACGACACGGAGACTTGGTTGAAGATTGCACAACAACTTCAAACTGATCACAATGTTATACATCACTTGAACAGAGCGCAGGTACTTACATATGTTTTTTTAAATATACCAGCCGGGGTTGCAGGGAAAGCGCAATAATTCCGCGAGAAGGAACGGCGGATTTTTAGTCAGCGAGTCTGACACTCCCTCCTGTCCTACCCTGGGTGGTAGAAGTCATTTGATGATGTTTTTCCTCACAAAAAAAAGGTATAGAAAACATCATAAATAAAATAAATGAATTTCATATGTCCAGCAGTATAATTCCGTAAGATTCTAAACTTCGTATCTGAATCCGCTGTGTAGTACACTAGCGTTACACTTGCGAGTTGAACTAAATTGGCCGCAACATTTTGTTAAGTTAAAAGTGGGATTTTAAAATTTAATTTCCTCGTCGCGTCATTTCGACGCTCACTTCACACTCGAACAAGATTCGAAATCAAACATTTTTTATTGAATCGACGTGTAGCATTCGATTATTTTTTATTTTATTTCTACAAACATTCCTATATGCGTTTATGTATGTGTTTTGGTTACTATAATGCCTCAACAGTTTGGTTTTAATTGGAATTAACTAAGTTAAAAGCCTTAGACGGAAAACTATAACCACTAATCTTACTATCTTATTAATATAATAAATGGTAAAGTTACGATGTTTGGATATTTGTTATTCATCACGCCAAAACGTCTGGACGGATCTGGATGAAATTGATCTGTAACAGGCACAGGATACACTCCGGAATATGACATTGGTTACTTTTTATCAACATACCACGCGGGTGAAGCCGCGAGTTAACATTAACAGAATGATTTTGTAGTATCAACTTTATTTGTACTACATTAAGAGTACTAAAAATGTGTTCTATTTCAGATTGTGGATGACGTCTTCGCGCTCATGCGATCTGAGAAGTTATCATTCCAAGTTGGTTTTCAAGTTCTGCAGTTCCTGGAGAAAGACACAAGCTTCTACTCTTGGTACCCAGCCATATCCGGATTCAACTGGTTGAGAAATAGGTTCTTGCACACCGAGCCACTAGCACTTTTCGACGTAAGTTTTTTTTTTTTAACTCTTAATATCCGGGCTGGTAAATGGCACACGAGCAGGTGGATTAACTGACAGTAAGTAATCAGTGCCGCCCGTGGACGCCCGCAACAACAGAGGAGGTACGATTGCGGATTGTCGATTGTAGCCGGTCTTTTGGGGATTAGAGATTGAAGGAGGAGAAGGATTAGGCCTCCGGTAACCTCACTCACATGGCGAAACACAACGCTGTTGTTGTTTCACGCTGGGTTTTCTGTGAGGCTGTGGTATCACAACGTTCGAGCCGACCTATTTGTGCCGAAGTATGGCTCTCCCACACAAAAAAATGCCTCAAAATTACCGTGATTTTAATAATGTTATACTTATACCGTATTACATAATTAACTCAATACATGTATTATGTGTATGTAACCAGTCACTTAAGGTCAATTTCAAGAATTGAAGAAGAATAAAGAAGTTCCTACAGCAAAATAGCGATTTCAATGATTTAATTCTTTAAATTTCTTAGAAGTTCATCAGTTTTTAGACCTTCTCTAAACTTGTCATCCAGATCAAATTTAACCAAACCGAACTCGAAAATTAATAATCGTTTTTGAATTTTACCTTGACTAACTAAAAGCGAAATATAATTTCTATGTACTTTTTTAACGAATATATGCGCAAACGAGTAGACTCATTACCTGATGGTAGGCGATCGAAGCCGCTCATAAACACTAGTGATACGACAGGTATTAGGGACTAGCTACTTTCGCGCGGTTTCACCCGCTGCTCGGCTCCATTTGATCGTAGCATGATGTTTTTTAGCCTATTCAGGAAATTTTGGCGATCCGTCCAGCGGTTTCAAAGATTACACCCTACATACAAACTTACAAATTTTATGTTTTACCTCTTTATAATATTAGCATAGATTTAAGGAAAGAGGATTTGGGGTTTTGTGATGGAGAGAGTAAGAATTGGGCCTCCACATAAAATTTTTTCTTATTTTATCCATTAACAATATTTAAAATGATTTTTAGCAATACGTCTTCCGCCTACTCGACAATGTCATCAAGGATCTTGGCTTCGAAGTGGAACCCAATGAGCATGTAACCAGGACCCTGAACAGATTCTATTTACTCAATTTCGCTTGCAACATGGGTCATGAAGAGTGTATCAATAATTCAGTGAATAGGTTTAAGAGTTACAAATCTGGTGTTACAACTAGGTAAGTCGTTTTTTCAATCCTACTAATATTATAAACGGTTGGTGCGGTAGCTGGGCAATTAGCTACTGCGCAACGTGTCGTCGGGTCTGAGTGGGATGAGTATGTGAAGTTGTATGTTTGTAAACACAACCACGACCTTGGAAAATGTCGTAGAGTGGGTAAAAGTTTTTTAAAAAAAAGAAAGCAAAAAAAAAATTGAATGTGTTTATTATTATTTTACACAAAATGTATTTAGATTGGTGATAAATAATCCTGGTTTAACATTATTATAGGCTGCTTTTTAATCAACAATCCCTCGGGCGAAGCCTTGGGAGGAAGCTAGTACCTACACTATATTTTTCTTCCATAAAACATCCCACGAAATGGGATTATAAAAGTTGAGTCGTAGTAATATAACGATAAATATGCAGTTTTTTACTTGTTCTGCATTTTTTTACAAATATTGTTTCAACAATTAGAAATTGGAGCCTGGAGAGAGAAAAGACTAATCAGTAAATAAAATACACTGTAACTGATGAACTGTAGACAACTTTAAAAATACGTCTAAAAATATAATAAAGTAGTTTTTATTAGGTAATTGCTTGAAATGTACAAATTGTTGTTCTAATGGGCATAGCCAATTTCCTAGTGGTTTTATTAAGCCGTTACTTAGTAAGATTACCTTTATCATCATGGCGATTAACACATAGTAAATAGAGGTTAGTCACGCAACCCCTGTTTAGGTATAGCATAATTGACTTTAAAGCTAACAGACTCGTGATTCATGCTACTCATAACACACCATCACCAGCTTATTTGTTAGATACATATAAGCTGTTGAGCTGGTGTAAGAATAAGCATGGTAAACGCAGATTTAGTTATTAATTTGAAATTTTATTAATTATCCATTGTTCTTGACGATGTTTTCCTTTACACTTATTAATAGTGTCTCAATAATCTTACAAAGTACAAAGGTAGGTACATAATTGTAATTCGGAAAAAGTCACATTTATACTTGCCAGGTCGCATACCGGTCCCCCGTGCATGAGGTTGATTTCACCGGAACAGAACAGAACCAGAACATTACATAGACAATAGTTTAACAAGTGAAAACAGTGTAGATATAAAATTGATACAACAATTTCGGCTTCTAGCTTTTGAATGTGACACATTCGAAAATAAACATTCTTAGAATATACACCTATTAAGTTACCAAGTTTTTAAACTTTCGAGAGTTTTAATTTTTTTATTACGTTATTTAAATTATAATACGAAAGATTTCAATGAGGTCTGTGGTCGGGTTTTTCTTTAGTCTTAAATTTCGGTTTTGATGATAGATCTATCGAGCATAATTTAATGCTCATTGTATTTTGTATATTTTCAGCGTCAACCCCAACTTGAGACGTCATACCTTCTGTGAGGGTCTCCGAGCTGGTGACTTTGAGGACTGGAGTTTCATATTCAAGCGTCGTCAGGGATCCAATAACCAGGCTGATGAGGTAGCAATGTTGAGAGCCCTGGGATGCACCAAGAACGATCAAGCTAGAAACGAGTAAGTGTTTTAATGTTTCGCATTAAATTCTTTGTTATAGTTTTTATTTAATTTTATACTATCAGCTCAAAAGATTTTGTTGTTTGATAATGTCCATATTGGTGTTTTAAAATAATACTTCTATACTAATGTTATAAAGAGGTAAAATTTGTAAGTTTTGTATGTTTCTAAGTTTGTATGTAGGGGGTAATCTTTGGAACCGCTGGTTGGATTTCCAAAATTATTTCACTGATATATAAGTACAATGTTCCTGAGTGCTATAGGCTATAAAACATCACGCTATGATTAAATGGAGATAATTTAACACTGTATAACTTAGGGGGATCACTTGCCAGTTCAGTATTAAAGTTTAATTTTTTATTCTCAGATACCTGAAAAATATCTTGACTGATGACGTTAAGGCTCAAGATCGATTGAATGCCTTCACCTTCTTCTACATGGGAGACCAGTCTAACGCTAAATTCGCTCTGCCATTCATTAAAGAAAACGTGAAGGAGATCGAAAAAGCGTAAGTTATCGCGATTTTCTTTGAAACTCCTTTTATGTCTCGACTCTTTGTTTGTTTTCGAGCAGACGGATTACCTGATGGTAAGCAATCAGCGCCGCCCAAGGACAGCCGCAACGGAGGAGTTATGAGTGCGTTGCCGACCTTTTAGGGATTAGGGATTTGGAGATTTAGAGATTGAGGAGGAATTGGGTGAGGGAAAGGATTGGGCCCCCGGTAACCTCACTCACACAGCAAAACAAAACGCTGTGGTTGTTTCACGCCGGTTTTCGGTAAGGCCGTGGTATCAAGAAGGTGGTGCCGAAGCATGGCTCTCCCACAGTTAAGATTTTGCTTTTGTTTATAGTGTTTCTGTTATATAATTGGTTTGTTCTTTACTTTTTGCTGTGCATCATCGGAAGGTTTGACTGATAGATAATGGTCATGGTATTAAGTCCAGTCCAGTAATCTTACTAATATTATAAATGCGAAAGTTACGATGTTTGGATGTTTGGATGTTTGTTACTCAATCACACCGAAACGGCTGGATCTGTATGAAATTTGGCACAGGCATAGGATACACTCCGATATAGGACATAGGCTTTTTATCATCAAACCATGTGGACGAAGCCGCGGGTGGAAGCTAGTAAATAAATAAATATTTCGAATTATTATTTTTAATAATATAAGTAATATCTGAGATCTTTATAAGATGTGGTATTTACATAACAACTTCTTCAGTCTGTATAAGTGCTCACTGCTAAGCAAAGGCCTCTCAATCAAACAAAGTTTTCCTAATAATCATTACGCTTGCTAAAGGCGGATTTGCGATTCAGAACTTTTAAAAATAAAATAAAAGTTTTCCTCACGATGTTTTCAATGAAAACACATATACAGATCTCGAAAAAAAATGAGATTTGAATGAAGAACATAAATGGCAAATATTGCTTAATTTATTTTATATTACAATTATTTTATATAATTATACCGTCAGTGTAACTAAGGGTTCCTTTCAACATCTTTAAAATTAGGGATGTTGTATTTTAGTGTGAGTTTTAACATTTTTTTTCTTTCAGGGTGGTTCTGCCTGCGTGGTTCCAAAATATATTTGCAAACATCGCTGGCTACTTGGATGAGGAAGGCCTAAAAGAAGTAAGTCATAGTTGTCATACTGGTAGCAGATGCTTCACCACCATACATCATACTTTCATTTATCCGGATATAAAGGATTTCCACTTCGATTCGGTCAAACGACTATTGAGCATTTTGAGCTTCCGTAAATTTTTAGTGCTAATGTACATACAATCTAAAAAGGTTATATTTGCAGTATTGCAATTAGGCCTGTTATATATTATTTGGTTCTTATGACTGACTGAATATGGTGTACTTTTGCCTAATATGATGTCATTTTTATTGTTTCTAACAAGTTTTACTAATTTTTCAGTACGAAACTATGCTGACATCGATCCAAACGGAATATCCCACTGCGTTCACTGCGGGTAACAGCGCGATCGCTTCAGCTAGGGCAAACATCAAGTGGGGCAGCGATAAAGTTGAACAGATTATATCAGTGGTTGATGATCTATCACCTACAACGACACCAGCACCATCGTCTAGTGAGGAACCTACTACAGAAACTCCAGCTCCAGGGTCTGCAACAGTTGCTTTCCCAGCCACCTTAATGTTCTTATGGACAGCATTAGCCATCATACTGAAATAGAAACTAAGTTAATTGTTTACCACTATTTTTTACAAAAATGTATTTTCCCTAATTGCCTTCGTTGACACAACAATGTAATTCTTGATTAAGTTTCATTAAATATTTCAAAAAATTGTCTAGGCTAGGCTAAGATTAAAAATAAATATGATCACTGGAACAGTTCATTACCTATAATATTTATTTTGAGTAGTGGAAGGAGATCGTGATAGTAAAAGGATACTGTATATACGTTTGCTTTTTTATTGTAAGGAGGTTCTAGTCTCTGTTTTAGGATTCATTTGTAAGGGTACAGGGTTGAAACGCATTGAAGTGAAAATTAGTAATTTTTTTTATGGATGTTAATTATATGAGTCTCTCACCCACCCGAGAACGGGCGGAATGTTTGAGACTCAAACCACTTATAAATACGAAGCTCTACTAGTATTGCTGGGCTTAACCTCGTTTGAGTGCGGCATCTAGCGGCGCAAACTGCAAGACAATACACTATATCGGGTCTCTCAAAAGGCCTGAGAGCTCAAAACTCTCGCCTGCAGTAGCAGACAGCGAATGATACTTCCAAAACAGGCCTCGGCATGGAACGCGATTCCTCCCATCCCACCAGTTGGGGAGCGGTGAGATGACTTGCTTGCTGGAGATAAGGTTGAATTTACTATGTAATACTACTAAAATTTTTGGTTCAATACGATATAACCGACCCTTAGCAATTTTGTGATAACAGACACAATAGGCAGAATGTGCTGTGAAAACAACTTACATTATGTTATATATTGTGTACCTGTACCAAAAAGTATTTTATTTCATATTTCAATTATTTATTCTTAATAGAATTTGTTATACTTACTTAATTAAAAATTTTGTTAAATAAAATGTTTCACATTTATAAAATAATGCTGTTTTTACTGTTTATCTCTGTCACATAAGAAATTCTTTTACTATAACGGCTCCTCTAAGGTAACAAGTAAAACAAATAAAAATCTGAATTATTTTTTACTTCTTGTTCTTTTTTTATTTCAATGTTATTAATAGAATTTTATGCCTACGCCCTAGCCCAGTCTCTAGCCTTAGCTTATTCACACATACACCAACGAATTAGAAATATTTAAAATATCATAAACCATAAATATCATAAAACAATAAAAATATACATACACCATAGTTTCTGATTACAAAGAGGTAGTTTTATTGTATACCTGTTAAATTAATTGCCTATGTGTAGAAACCTTAAATTACTCGTGCATATATACTCAAAAGAATGAAAGAGATGAAAATAATCTTTTTTTATGTCAAAAGACGGCAAACGATAAGACGGATTACCTGATGGTAAGCAATCGGCGGTACCCATAGATACCCACAGCAACGGAGTGTAACGAGTGATTTGCCGACCTTTTGCGGATTAGGGTTTTGGAGATTTTGGGATTGACCCTCCGGTAACCTCACGCACACGGCAAAACAACGCTGTGGTTGTTTTACGCCGGTCTTCTATTAGGTTGTACTAACATTCTGGTCGACCAGACTCATTCTTTCCGAAGCATGGCTTTCCCACAAAGCGCCACCAACTGTAGAATATTTTTGTGCGCAGGACCTCTTAGCCTTTTCCTTCATCACAAGAAACTCTCCTCGACTAAAATAGTACTGATAATGCAAGTGCACGATGCATAGGGTTCCGAGTCCCAAAGAGCTAAAACACCAGCATAGATGGTCCACTTCTGAACGTAATCGGTTCAGCCGCTTTTGAATTTTAAAGTGTTACTAATATGACTTTCTTTTATGTATATAAATTGTTATAGCAGCAACATTACTTATATATTTGACCAAATCCTAACTGCTTTGTCCTAACTGATTGGCGATAGACAGAGAGTGATTGACAGACACAGCACAGAGACAGCGGAGTATTTGTAATAAGGTTCCTGTTTTTTCCTTTACCTAAATACTCTGTGATATTTGACATGACCAAAATAATTAAGTAGAAAAACCTACAAGAAATCAAGAAGACAACAATAAAATCTTCAAAAACCTCTAAGTTTATTTGGGCAATTCTTCTCAGAGTAGTCAGGAAATGCCAGCTTTATCTAGTATTTTTATACACTGAATGTTGATGTGTAAAATTACTGGTTTATAGCCGGAGAGAAAGCCTATGTGTTAATCCAGGTACTCACCTCACTACGTACCAAATTTCACTCAAATCGGTCCAGCCGTTTTCGCGTGAAAGAATAATGTTATTTGCAATAGAAATTTTTTTTTTATTTGTTACAGTATTTATGGCTAGACTAGTATTAAACCTAACCTAAATTATTTTTTTACATATTTGTACTCTAAGCCCAGTTATAACTTCATTATTGAGTGACTAGAAGTACGTCTACGTACGTACTAGAAGTACAAACTAGCGTTCCAATAAAGACGAACTTGTTTTTTGTATTTGGTCGTGGATGTAAACCACGCGCCATCAAAAACGCACCTCTCGCTACCATGGCTGGTTTGCAATCGTATAGCCAACCTTCGAAACACTAAAATAATGTTTATAACAATCTAAGTTAATACTAGAACAAAACCTTTAAAAATAAATCTAGCTATACCTCTTAAGTCCCAAGTTTTAAAAAATCTATGATTTTAAACAGGGCTTGTTTATTATAATAACTATTTTTTTTTATTTTTTGTATATATAATAGGTCGGCAAACGAGCACACGGATTACCTACCTGATGGTAAGCAATCAGCGCCGCCCATGGACACCCGCAACGGAGGAGTTACGAGTGCGTTGCCGACCTTTTAGGGATTACGGATTTGGAGATTTAGGGATTGAGGAGGAGGGGAAGGATTGGGTTTCCGGTAACCACACTCACACGGCGAAACGCAACGCTGTGGTTATTTCACGCCGGTTTTCTGTGAGGCCGTGGTATCACTCCGGTCGAGCCGACCCATTCGTGCCGAAGCATGGCTCTCCCACACTTAAATTTTTGGTTTAACTACTAGTTAAACCAAAAAGTATCCCAAAACATGACCAATTATTAGCGGTACAGAACTCCCATACAAGCCTGCCGTTCGCCTTTCTACTAAAGATGTCCGATATCATAAGATAGAGAAAATTTTGAAATAAAATCCTTCACCTATTTCTATTGATTTTTCAATAGATACAATGTTTTAGAGTGTATTGGTAGGTATCAAAGTTTAAATAATCAAACACAAAGGTTTATCAATATCTAAAACTTTCTGTACAATGTTATCAATCTAATCTTAAGTCAAGATGTTTGTATTTGTTCAATTTAGTGACAGCTATCTTCTGTTTTCAATTGTGTATAAAATATTTGTCTGTCCATCTGTTTTTTTTTTTGGTTCCTAAGCAACAGCTTCCCCGTTTCTCTACAGCTGCTGACGATAATGCTATCTGAGATTTTTTTATGGTGTAGGAGGCAAACGAGCAGACGGATCACCTGATGGTAAGCGGTCGGCGCCGACCATGGACACCCGCAGCACCAGAGGAGTCACAGGTACGTTGCCGGCCTTTTAAGAAGGAGCACGAACTTTTTAGGAACAAAATAATACGCGGCCCCGGCTTGAATTAGGAAAAGGATTGGGTTGGTCCTTCGTATTTGAATTTCGTATGTAAAAGTCTATCACTCCCACGTCTTGCCCCACCCAGGCAAAAGCAATCGAGAAAATTCAAGAATTTCAACAACAAAAAAAAAATTGCATCCGTACATTTTTTTATTGCATTTGGAGAACAATTAAATCATTTTCTTTACAATGACTTTATTGATTATGATTCTTGCCTTTTAACTTAGTAGGTAATACTCGTATAAGTAAGCGTGTAAGCGTTAGGGCCCATGTACAAATTAAAATATTAGATGTTTAAAAAATAATAAATATCAAAATTTTCAACCACTGAATCTTTCCTATATAGGTGATATTTCGCTACCAAACTGAAGTACTAAATATTAGAAGATAGATATCAAATAGTTGCAAAAAGGTAGTCAATTTTATTAACATCAATTCTCTATTGGTAGAGGAGTCTTGACGCTAACGTATAATAATAGCTAGCTTCTTACCAAATGAAACCCGTGAAACATGACTAGGTTTATCGTCGAGTGGTGTACAATCTTATGCGATAACACTTAAGATGCGCCTTATCTCAGCCAGAGTAACGACTCATAGATATCACATGGTACAGCTGAATGACTAACAGTTTGCAGTTAAGTAGGTAGTTGGTACTAGTGAACACGACAGGTTGGTTCATTTTTATTTATAAATATTATCTTCTAATTTTTGAATTTTAATTACATTTCAATTACATTTCTAACTTTATTCTTTTGCATAGCTATCAGTTTAATTTTACGCTTTTTCTTACAACATTTTGTTTTTTGTTATATTGTTTAACGGGCCTAAGAAAGCATATTGTGTGCACTTTATATGAAGTCATTGTCAATTTTAGTTTAAGATTGTTTTTATGTGTTATCGCAACGGCTGGCAAAGGCAAATGTGGGAGAGCCAAGCTTCGGCACGAATGGGTCGGCTCGATCGGAGTGATACCACGGCCTCACAGAATATCGGCGTGAAACAACCACAGCGTTGTGTGTGTTTCGCAGCAGGCCCAGTCCCACCCATTCCCCTATCCGTTCCCGATCCTTATATCCGCAACCCCTATCCCCAAAAGCCGGCAACGCACTCGTAACTCCTTTGGTGTTGCGGGTATCCATGGGCGGCGCCAATTGCTTACCATCAAGTTGCAAGTGCATTGCATGGCATTATGGGGATAAAGGGTTTTAGGCATTCAAGAATGGGGGAGGGATGGGAGTACGGGAAGGATTGGGCTTCCGGTAACCTCACTTTCACGGCGAAACACAATACTGGTTGTTTGACACAGATTCTCTGCAAGGCCGTGGTACTGATTTTTGAATTAACGTTCGATCTGTACGATCCTTTAGTATGTCCGGATGTCTCCGGTAGTATTACTCTTATCCCATAAGACTTGGACTTCACTGGTCCGGAGATTTATAATGTGTAATGAACAAGAACTATCATTTACCATGAAGGATGGCTGAACTGTTGCCCATTCATTTTTGCGCAGATTTTGAGCAACCAGAATGCCCCATCTACTTATGTAGAAGTAAATTATTCTGTGATTGTCTTTTGTTTTTTAACGTATGAAATAAATATTTTTATTTATCTTTCTCTCTCTCATATCTCCGCTTAAATAAAATTGCCCATTATATTGATATCAAAGCCAATTTATTAAGCATGGAAATGACGGAAACAGCAGTAAATGTGTTGTATGTAAAGTCTAAAAACCATTTTAAATTAAAAAAAAAATCGTAAACATAATTTTATGTTCAATTGAGTATTAAATCTTAGAAAAATATTATACAAAAAAGAGCTGTATTTGTTAAAGAGTCGTATAAAAGTAATTCCTTTATATCATTATTACAATTTATTTGTTTGATAAAGCACTTTATTGTTTAACAACATTTAAGTATATTGAATTACTGCTAACTGAGAGCAAATAAACGAATACGTATAATACGTGTAGTAAGTGTAGTTATAAAAATATTACAATAAAATAAAAAAAATAAAAATTTTGATGATGCTAGCTTTTTGAAATTGGAAATTGACGACGCGAGAGTACGCGTGTACCGTTCCACGCGCGTCTCAAACAGCCAATAGACCATCATAGCTGGGACCCAACAGGACCGATGTTCACTATGTTCGCCCGGGTTTCGGGTCAACTGCATTATTGTACCGTAACTTTGAACTCTCCCTAAGACTGTTATACGTTTAAATTTAAAATTAAAGGACTTCTTTTTTGCTAAGGATAGAAAGAGAGAAAAGAGAGAAAAATGACTAATAAAAACTTATCCATTTGTTACAGAAATGTGTCGTTTACTACTGGCGTTAGCATTAACATGCTTGCTATACATAAACGTGCACACCACGGACACAAACTACAGATTGAACTCACCACTAATCCCGTCTGATTATCAGATCTTGATCACACCGTACTTCGAAACTGGGGACGCGAGACAGTTCACCTTTGACGGTACTGTTAGCATCCAATTCATCCCTAGTTCCACAACGAACGAAATCAAACTTCATTCTGAAGATTTAATCTTCACGGCTCAAGATGTTGTCGTCGCTGTATTCAATACTGGGAACACAATACCTCTAAATGCCAACAATCCTTTAGAGTTTAACACCAATTACACCTTTGCTTACATCAATTTGGTTGAAAACTTGCAAACTGGAGTTCAATATATTCTGCAGATCAAGTACCAAGGACCTATTAGGTCGGATCTGAATGGATTCTATAGGAATTATTATTTCCAGAATGGTGTCAAAAAGTGAGTATATGAATAGTTTTTTTAAGTTCTCATATGTATGCATCATCACAACTAAAAGCGTTTATCATTTTTATTAATTGTTTGCGCACCCATAACTACCAAACTACTACAGCTTATTCTTATCAATGACCTGCATTAATTTATATACATGTAATTCTAATTGTTATAACAAGGTTTTTCAAATGACTCGCTAAGTTAGCTAGCTAGCCGAGCTAAAAGGAATGTAAGTATCCCGAGATTTTAAAAACAGCAGTGTTTAAAGCGATAACTTGACTAAAATACGCAATTCAAGTATAAATATAATTTATATCACTGAGGAACATTGTAGCTTTATTTTAGTGATAGAATTTCATAAATCCGGCAGCGGTTTCAAAGATTATCTCCTACATACAGACTAACAAATTTTACCTCTTTATCATATTAGTATAGAATGAGAAAAAATATGAACGAATTTTTTGTAAACAAATAAAAATATCATAATCGAATTTTGATCTGTAAGTACTCGTATATAAAATACTATTTTCATTAATAAAACATAAATAATAATATTTCGGGGGAATTACATAAAGGACAATGAATTTATTGATTTACTTAGTAAATAAAACAATAATCTACAGCACTTGGCACGCGTTCGTACTTCAATTGTAAAACACTCGAACATAGAACTTTATCGATGACAATAGTATTGTGAAATTGTGCGATACAGTCAGTATTAGTATGTCAATGAAAGATAAAACAAACTTCAAATAGAATATTTTGGAAAGCGAATTTAAAACGATTTAAATTTAAATTTCTTTGGGATGAAAACGGGAACTCTGTCTCGACTTCGCTGTTCCGTCTGACTGTCTTTCAAGAGGCTGTATCAAAGAAATCTCGATAGCTGGGATTATGAGATAATGCATAAAAATTGAAAAAAAAAATTGATTGGCTTGACGTGTTTGTGATGAACCAACACTAAAGACATAAAAATATATATTTGAGTGCGGCTCCCACTCAGCCGTGGACCTGGCGCAGGAGTATTTAATCAGTAAGGGTCTGACACTTTCAACTCTCTAAAACCATATTTTGTACATAACATAAAGAGTTGGAATCAAATTCGCGACACCTTGCACGACAGTCCGTCAACGGCTCAGTCATAAAGTAAAGAAGTGAGCCATAACTGAAACAAATATTCTATAAATATTAACAATTTTGTACTTTTGCTAGTAATTAACTTTATTAAAAATAAGTAAATAAACAAATTAAAAAATTTCTGTAGAAAATATATTTTCCCTAGAATCGTATATAAAATCTATTTCTCCTATGTAAATAATACATTATTAACACAAAATCCTATATTAATGCAGGGTGTTATTTTGAACGAGGGACGCATTCAAGGCGTCGGGTACTCTGGTGCTCAAATAAAACAACTTTTTACCAACACACACCACCTGTATAATACAAAAATCTATATATCTTTTATAATGTACTAGCTTTTGCCCGCGACTTCGTTCGCGTGGACTTCAGGTTCGTCCCGTCTAGTAATAAGTAAGAAATACGGTAACTAAGCACTGCAGAGCCCTAATCATAGGTCTATAGGTAGCTACTGCAGTATGCTCGTATAAACTACATTTAACGATCTTTTTCCTTCAGCATAAACATGCAGATTCTTCGCTTTGGAAACGTTAGCGCAAAAAATATGATTTTTAACGACCTCACATTAGAAACCTCAAAAATTGTAGCCTATGTGTTATTCTGATGTATAAACTATATTGTGGTAAAGTTTCATTCAAATCCATTCAGTAGTTTTTACGTGAAAGAGTAACAAACATCCATACATCCATACTTACAAACTTTCGCCTTTATAATAGTAGTAGGAAGTAGGATAGTAGGATATATATAGCTATACAACATCACTGTAAAACAAAATCTGGAAGCAAAATCTGCTGACAAATGACTGGCATTAGTTTTACTTAGGTAATATAATAGCGCTATAACCATCGTTTATGTCAAAGCAAATATTTTTGACGATGCTAAGATCTGTTATCAGTAGAACGCGTCTACTGATGAGATATGGAAATGTAACTGCCGATAGCGACAAGCTGGTTAATAAAATGTGTGAAGATTTAGATATATTGAGCGATAAAATATTCAAACAAAAATGACATGGTTAAAAATGTTATTGTAATCGTTAAGTTAATGTTTAAGAAGATGATGACGAGAAATGGGATGTATTTTAAGATTAAGATTGTTTTTTTTTTTTAATTTGTCTAGAATGATGTAAGAAATTAAATGGAATAACAGGTACAAGGTCATGTACGACTAAATAAAATAATTTTGATAGGTAACATGATTAAACACAAAATGTGCATTCCTGACAGCAGTTAAAAGTTGTAATGGGAAAAAGTACCCTTTGATATAACAGATTATAAATCATCTCTATGCTACATTTCATTCGGACCCGTTCAATAGATTTTACGTGAAAAAAAACAATCATACTTCATCTATACACATAATTACCTACAACTTTTACGTTTATGTATTGTTAAAGAGAGAGAGAGAATAATCACTGCGTTACACGATTTTGGTACCCTCTTAACTGATAGCTGGAATGAATAGGTAATGAGTCACAGATGAAATGTTCCAAACATATGTGGTATCCATCACGTCTAGTTTTCGAGGTACAGTCAATTATTGTTTCTACTACCCTCACTTTAGGCGTAAAAGAAATAGTAGGCTTGTGTCCTCCAGTGGAATTCCATAGACTGATGATGATGATGATGAAGATGAGCAATAAACTAATACGTAGATTTAACGACACGACAGCTGGTTAACGACATGTTAAAGGCATACGAAAAGTTGGGTTGCAGAATGTCATTAAAAATTCACTTTCTTCGTTCTCATTTTTCTTTCTTTCCATCTAATCTTGGTGCGGTCAGTGATGAGCAGGGTGAGAGGTTCCACCAGGATGTAAAGAAGCTTGAGGAACGATTTCAAGGGCGTTGGGACACAACCATGCTAGGTGATTACTGTTGACATTTAAAACGAGAAGATCGTTCAGAGCACAAAAGAAAAAGTTAAATTTTCATGATATTTTGTATTACAATTTTATAAAATGGCTTTTTTGAGTTTTTTTTACCTAAATGATAAAATTAAACTTGATGAATGTAAAAAATTCTGGTTGATTTTATTAGATTTCTTTAAAATATGTTTTTGCCTTTTAATTTTTAATATAAATTGGCACATTCTTACAGAAGAAAAATGAGACGTGATGAAAAGAAAATTTGTATGTATGTTTAATAAGCGATAGGTATAAATAAGAAAACATGACATTTCAAAGCGGGTACTCAACATTTTTTTTAATTTGTAACGCAGTGTAATATGTATGTTTAGTTCAAAGAATATTTTATTGTAACGAATTGTCTCATAGCTCGACAGATGGCGTTGCCCGATTTAAATTCAAGCTATGGTTTCGTTACCAGCAATAGTATAACATAAGTGTCATTTTATTATATGACACTTATGTTATATATATATTTATAGAACATGTGTGTTATTAGTGTTATAAGTACATAAAATGTTAAGTACACCAGCATAGATCAATACACAGAGGCGGTTTTATTTATATACCCCATCTAGTGTAACAATAGATCAACAGATCACCTGGCAGCTTAGCTAGGAAACAGGTATAATATCAAATATCAAGAAAGTGGAGGAAAAAATGCTATGTTCACCTATTTCACTTGACCTTATGTTTTAAGCATAAGGTATATTATATAGTATCAAAAATAAATACATCACAAATTTCAAAAAATATATTAAATATATTTTTTAAAGATTGGAGGAATTGGATTAAATTTTAATCCATAATGTGTTATGTTACAGATGGCTCGGTGCAACTCAAATGGAACCGACTCACGCTAGGAAGGTGTTCCCTTGCTTCGATGAGCCGGAACTTAAAGCGACATTCGTAATAGGGATTGATCGTCCTGCCCACTACCAGCCTTCCTTATCCAATACTGATATTGAACGAAGAGAAGTTTTGTAAGTTCATATTGATTTTCTGTAATTAATATTAATGATTACCTACTTTAAAGGCTAATGTAACGTGAATAAATGGTAAAGTGATTAGTCATTTGAACATTCAGTGGCTTGTGAGCCTCCTCTCCATGACAGGGTTATATCTCAATTTCGTACATTGAAAGGCTAACCAGAGGGAACGTCATCGTGGCCAGTGTTAGGTATACAGAGCCCTTTTAGTCCTAAAATACTCTATAATCCTTTAGCAATATCAATCAGCATCAGCCTATAATGTGCCCAATGCTGAGCAAAAGTCTCTTCTTACACAGAGAAGGTTTGAACATAATCATCACGCTTGCTTAAAGCGAACAGACAATTGAAACGTATAAATTAGACTTTTTGTCCGACAATTTAATTAGAAATATTATTAGTTAAAGTTTAGCCACGATGTCTTCCACCGTTTGCCAATGGTGTCTTAATAAACCTAGAAAGTATGTACATATAACTCGGAAAAATCACATTGGTACTTGCCAGATTTTGGAATCTCATGCATGGGAAGCCCTAACTTCCTTGCTACCGTGACATCCTTTATTGATTATGTCATAAATTTTCTTGCTGCAGGCAATATTTTCATGAAGTTTAAGCTTACCAATAAATCATTTTGAATTATAGGAGCAATGGCTACATTCGGGAAATATTCTACCCAACCCCGAGGATGTCGACCTACTTGGTTGCTTTCCTGGTCTCCGAGTTTGAAGCAGCTGCCTCCAGCTTCAATGGGACCAATGAGTTTGGAATTTATACTCGACCAGATGCCAAGAACCAGAGTGACTACGCTTTTGAATTCGGAAAGAAAGTTGTGGATGCTCTCGGCAGCTATTTTGGGATCAACTACTACTCTACAAACAGTCATTTGAGACTCGACCATGTCGCGTTAATCGATTTCAGAGCTGGTGCTATGGAAAATTGGGGTCTTATTAAATATAGGTATGGATACGCGATTTCATGTTGAGTTCTTTCTCTTTATAATTTTTTCTGGTCGGTTCCTATTGTGTATTGGACGTCGCTGCGAAGCTTCTGATTGGCCAAAGTCTTTTACATTGAAATTCCTTAGTGTAATAAAATTACTATTTAGAAATTTTCTGCTTTACAGAAATAAAAATAACATAATATAAAATATTAAATTGTATGACAAGGAAAGCATGAGGCAAGAGCTCGAAAAATACATAATATATCACGAAGTTGAAGTTGCTTTTTCTTAGTGACAAACTAATTAGGGTTCTAAAATGTACCTATTAGGTTGACAATAGTAAAATAAGAATTCAGGGTCATCATAATACGTTCTAGGGAATCCCTGCTTTTGTACGTTCCTGGTCAGTCTACACCGTACTTCAAATACCGAGTGGCACAAATCATGGCTCATGAGACCACACACATGTGGTTCGGAAACCTGGTGACCTGTCACTGGTGGAGTAACACATGGCTGAATGAGGGCTTTGCTAATTACTTCCAGGACTACATAACTTCATTTGTAAGTATACTGTGATAAACAGGGTAAATTCTGAAGGCCATAGAATAATGGACCGTTAAGCCTAAGACTTATAATATAATTTCCTTCACTAGGTGGATCCTTCCGTCGGAGCAGGGAATCAGTTGGTGATAGGATCTGTCTACAGTGCTTACGATGCAGACAACAGTCCAACTTCACCACCAATCACGAACATCGCCGTCAACTCTCCTTCAGAAATCAGCGGCCATTTTGGAACGATCACTTATCAAAAAGCTGGTTCTGTAATTCGAATGATGCACCATCTAATCCAGGATGAAGCATTCAAATATGGACTTAATTATTACTTGACAATGAAGTGAGTTTTGACTTGACAAGTACTTACTAATATTTCATTTAATTTTTTTTATTAATAGCGTCGTTACCAATCTATTGAGATTTATAAAGTGATGTTATATTAAACCACCTTTTGAAATAAGAAATAAAAAAAAATAGTACTTTCACATCACACAAAAATTGTTAAAAGTAAAAATAGTTTAATGTTGAATACCTACTAATTATGAGCCCATTTGTCAAATTAATAAGTACAGGATTGAATATCCTCAACTTGAGGTTCGAATTTAATTTAAAATTTCCTTTTCCACAGCTCATTTAATTCCGGTTACCCGGAAAAGTTGTACGAAGGTCTTCATCAAGGGGTTCAAAGATACAGTGCATTATCATCTTTCCCGGGTCATAACATTTCTGAAGTCATGAACTCTTGGATATCTCAAGCTGGCCACCCTGTAGTGAAAGTGACCATTGATTACAGTACTAGCGTTGTTACTTTAACGCAAGTAAGTATCAAAGAAAATGCTTATCATTACAAATTTCACATTACTGCTTTATTATATTTTTTTCGCGTATTGTCATTTTAAAAGAATGATGTCATTGAAGTTTTGTGTTTTAATTTTGTTTTTTTTATGACATTGGTCGTCAAACGAGCAGACGGATTACTATGATGGTAAGCAATCAGCGCCACCCATGGACACTTGTAATACCAAAGGAGTAGCTACAAGTTATTGTTGGCCTCTTGTGGGTTATTAGGGATTTAAGGACAGGGTAGTTGAGGTTTGAAGATGGGAATTGGCCTTCTGGTAACCTAAGGCACAAGCGAAACACAACTTAAGTGTTGCTTAATGCCAGTTTTCTGTGAGGCCGTGGTATCACTCCGGTCGAGCCGGCTCATTTGTGCCGAAGTGTGGCTCTCCTACACTTAGAATTATATTATTATATAAGAATTATTTTCTTTTCAGAAACGCTACTACGTAAACTCATCCATATCCTCAAACGAGACGTACAAGATTCCCATCACATACACTACACAAATGGCTCCAGACTTCGAGAATACTAGACCAGTATTTATAATGGAGGATCCAACATTTACACTCACGATTTCCAACCTTAGTAGGGAACATAGCTGGGTCATCTTCAATCTGCAAGAAACAGGTGAGATGACTTTCTTGGATCGTCGCCTCTTTTCGCGGTGTTCTAAATTCAAATAATTATATTACGATATGATCTCTTACTAGTTTTTTTTTGGTTATCTGTAGTAAAAGAGGTTGAATACCTCCTTTACCACTTGCGAGAAAGTTATTCCATGTAGTAACAAAAAATTGTTTTAAATTGACAATCCGCCACAACATTGATTTCAAGAGTAGTTATCAATGTTCAGACCTTCTCTAAAACGTAGATGCTGTGACTTATGGCATATTCTTCTACAAACACTCGGCACGATTTTAATAATTGAAAATTATCCCTTAACGCTTGTCCTGACACAGAAGTTAATCCTTGCTTTTTCCAGGTTTGTACAGAGTTAACTACGATGATCACGCATGGAGTATTATAATATCAGCTTTAAAAGGAGATGACACCACAAAAATACATCCTCTAAATCGTGCTAAGGTATCATTTTTATATTTTAAATATTTTTTTTATTTTGGTTTATGTGTGGCCAACAGAAAAGTAAGCCTTATGATTGTGTGCCATACCTACGTCGAACTACCTTTTTCTCGGACACTGCTAAGAATATTTTAGAAATCAAGAATGTCAGTCAGCTTACAGGATGTTTGAAATTGTATGTCTTGGATGTTAATCTTCTTTACTTAACACTATAATATTCTGTTATATTTTATAAGAATTGATTAAAAGGCTTAATTATTTCCTTATCCCTAAATCCCTAATCCTGGATCCATTCAAATATATTCAGTAGTTTATACTTGAAATAGTTACAAACATGCCTCTTACATACTTAGAAACTTTCGCACTTACAATAGAAGTCCAATTGTTAGAATTGAAAAAGTTATCTTTAGTAGAATTGAAATAAATATGACAAGATGACATGACTTTTACCTACTTAATTTTTAGATTATAAACGATCTCTTTGCCCTGGTGTATGCTGATGAAGTTCCATTCTCAACGCTCTCCAGTGCTTTAGACTATCTGCCATTAGAACCTGAGTACCCTGGGTGGTTCGCTGCTTTGAGAGGATTTAGCAAAATATGGCATTTCTACTTGGGAGATAACGAAGTGCTACCACACGTTGAGGTAAGAAAAAACACTAAATTGACATGAAATATAATTAACTATTATTGTCAGTAGTTTGTTTATCAATGAAGAATTTTATAACACATCACATCAACAGCCTATAAGTGGCCAACGTTCTGCAAAGTGCAAAGGCCGCCACGCTTGCTTAAGGCGGATTGCCATTTGTAAACCATTATAAGTTCAGGTTTTTTTTCACTGTCTGCGGGCAGTGTCTAAATTACCATAAAAAATCATATGACGGGAAAGCTGTCATTGGTAGTTGCCACGCTCCAAACCCAAGCATGAGAATCGGGCGCCTCTATGTCCAGGCCACCACGGCACATAGTTAATTGATTAATTCAAATTAAATTTAACGTTTTATTGAATTTTAATAATAATAATTACATTGATAGTTTCAAAGAATAGTTTTGACACTAAAAGTGCTTATATTATGGTTAATTTTGTGTCGTAAAAACCTATAAATAGGTGCCTCTTTTTTACCCGACTACAGCAAAGCAAAAGACTTAGTATGTATGTTTATCTGTTCCCTCGTAACTTCTAAATAATAAAAGGATTCGAGAAGTGACATATCATTAGAAACATCTTAATTGTACGCTAGTTATAAGCTATATGGGGTATTACAACATTTAATGTGGCGTCTTCTAGCGGACATAACATACTGAGTAAAAAAATAAAGTTGAAATAAATATCGTGTTTGGTATCATTTTATAGCGCTTTAGTTGTACATTGCTTGTGTAAACATATTGTCATATGTACTGTATGTGTATTGTGAAAATAAATCAATTTAGTAATTTGATAAAATAGGTATTTAAATAAGTTAATTATCACTATATTATATCACTTCAGTATTTCATACTGCGGCACTTGGAGTCTGGTATATCAAGATTAGGTTACGAAGAAAGGTCTACAGACAGTCTCGAAGACCAGAGGAATCGCATGCAGATATTGGAGTTTGCTTGCAAATTGGAACACAGTGGATGCGTAGAGAAAACTGTTGAGCTATTCAGGGCTTTAAGACAAAATGGCACCGAGTGAGTATAAATAATACAAATATAAAATAATACGCTTGAACAGGAGTTGAGCTACGTTTATATATTATGTATGATTGAGTAGCTACTCTTGAGCGGTTTTACCCGCTGCTTGGCTCCAATAGATTGCATTGCATTGGATGTTTTATAGCCTATAGCCTTTCTAAATAAGATAAGACTGAACTAAAAACACAAAAAATATTATTGAATTTTAACCACTAGTTCAGGAGTAGCGCATTTAAACAAAATCTACAGCTTTAATATATTAATTTGATAACAGGGCAAAAAGATAACATAATATATTTATTCCGTGAGTTTGAATGTAACCATTGAAAAAAACATTAAGATACTTATGATTTATTTTGTAGAATTACTTCAATAACTGTATCAACAATGTAGTGGCCTATAGTATTTTCTAGATATCTAGAGGATTTTGAATACTGAGTTTTGATTCATGAGAGATTTTTGATGAGAGATTTTTGCTTTATTCCCAGGGTGGCACCAAGCTTGCGTCCTGTGGTATACTGCACTGCTCTTCGTCATGGATCTGCTGAAGACTACGACTTTCTCTGGAACCGTATGGTGAACACTAATATAGCGAACGAGGTCTGGGTTATTGGAGACGCCTTGGGATGCACTTCCGACGAAAACAGAATGAGAAGGTATAGTTTTTGTATTCTCATTTTTATCATTGCAGTCCGTATTTTGTTTTGCCACAGAACTAGATAAAATTTTAATAAAAAAAATCCAATTAAGTGTCTGTTCTTGTGTCAAAATATTGCTTCTATGGATGATGTTTTGATTGCAAAACTAAGAACGATAAAACCACGATTTAATATTGACTGATGAAGACCTTCATAATAATTTAATATATGATTTGTTTTCCCACAGTTACCTGCTTTCAATGACGGTAGAAAACAGTCCAATAAAGGTTCAAGATTTGACAGTACCATTGACGAGTGTCCTTAGGACGTATGGCAACCTGCACGTCGTCATGGATGCTTTGAAATCTAATTACACGTTGTGGAGCTCTATGTAAGTATTTTTTTTATGTTATAGCTTGGCAAGCGAGCTGACGGATTACCTGATGGTGAGCAATCGGCGCCGCACATGGACACCCGCAACAACAGAGGAGTTACGAGTGCGGTTGCCGACCTTTTGAGGATCAGGGATTGGGGGAGGGGAAGGATTGGGCATCCGGTAACCACAATAACACGGCGAAACACAACATTGAAGTTGTTTCACGCCAGGTTCCTATGAGGCTGTGGTATTACTCCGGTCAAGCCGACCCAGTCGTGCCGAAGCGTGGCTTTTCCACATTTACTAAGGAGTTAGTTATTGATTTGGAGTTGATAGTCGAGAGTTTCAGTAGCTTAGCATTAGGTATTGTGTCCTGAATTCTGGATTTCTATTGCAGTCGGTAAGAGAAGATTGTCAACATTGAAATATTCTGTTCCCACAAATTTTGGACTAAAGAAGAATAGTTTGCTGATATGTCTAACTAAACAGTTAGATAGTATCGCATCTGCTGCAAAATTAGACACTCTAGAAAATATATTGTGGTTCGCTTAGATATACATACTTTGTCATCACTTGGATGTGATTGGCTTATTTTTTCGTTCACTTAATATTTAAGATAAAGAAAGGAAAATACTATTCTATTTTTTTATCTTGATGCGTAGTGTTAAGGTCTAGTTTTAAATTATTTTATGTTCCTTCTTTATTTTATTTCAAGCATAGAAATAACTTATGGTTACTAATAATAATAATCTCGATCTCGTGGATTTTTATAGTAATACTAGCAGCTCGCCCCTGCTTCGCACGGGTCTCATGATCTCGCTTACGATGAAAGGGGTCCCTACTAACCAACTCTCCCCTCTACTTTTCTAAAATTTTCTTTCATAAGAACCTCCTCCTGGCAATAACACTCATAAGAAAAAAAGAATCAATAGAATTAGTCCAGGCGTTATTGAGTTATGCGCTTACAACACATTTTGCGATCCATTTTTATATATAAGATTTCAAAATGAAATTTTAGAGTTATTTAAATAAAAATGTAAATTAATACTCTCGAATGAAAATGTTGCTTATGGGTAGGCGTGTCGCGGATCATCGCTTACCGCCAGGCAAGATGGAGGACCAAACGTCAGCCAATTAAGTATTAATGAAAAAGAAAAATAAGTAGAAATTTTTTTTTTTTTTTAGTTACCAGAAATAATGTAATAATTTGGTTTTTTAGATACCCATCAATGGATACTGTTTTGAGTACTGTTGCATCGGCTCTCCACACTGAAACTGATTTTAATGAGGTAAGTTTTATTTAGGTATATAGTATAAACTTATAGTATGAAGGTATCACTTATAATTAACTACAGGTTTTCCTCATTGATCGATTACATAGTTAGGTTGAGCTTATTAATTTCGTCTGTTGACTTTTAGTTCTAAAATCATAATCTTTATGATCATCATCAGACCTACTTACTCCTGAGCATGGGTCTTTTCTCACACAAAACACATGCGCATACTTATATTTTACTTATGTAATATGATGTTTAGTTATATTATTATGTATTTTAATTATTATTTACTATGTCTCAGTTTTCTCTTTATGTTTAAATCCAACATAGAGAGAAAACTGAGTCACACTCCTGTAAATTTAATCATAGCAAAAACTTACACAACGTCATCATGTCGAATCTTATTAGATTAGGCTCAACCTAATGGAAAAAAGAAATACTATTCGAAAATTAAGAGGTTGAATATAAAAATAAAAAAGAACTAATTTATGCCTTACAGCTGTATAACAAATGTATATTGAACTAACCAGTACGTAGTAACTAAACAGTTTTTGCGGCGTAGAAAATGAGAACATTTTCTACGCCGCAAAAACAAAGCAATAGAGCAAAAATATTCCGCTAGCCCCTAATCGCTGAATCGCTTTGAAACGTAAACATGGGAATGACCTTTTGGTGGGGGCCACCCTAATTGAGGTCCCGGTGACCCAAATGAGTGTTTATCAAACACTACACACTCAAGGGTTGTAGAATGTACACACTCATTACCTGATTCAACCAGGTCGTTGTGTTTGACAAACTTGTGTAAATTTCATCGAAAAGGTCTAACGAGTGGTTTTGCCAATGTCTTCTATATCCCTGTCTTGTACCACAATGATCTCCGAAATAAATCCATTCAATGAAAGGAACACCGTACGGAACACTGTGTGTGAACCGCAAATTGGTTTGTTTCCTAGGTCAAAAATAAATTAATTCGATTTTTCAATATATTAAAATATTGAAATGTAACTATACCTTTATTCACAAATCGAACGGTACACTAAATTTTAGATACTTTTAAGCAAATTTTTAAGAAATAAGTAACTTCGTATGACGTCATGACTCAGTGTTTCAAACTACTTTCATAGAAAAGTATGTACATATATAGTTTTTGACATTTGGATAAAAGTATTGAATTTGACTAGTTAGAAACTACCGTATTGTTGTTTCGGGTTTGGGTGTGATGTGTATGTGGAATCCTCGTGTCTCAATCGAACATTTTTGAGCAATAAAAATGTACCTGCCTTTACAACTGAATAAGTCATAATTTTAATTAATACGAGTATGAAATGGATTTTAGTATGTAGGTATCTAATGACTATAAAGGCACAACGCCTCAAAATAGCAGTAGGAATGTTAATACAATAGGTACTGTGTAGGTATACATTTCAATGGTTCATTAATAAAGTTTGCTCCTAAAATACATGCCCATTTTAATTATCATAAGTCTTCATAAATTGATCATTACTACTGTGACGAAACGGCCCTGCCGAGGGGCCGAAGTCACTCTGGGTCGGGAACGAATAAAGTAGATAGAAAATTCCCGTCGATAGTATAAAACAAAGTCCGTTTCTCTATCCCTATGGGTGCTTAAATCTTTAATACTACATAAGAGATTTTGTTTTGTTGCAGTTTTTTTAATAGACAGAGTGATATAAAAGGAACGTTTTTGTGTATAATATCATCGATTAAATAGTTGAGAAATTTAGTATCAGCATTGCAACCGTGTGAAACAGAGCTGGTCGCTAGTCCAACAAGAAATTCTCAACAAACTTTACAAAAAAACTTACTAAACAATGTGTTTCAGATCTATTCTCACATTTCATATTACCTCATTTAAAAAAAAACTATCACTAACAACCAACATTAGATCATAATTAGATTATAATAACACCTCTATCACAGAGCAGTAAAGATCATATTTCTGTTTCAAGAACCATGGTTGATTGTATTTTGAGTAGTTATAAGAACAGCGTTCGCTTTAATGGATTCTCCCCATTAATGCCTAAATGAATGTTTTGACCCAAATCGAAAATCGCTTAGATAGATGGATCGAGTGAAAGTCTTCGTCTCCTTGGCGTTTATCCAACAAGGAAGTTTGAAGATTTTTTGTGACGTAATTTTATCTATCGCGACTTTGTGATTTTGTATTCAAAAATATACCTACCTACTTTACGTGTATAAAAATAGCTAGCTCTTGAAAATTTAACTTTTTAAACGGTTTCCTTAATGGAGATAATAAAGAATGGTTATTTTTATTGGTTGATGGTTGTTGATATCATTTTATAAAAGCTAGCTATGACATTTTTAGGATGCGTAGTTATTTTAGATCTAGTCTACTGAATGTTTAGTTTTAAGGTTCAAATTAATTGATAACTGACAATAATATCAGGAACACTATAGATAGTGCAAGATATTCCACTAATAAGATTAAAAAATTGAAAGTTTGTAAGTATAGACGGATAGATTACTATTTCAATTAAAAATTACTGGACGGATCTAAATAAAATTTGACACAGAGATCTATAAAAATATTATAAAGAGGTAACATTTGTAAGTTTGTATGTATAGGGTAATATTTGGAACCGCTGGTCTGATTTCCAAAATTATTTTTCTGTAAATAGCTTCAATGTTTCTGAGTGATATAGGCATTATATGCTGAAAAACAACACGCTACAATCAAATAGAGCACAGCAGCGGGTGCAACCGCGCGAGAGTAGCTAGTATATTTTATTATAGTTTGGAATAACTAAAAACACCTAAGGCTATCTCCTGCTGAAGCTGGTATATCATAAAAGTGTATCCAATTGTTAACGATGGTGCAAAAATAATGAATGTCATAAATTAAATTGCATGAATGCGATTAACCTTCATTAGATTATTTTAGCACAAGATAATTATTATAACCTTGTACATTAACTGACATCGCGTAGTTAGGATACACAATTGTTATCATTATGTCTTTGATAATACGTTTGAATTCTGTTTAAACTTGCTTAGAAATATATTGTTTTTGTTTCCGCATATTTTTTGCATATTTAGAGTATTTAGAAACTTTTTGGGTGTGGCGTGGTGTAAGTGAGATTACTGAAGGCCCAAACCTGCTCCACTCTTCCCTTATCCTTAAAATTCCAACCCCCAAAAGTCCAACACATTTATAACTCTTCGATGTTGAGGTTGTCCATGGGCGGCGCCAAAACCTTACACAAAACTCCTTTTTATAAATCTTTTACCAGTTTGATGTTTTGAAAACTGACAGATTTTTGATAAAAATCTGATAGTTTCTAATGTCATCGGGGTAGAATATCACCCCAACTGAACCTTAAATCAGTAAGATACCATATACCTACTAGCATTTTTGTTAATTCTTGATCAAATACTAGTAGTGATAATATGTATTTGATCAAGAATTAACAAAAATGCTCTCTAATAAGCTGATCCTTTGAAATATGACCTCACACTCCAGCCAAGCGCGGAAATCCGTCTTTCGGAAAGAAGACCCTTAGTCCGGATCGACAATATATTATGTATTTTTTTTCAGTTCGAATCCTTCCTATCGTCTTGCGATGTCTGCACAGAAGCCTCGAAGACCTCTGGCCGTAATGCTCTGGTGCAGGCAAGAGCTACTACAGCTTGGGCTAAAACTCATAAGGCTGACATATTGAAAGTCATCAAAAGTAATTCCATCATGGCGGTCCCATCTGTCATTCTAATGCTATTAGGGTTGGTTGTACTCCTTTTCAAAGAATAATGTGATAATAATTATTACCTATAAAATTGAATATATATTTTTTTATGTTGTATTCCTTTTAAAATTATTTTGTTGTATGAAATTTTATGAATTTTATATTCTCGAATTGTAATATGTTTTTGTGTATATTTTTTTTGGTTTGACATATTTTTTTAAATATTAAGGTACTTACCACATTTCAGTAATAACAAATCGTCATAGTTTAATATTGATACCAAATATACTAGTTTTTCTTTTTTTGTAATATCTTTAAGTTATACTTTGGTAAGAAGTATGAAAATTTTCAGTTTAAAGTGTTTTTTTATATACTTGCCTTACTTTATTCATTATTTCCATTATTTACTTTATTTTATTCATTTTAATTAAGTACACTTAGGTAGTTTTAAGTATCAAACACGAAGAGATTCTTCTCCACTATAATGTAAAATAGATACGTCAAAGATGTAACGTAAGTACTTATAAATTATGTACATAATATAAAATAATTAAGTGATGAAATAATTATATTGTTGTTTATTTTATTATTACACAATGCAATTGTCAGTTTTCGTGTGTTTCATTTTTACAATTTTTTTCCTTATTTTTCAGGAGACATCAGATACATTATAAGTAAGTAAGTTGTAGTATTTTGCAACTAAAATATTTTTTTACAATGCAGTTGTTATTGAGAAAAATATAAGTAGGTATATAATTTTTAAATTCCAAAAAATGATGTACTTACCCATTTGATTAGGCATTAAGTTATATCAGGTAAGGTAGATCAGGCTATTCTTCTGTGGAATGCGCTACCCCCCGATATCAGGATCTTGACTAGTCGGCTGTCTTTTAAGCAGAGAGTTCGGGAGCTTCTTTTGAAGAGGTTGGGGGAATCATCGGGACTATGACTGCATATACGTATATATATTTACTGCCTTATAAATATGTATTATAATGTATGTATATATTATGTATGTATGTAAAGTGTATCATATATAATTTTATATATATGTTTGGTATATTTAATTCAATTTGCTTGCTTCTTGCACCTGCCACCAGATTATCTCTGCATCACCCAAAGGTAGACTGGTAGAGAATGCTCATTGCATTAAGTCCGCCTTCGTACAGTGTTTTGTGCATGAAGTCTCAAATAAATAAATAAATAAAAAAAATTAAGCCAAACAATTCAATTACAAAAAATAATGACAAAATTAAAATAGACGAAGGAATAATCTTTAAAATTGTCTTGTCTAAATTTTATTACCGATTTAACTTTAGCAGAACCGTATTAACGGCTCAATTTATACGTTGTTACCTAAATCATCTTGTATTTATTCCTTAACAGTTTTTAAAGTGGTCGAGGCATGTCAAGCAGTAAATCTTAAAACATGACCTTCTTACGTAATCTGTACCTAATATAGCTAGAGTGATGGGCGTATGCAGGTATATTTTTTTTATATCAGGTGTGTAAAACTTCGTATACCTTTTTTTGCCCCAATATTGAAAACCGTCTTGATGTGCCCTCGCTTGGGGAGACGAAAGGCTCATACTCTTACTGACTAAAAACCAACCTGCTTTCGTCGTTAAGTTGTGGTAATCAAAGTCGTCCGCAGCAGAACTACGTATCTACACTTATGGAATACGTGTTGGTTTAACATTTTTTTTAAGTTTTGGTTAACTTAATTTGGATACTTATATAGTTTGAATCTTATTATAAAAAAAGTAATATATTTAATCGATTTAAGTACGTATGTATTACATTTCTTTCACTGTTAATTTATTAGATTTTTTCTAGTATTAAATTGTTCGTTCATCGATTAACCTAGATACCTAAATAACAGACTATAAAAATAATTATCAAATTCACTATCTTTATTAAATTGCTACAAATTTATTAAAAAAAAAACCAGGATCACAACCAAATAAAAAATGTTCTCTAAAGAGTTTATACACAAAGCAGCCATTATAACACATGGAAGTAAATGTGGGTGTTTAATCTGTATGGAATAGTTGCTAAGTGCGTTCGGCCCACACATCGGTCGCTTCCAGTCTTCCAGATCAATTGTCTGTGTTCACCGTTACTCTATTGTTAGGTGTAACTGCGTTTTCACATTATTCGATACGATTAGTCTTTTACTGCCTTTTATACTAATCGATACTAATATAATTAATTATAACGTGGTGGCTTGGAGGTTAAGGCGCCCGCTCCTCATGCATAAGTTCGTTATTTGCCAAATACCAATGTGACTTTTTCCGAGTTATATATAATTTCAATGATTATTTAGACACCACTGAGATACGGTGAATGAAAACGTTGTGAGGAAACCTGGACTTATTATTTTAAATTATAAGTTTGTAATCGCCAAGCCGCCTTGAGCAAGCGTGTAATTAATTCTCATACCTTCCTTTGCACAGTAATGGGCATTTATAGGGCGATAATATGACAACATTGATTATTCGATATTAGTATCAGACTCGGACAGCATTATATTGATTCCACTTTAGAACACATTTTGGTTGTTAGATGATAAAGTTATAGACTTTGTAGGAATTTAAATTGTCTCTGTGTACGCACAATTAAAGAAATGAACATGGTTACGGTAATATTTTCCGAAAAAATGGGTAAGTAGTACATAAAAACTGTCAGTTAATTAGCTATCAGCAATCGATATCCGATCCGATTTCGTCGTCCGATATCGGATCGGATGATGTAAACCGCTCTGGATGCTCTGATACATGAATTGGGGCGTGGGCATACTAGGACACGGGATTTGATTTATTTTCTAATGTGTTGTGTGGTAAATTGCCTGTTGAGTCGTATTACATTCTTTAGCAATTTTAGTGAACAATGAGTTTGTTTTGGTCAGTTTTTTTATGTCGATTGTGAAATGATGTGTGAAATAACAGTAAGTAGTCTTTTCATGTTGTGTTGATGCGAAGTAGGTAGGAATGTTGGTAAACTGTATGGAGAAGTAAGTCGCCTAACATTTTAATATCTGTAGTATGAATTACGTGATTGGATTTTTTATTCACAGATTTTAGAAAAAGATATGCATAGTTGAAAACTTTTTTTGTAATGCGGGGCAAACAATTCGGAAAATATCTTGTGCCTGTGTGTTTACAAACATACAATTTCACATATGCTTCACATCTAGATAAGGAACAACAATTTATAGAATACACAAAGATGGCACTGTGCGGGAACAGAAGCCGCGACACGTTGCACTGCAGTTGACTGTAAAGCCAGAGACAAAGTGTTACACACATTAAAATAAAAACGTGAGCTCAAAATCAAGTATGGTTTGTCATTTGATAATGCAAGTTAAGTATAATCTAGGTGCAATGTACAACAGATTAGGTATTTTATATGACTCCTCCATTCTCATACCTATAGGTATTATTTTTTCTCAAACTTATTTTCCAAGAATATTATTTTGGCAAACACAAATTTTAGCAAAGGTAAACAATATTATCATAGTCCAAAAATATGCTTCAAAAGAAACCGTGCTGAATTCATACTTGAAGGTAAACCATATGCACAAACATAAATATTCTAAACGCCCAACAAGCGAAGATCTATGACATTATATTAAAAACTCCTCATAAGCCCTGTTGTTACAAGAAGCTGAAGAGGCGGGGAAGGTCAAGAAATACTGGTTTGTCATGAGCCGGCGCCTAGACTGTGAAGAGGAACAACTCTACTACAAGCATTTACGCGCGCGTCGCGTTCAGACGTGCTACACGCAAAACGCTCTCTTTGACGCGAAATTCGAAAAACGAACTATGAAATAAAAAAAAAAGTTTTTAATATTTACAAGAAAATTAATGCTAACAACATCTGGCTGAATGTTAGCTTTGATAGAAAAATAAAAATGGCGAGTGAAAAAATATTTCGCGCGTTTTTTATTTTCTGTTTATTTTCGTTGACAAAAGGAAATATATTGGTGGACGAAGAATGTTTAAATTATACAGTGTATCCAGTGCAATATGAACTGAATATTTACCCTTATATTTATCCCCACCGTGCTTACTATGACTGTGAATTAACAATTACCATTATAGCTAATGCTCCTAACGTGAACGTGATTGAGTTAGACGCGAAGGATTTAGAATTTGAAGGTGGCTCGATAAGGGTTTATGATGGACCGCGCGACATAATTAATGTTGCCAGGCCATTCGAATACAATTATTTAACGAGCAAGCTACACATTTATTTAAATGAGCCACTGAAAGTGTATAATGTGAATGACAGACATTTTTACTTTATCAAAATATCTTTTAGAAAACAAGTGAATAAAGACAGTTCGGGTGTGTTTTTGGCTAAATATTACGACGAAAGGACTGAACAAGATAAGTAAGTATTTTAAATTCTATTTTTTTCTAGGATTCGCTTTAAAATGACAATGGAAATTTTCTCGTATCCTTGTAAACGATTAGGTAGACACAAAAAAGGAAATCCTGCTGTTGAGACATAAATAATAATCCTCCTACGTACTATTTATTGCTTTACGTGTCACAATATCGGAAAACAAGGTCATCAAATTTGTCTCATGATAAATCGTAAATTTATTTAAGAATGTTTGCAGACAAAACGCGTGTTAAATAGAAAAAAAGCCTAACTCAACAATGAGGATATTCCAAAATTGAACCTTATTATTGAAGCATATTTTTTAAGATTGAAATACTTTATCTTTTGAGTTAGGTCTCTTTTCTGTTTAACAAGCGAAAAATGGGCATAGCACCATCGGGTGCGTACTCCGCTTGGGATAAATAAACAAATGAAAGTCTGACTACTAAAGCACATTTAGATTATTTATTGAAATAAAAAGATGGAAAAAAAGCAGGTTGCAAAGAAAAAAAAGTCAACGTTATTGAAAATTTATTTCAAACATAGAACTTGTCATGATAGTACACATAAGAACTTCTCTTCCTCCTGGTGTTATTTTTATATAAATATGGCATGTATGAAATAGAAATTTAGGTCGATTCCTCGATAAATAAAAACATTCCGTTTTTTGACAATTTTGAAATTAATTTTCGAACGTGTTTAAAGTTTTAAATCTATGAATACCGTATACTCGTAATCCGTCTACTCGTTTGCCGACCTATTACATAAAAAAAATAGTGTGTTGACCGTATACTACACAATGGTTCCTAAATCCTCTATTGTCTGTGTAAATGGCTTGTTACACTTGTTAATATTATTTAGCAATGCGCTAATACGACGATGCCCACTAATTTGGATGATGCATACTTTTTGTTTCATGATATGTTGTTATGCGAACTTTTTGCTATTTCATCTGTTGTTATGCAAACTTTTTTTCTGTTTTTTTACTGCGTAGCTAGTTAAAAGTTTTTGATTATATTCGTTGCTTTTTTCTTTTACTTTTTCCATGTTTAGGCATTTCTTACAATGAGCTTATAGACCAGAAAAGTACTAGTAAAGTTGGTTTAAATTCATTGAAAACTCGTGTTAATATTGTATTGTCTTAAAATTATTTTTACTGGCAATCATGAAATACAGTAAAACAAATGCGCGAAAGCCGGCGTTCGCTTGGGGTTTGAAGAATAAAACATGATCTTCTGTTTTAAACTTCCCTCTTAAAAAACAATACAGTAGGTATGGAGGAAGACCGATGCTATTGTGTCTGTTTCTAACATATTATTTAACAAATCGTAGTAAAACAAATAGCTGCAATTTATTACAAACAAAGCTCTTATTATGACACAATGTTTATTATTAAATAAACGATTTGGTCTTGAAGCTTTAGGTCAGTCAGGTCAATGGCGGATCAAAATAGTGTTCTTAAGATAACACTATGAGTAATTAGTTTATTAGTCACACTTAGATTTTAAAGAACGTATTGCCAAGTGTTTATGTTGCTGATAGAGTCGCACGGCAACCAGAAAAAAAACACAGGTTGAGCAAAAAATTGTTAAAGGATTCAAGTCTGAAATAAATAGGTTAGAAAACAGAACTTATTTACCGTACCTACATCGAATGCAAATTTAAATTTTATTTCAGTTCAATATAAAAAGCACAACAATGAACAAATTAAAGTGATGTAAATAAATAGTTATGTAGGCAGCTTGTGTTTTGTTTTTTTTTCTACATACCTACAAACTTCCTGGAAATAGACCTATTGGTTTAGGTACCTATATAACTAAATGTAAACAAACTACGTGTGTCTTTTTATCTAAAAACAAGCTGACCCGACAGACTTCGTCCTGACAAAAAAATTTCACCCTAGTAATAATTCGGTGTGAATTAAAGATAATTAAATAAAACACTATGTATAAGATGTTTTATTTTATTATTTTTATATATTTATATTACACACACTGTTTTGATATTATTGAATTCGAACTTGGTATAGCGGTAAGAAAGTTCAAATTTACTTTTTGACGTTAGGAACACACCTACATTTCTTAGATAACATTGAGTGCTTGTTATTTAATATGAACTTTATGTAATAGCAATATAGATCAAATTGATTCTACGTTTGTATATGAAAAAGAAAAGGGCTGCTTTTAGGGTTTTCCCGGCAATCGTTCGATTTTTTCTCCGTACGAACCATCCTTGGACTTCAACGAACATTTTAAAAAAAGAATTAGCCAAATTGGTCCAGGCATTGTTGAGTTATGCGCTTACCAACACATTTTGCGATTCATTTTTATAAGATTGAGTGTAAAAATGTTAACAATCAGGTATCATCAAAATCGATGTTTGCTAATAAACTGACCATAAATAATATTTCTAAGTATTTTATACGACCCCTTTAATATAAAAACATATACTTAGCTGGTTAACTAAACTAAACTAAAATGGTTAATGCTTGTTAACAATAAACTAAAATGGCTCATCGACCGTAGCACTAATACAGATGATGAGCGTATTCATTAAGATCTGTCTTTTAGATTTATTCATTAAAAAAATTATATGAAGTACTAGCAGACCGCCCCTGCTTCGCACGGGTGTCCACACCCCGGTGTCAGTCGTTTGCACGATTTGTATTGCAAGCGAACGGCCAGGGTACTTAAAGGGATTTTAATTCCCGCTGTTCCCTTTTTCTTTTTCTAAATTTTACTCTCGTAAGAACCTTCTCCTTGCAATAATGAACTTAACAAAAAAATAATTAGTAAAATTGGTTCAGCCGTTATTGAGTTATGCGCTTACTATTTCGCGATTCATTTTTATATTATAGAAGACTAGCGGCCCGCCCCTGCTTCGCACGGGTCCAACTATCTCGCTATCAAAGGGTCACTTTTTCCTAATCTTCCCCTCTACTTTTCTAATATTTTCTTTGATAAGAACCTTCTCCTGACAATAACAAACACAACAAAAAAAAGAATCAGCAAAATTGGTCCAGGCGTTGTTGAGTTTTCCGCTTACCAACACATTTTCCGATCCATTTTTATATATAAGAAGATTATAGATAGACATCGTCTTTTCCCAATATTTGCGCTCTGCAAAATGTTTCATTTGTACAGTTTTCAAGAACGCATTCTTTCTGACGTCACTCCAACTGGTGCTAATTTTATTTTGCACCAGCCCGTCTAACCTTGAAATGCATTGAATCAGTTCATTCAATTAAATTGACTTTAGTAATTATGTCATCGAGTGTACCGAGCCGCTGGTTCTTGTGATAATTTGTCATGGGCATTTGTGTTGGCTAACCTTTTATTTAGTAACTAGCGGTCGACGCGGCTCCACTCGAAGTCGCTTTTACAATTCTTCAAGATTTTTTATTTAAATTTTCTATACGTACAAACCTTTTCTGGACTTCTACGAATAATCAAGACCAAAATTAGCCTAATTGTTAAAGGTATTAATGAGTTATAACATTACAGTGAAAATTGGCATTGATTTTATGTATATACCTATAGATATATCCGTATGTACACTTAAATCTTTAAAACTACGCAATGGATTTACATGCGCTTTTTGATGGACGAAGTGATTGAAGTGAAAGGTTTATGTATATGTATAATAACATCTATTAAATAGAGGAGATTTTTAGTAACGCAATTGCATTTGTGCGAAGCCGGGTCGGGTCACTAGTATGATATAAAATAAGGAGTCAAAAAGTCAGATGTCTTAGAGGCGCGCAAGTTAAAGCGTCCGTAGGCATGCGTTCGAAAGCTTGCAAGAATTAATAGAATGTGAATTTTTACAAGTTGTAAATATGTTCTATTAATATTCAGACACCAAAACAAAGGGTGAAGAAAAACATCTTGAGGAAACCTGGACTTAATAAAATGTAATTATCACTTTGAAATCACCAATCCTTCTTGAAGGAGCATGGTAAATTATGCTCAAACCTTGTTATTGTTCGAAAGGCCTTGTTCAAAAATGGGCATATACCTACTCGATTGTGATGTGATGATAATCATTTGAACTATTATTTCGCAGAACTACAGAAAAATATAAATCAAATACACTTATATGACACGAAGCACGATGCAGGAATAAAAACAGCGTCAGACATTTTATAATGTTATCATTGTCAATAGAAAAGTAGATAAATAAGTGTGGGTGAGCCAAGCTTCGGCACGAATGGGTCTGCTCGACCGGAGTGATACCACGGCCTCACAGAAAACCGGCGTGAAAAAAACACAGCGTTGTGTTTCGCCGTGAGAGTGAGATTACCAGAGGCCCAATACCTGTCCCTCCCATATCGCTTCCGAATTCTCTTAAATATCCGCAACCCTTCTCCCCAAAAGGTCGACAACGCACTCGTGATGTTACATGGGTGGCGCTGATTGCCTACCATCAGGTAATCCGTCTGCTAGTTTGCCGACTTATCCCATAAAAATAAGTATAACACAAGAAATGATGCAGCAATAAAAACAGTGTCGGACATTTTATAGTACATAATTATCACTGTCTATTAACCAGTAGGTGATTTTAATTCATCATTATTTCATTACTATACTACAACCTACGTAAATACTTGGCCAGTACACATTAGCAGATGACTAGTTTTTATTCAAACGTAAGCAAAGGCCAAGTACCATATACGAGCGACCTTCTCTCCCACGTTTCGTCTAGATACATACAAACAGAGTATGGCAAAAAAGCTATAAATATTAAGTGTCTTTATTGCTGCGATCTATTAGAACTTCATGTTGATAGTTCCAATTTTTTATGTTGATATGTAGGTGTGTATTTTTTTATGAATTGTTCGGCCTACCAATATTATAAACGCGAAAGTTTGTAAGTATGAATGGGTGGATAGTTGTCACCTTGTCATGTAAAATCTAAGCGTTGTTTTTTGGCGAAAAACAACGCTGGTTACTGGAGACGCCTTCCCTTATCAATCTCTATATCTCCAAAACCCTAATCCTCAAAAA